TGAGTCTGCACTTCTTCGTGGAAGATTTTGCGTCTGTGGGCGTTTATTTTCAACGCACTGCGGTTATGTAATTGCGAGGCGTCAGATACGTGATTACTTTTAGTCAAATTGCCGCTCGAATATTGTGTAATTCCGTTGTCTTGTCTCTCCACTTGCCTCCTTCACTTGCGATTTCAGATATCTCTGCGAAAGTGTGCCATCGAAATTGCTGGCCAGGGGAAAGTGATAAACTCGTTGCCAGAAGTTAAGGTCAGGGTTGCAGATCGAAGTTGGGTATGGTAAGTGGGAGATATCAAGTTTTATTTTTGGGAAAATCACGTTTTTTATATCATTTAATCTTGGAAGTGGAGTGACTTGAAGAAACTAACAGTCATCTCGGCTAAGCAAGGTGTACTGATCTGGTTTTATGGGAATCTTCTGATACTAAGTACCACTATTTGAATGGTTTCTTTGCTCTTATCAAATCATACTTTAAGAGTTCCAAAGTCCTATGCAGATGACTGGGAAATCCTAAACATTGTGAATCAGAAATGTTTCCTATAAAAGAAGTTGATAAGTATGACTCAGAGGTTCCAACGCCTAAACATTTCTTAAGAAAAGTTTAGGAACAGCACATTACTAAGTCAACTTTCAGATACAGATACACTTCAAGATCAACCCAAAGTATATCATAATTACCAAGCTAACCAACCTACACCCCAACCTTTCTCAGGGAAACCACCCATTAAAGTCTGTAAAAATTTTCTGTAATCATTAACTTTGGTCTGGTTTCGCGTTATTTAGCTGTTTTTCTTTCGTTTTTCTTTGTTTTGCCATGAATGACATACGAACCCCAAAGAGCCAACAAAGATACGAGAAAAATGCTCGTCTCAGCAAGGGGAAAGAACGAGAACGAGAATGCAATCTACCATGACAGTTCACGAAGGTTAAATTCTTGAGAAATGATTTGGTGGCAAGAGAACAGCGAATAGCGAATTGCAAACTGCAGAAAGACGAACTGCCAAATGCAAGAAAGAGAAAGAGAGAGCGGAGCACTAATTAAAATATACGCAATGCTGTTTGAAATTTTTAGAGCATGTCTCCCCTTCTTCCTTTTTCCCAACAATCCCTCTATATACCCCCTTGATTGTTGCAATGTGTGCACGAATCCGAGTCAAGTGAAGTCAAGCCATGAAATATTGTCACGCACCCAGGAACGGAATAGGATGTGAGCTGAGCGAGAAGTGCCATTCTAATGAGCTCAGCAACATTTCCGCGACGGCCTTAATTTACGATCCCCGGCCGAAAGAAGGAAGAAACTGCAAGTATTTCTTAGGCACTGAGAGAAAATGGTTTATACTTATAAGGAAAATCTAAGAATTGTAGCGAAAATAATCCTCCCTTTTCTTATCTTAAGAAACTCTCTCTCTTTGTTACTCCTTTCTTTTGCCAAATTTCTATATTTATTTTCAAATTCCATTCATAAATTAGAACAAATTTTTCTTTTTCGTGTTTTTCGCTTTCCCCACATCCTCTGGGTAATTAATTCCGCCCTGGACTGATAAACCCGAGTGTGTAAACAAAGACATTTCATTCATTCGTCCAAGTGGGCAGTGGCAATGGCTATTAGCTCATTCAAGTTTATAGAACTACTATCTTATCGGGCATTGATTCATTGGTGTTTTCTGAGGCGTTGTAAGATTGATTCGGCAGAAGTTTCGATTGCTTTACAGCTATTATGGGAGAGGTGACCAACCGTCAGTTAAGTTAAGCGGAAGATAAGAAGGTGGGTGATTAATTATAGTTTTTTTTTTTCTTTGGGGGTCACTGAACCTTAGGCAAAGAACGATAATCAACAAGTTCTGGTCATGGCTAAATTACATCACAGGCGGCTGGCTAACAGCTTGCTGGTGGCCTGGCATGAATTTGGAAAATGGGAAATGGTAAATGGTAAATGGCAAATGGAAATGGAGAGCAACCACTGCGTATACGTGATGTCAGGAGATAGCCACCGCGAGAGTGAGCGAGAGATAGAAAATGGCTGAAAATAGATCAGGCGAAGAGGAAAAACCAAAGAGCAGCCACTGAAAAATCGCAATTGCTATTGCCAAGACAACAAGAAACTACTTTTATTTTTTGAGCAGGCGACCTAGAGAGCTTCGGCTTCATTAATATGCGATGCTTTATGCTGTCGCCGGATATATAGACTATATATCGCTCAAAAACATTTCAAAATGTCTTAGAAACTGTGGCGCCAAACCGCAGCAGCAGCAGTGGCAATTTGAGCATAGGAAGAAGGCGCAGGAGGTGGCTGCCACATCCGCAGCAGCACTTTCGCAATTTGTGTATATCTGTGTATCTGGCAGATATTGTATCTTGATATCTGGCGGATGGCGAATGCCGCTGACTGACTGACTGAGCGAGAATATTCGGAAACAAATCCAATCCGCGCAGCCATTTCGGGGCGCTAAAAATAAACTCACCTTGAAAAGTTTCTAAAAATTTTCTCGCTTTTTGACTATATAATTTTATTTAATTTCAACGAGCCGAAGATCTACGACGTATCTGTACCTCTGCATATATATCTCTTCTCTCTGGCCAACAAATTTGATATATATGAGTCGAAAAGAAATTCCCTTGATAATTTACCAATTGAATATAATCGCGTTTTTTTCGGTTTCGGTTTCGTAAGGGTTTTTAAGACGTTTTTGTTAACCTTCACAGAAAAATTCACACACTAATCAGAGGAAATGGGGGATAGGAGGAGATTGCGGACTCTGATTCATCAGCGATCCTTGAGTATTGATTATTGGCTATTGGCTATTGTATAACCAGCAGATGTATACCCTAAAGATTTGTTTATTTCACATGCGACCTGGTACTGACCGATATTTATTCCGATCGGGTTGGCTTTGGCTGGGATTTCGAATCGGTTTCGATTTGGTTTGACTTTTTAGATCGGTTTTCGTATATTTGTGGCGTTTTCGTGGTGCACTGCCAAAGTTTAGTTCTTAAGGGGCGACGTTAACTAAGCGACGATTTTCTCTCAACTAAAGCAAAAACCGAAACAGAAAATTTTTATGTGCATTTTGTGCCGTTTTCGAATACAAAAATCTTTTCAACCACATCGTTGCCGTCGCTGTCGCCGTTGGCTTTTCAGTCGACGTCGCTGCTTTTGGGCCGTGCTAGAGAGGCTGGCTATATAGCAGCTATATAGACATTGTTGGTTCTCAATTCCCAACCGATTCGACGGCAGAGCCGCAAAGCTACAAAACGCCAGACGACGACGACGGCAGCAACGGCGACGGAGACGGCTGCCAATGTCTGTCTGGCTTTTGTGGCCGATGCTTTAGTTTTTGTTGTTATTTTGGTTTTGTTGTATTTGTTGTTCTTGTTTCGGGATATATATTTTGTTATTTGGCTAATTGTTTGTATTTGGTTTTCGTTCCCAAGCTTTTAACGGCGCAGCTAGCTAAATGCCGATGTGCAATCAGTCCGTTTCGTGGCTATAACTCATAGTAATCTGATAATGGCAGCTAATTAAAAGGATTTTAGTATTTCATTAATATTGTTATTATTAGAAAATAATGTATATTTGTTAATATGATAGTCGATTGTAGTTTATTTATTTAAAATCCCGAAATAAAATATTAAAATTTTGCAAATTTTACGCTGAGAACCCTAAACTAAACCCTAAAACTTTCCATTAGTTCCTTTTTCACATCCATATATTATATTATAGACATCCTTATGTCTATGAAACGCACATTTGGAACGTTTCTTTGAAGTTGAGAACAAGTTCAGGTGCTTTCGTCTGCCACCAGTTTCAGTCTCTGCTGGTGAACTATTTCCCGTGATCTGTTTTCCACCACAACAAAATGTAAGCCGAAATGGGAACAACAACCCCGGAAAGTCTAATGAAATTTGGGTCACAATAGAAGATCCTGAGTGCGTGAATCAGCGGTGGTGGTGACTCCATCGGAGGAGACTATGATCTATCCGATCCATTATCCATTTCCCAATAAACGATTAATCATTCCGTCGGGGTCACACATTCCCCCATACCCTTACCCTTTTTCAGAGATCGAAGGTCGCTTTGGGAAAACATCTTCTGGCTAAATCGGAATTTCCACCAAAATATTTCAGTTTCGAGTGCACGAGAAAAGTGAGCCATAAAACATTAATATGTTAAAATGTATCCATAGCCACTACGCTTACAAAAATAAACGCGAATATGTTTTTTGGCCAGCGCTGATGTGCTCAATCAAGCAGCGAAACGAAACGAAACGAATTGAATTGAATCGAGGCAAAACAATTCACAAAAATAGATAAAAGAAAAGCCCACGAAAACATGGCTGACTATGCAGATAAATATGTATAATATAATATAATATTTGAATGTTTTAAACCAGCGCGGCGTAAAAAGCTCAGGCGATTTAAACAAGAACGGCAAACAAGTAAACAAATAATAATAAATCCACCCGCCAGCCACCTATCTCTGGGCGAAAAAAACAATTTCGGCTTTTTAATTAAATCATGTTGAGTGCTCTAAAAAATACAACAAGAATCTGGCAATTCTGGCGCAACTCAATCAAATCACAAAAAAACATTGTTTCTGCGGTTTTTTACGATATTTTTTATCAGTCGATTAAGATTCCGACGTAATTAAGTTTAAAGACCGCATCTAGATGATCTTTAGGTTGCTTTTGGTTTTTTTTATGACAACGATGACAACGGTTAGTTACACAATAACTTGCGGTTAACACTTTTGCTTTTTTTATTAAGGGGTTAATTGCTTAAATCTGTCTTTGATTTTTTCGGGGATGCTGAGTCAACGGTCAAGCTTTTTGAAGCCATGATTATGAATCACACGAGCCCTGTGGCTCCAAACCGGCTTTTCTCGGCAGTTTTTATATTATTTTTTTTTGGAATTTCTTTTTTATTAACTTTTTTGGCAGAAGGAGAGGGGGTGGGCAGGCAGGCAAACAAACAAATAACAAGAAACTGGCCAAGACACTTACACTTCACTCGCACTTGTTGGAATCGCAATTCGTAAGGGTCTCTCTTTGTATTTTTTTTTTTTTGATTTGCGAAAATGAAAAGCGTTTCGGGAACGGTGACCGGGCGGGCGAGTGCTGGACGTTCTGAGTACTTTTTGCAGTTCTTCGATACTACTCGGGCTTATATCTTTCGTTCCGGGTTTAAATATCTTTCTTTGCTGTTGGGCGAGACAACCGCGCGCGATCGTTGCGTTCGAGCGAATGATGGGATGGCTATGGATCTCGGCTGCGACGGGTTGTTTGGAGTCGCATTGTAAGACGAGCGACTCACACAGATACTCCCGCTCACCCACACTCGAGCACTCGACGCGCGCTCTCTCTCTCTCTTCTTGTCACTCTCTCTCTCTCTTTCTCCTTTGCTCAATCAACAGGTAAGCGAAAAGCCGAAAGGTGCGCAAATGTATCTGTATCTGTATCTGCCAATGTATCTGTGCATGTGCGGCACTCGTGTGCGCCACTTGCTGATAAGATAAGGTAAAACAAAAAAAAAAAAAGCCGAAAAATAGCAAGGCAAACATAAACAAACAGCACACGCAAGTGTTAGCCATGATTTTGGCAGCCTATGATTATAGCATTTTAGCCATGGAATCGTGTAAACTGGCCTGGATCAATAATTTGGCCAAGCTAATTTGCAGCAAATCGTGCTGTTTTTGCTGCAATTCTATATTTAGGTTGCATGCCACATCGCACCGAAACTGGTTCCTCCAGTTTCCTGATAATCTGGGTGACGGCTACACAACCCAAAACAACAGCGGCCGCGGCCCCAACACAACACCCCGATTCTGGTCAGGCCAAAAGGCTCGCTCCATTGGCCACCAATGTCTGATTTTCCTTTTTAGCGCCAAAATAAAAATCTGAAAAGTCATTAAAAGCATATTCGTTGATCACTCTTTTAGGGTGTAATATGTATTTTAAAGTTATGACTTCGGATTTTATAACTTAATTCCTTAACTTTTTTATGCATTCTATTAAAATTTGTTATCTTTAAGTTGATTTTTCATAAATTACAATGCCCTACAAAGTCATTAACGGAAGATTTCATAAAAAAAAACACGAGAACAGTAAACAACTTCCCTGCCAAAATGGAAATGCCCTTTGTAAGGGTAACACTACGCCAAATGCAGGCCCTCCCAAAAAAAGGCAAAAAGAAAAAAGCGATCAAACTGCGCAGTTGGCCGAAACCGGTTGTCCGCCTTGCAGAACGCCTGCTTAAGGGCCTTTTTGCAGTGATATTGACCAAGAGCAAGAAGCGGGCCACTCGTTTTGGAGGTGAAAAGAACAAACAAACAGAAACCAAAAGTGCTAGGCCCCATGACTTTGGCTAATGCACGCGAAAGCGTCAATAAATCATTTGCCAGCTATTTTGTTTGATCAGTCCACAGATGCGGACTTCTGGCCCAAAGACAGACTTTAGAACAGTTCAGGGAAAGAGGCAGAGAGGATGCGACGACATCGCGCAGTCATCTTGAAAATGTCACGCATGCGCTGTCGGCATGCGCGTAATTGCATTGAGGATGTGCGGCGGCCAAGAGGATGTGTCCAACTATATAATCCAATGGTGGGACACAGTTGGCTTCACAATTTAATGAGGGGTAAAATAATGAAATTGCCTGGGAATAAGCCATAAGCTGTTGACATATGTATTCTGAATGAATTTTAGTGACTTTTATGAATGCTTTTGCGAGTTTCCTGCAAATAGTATTTTCCTTTAATTAAAAGATGATCTATGATATAACTCTCTCTCTCTCTCTTTCTCTCTCTCCCCTCTCTCTTACTATTACAATATTAAACTCATTTTTTATTAAGGTGGCGCTAAAACAAACGTTTAATAGACATTTCAAGTTGTAACCTTCGTCACAGACATCTAGCGTTCATTTGCAGAACTTTCGTTTTATACATCTATTTTACACTATAACAGCGCCACCTGAGCGGCCTTAACTGGAAGTTCGATTTGTATAAGGTTTTTGAAACAGCTAAATGTATTGATTTTAGATTTTCGGTAAAGAGCTTTATTTTCTTGCAATTAAAAAACTAATTTGATTAATTTTTATATTATTAACTTGTTGATTATTTCATTTATTTAATGGTCAGATAATTTCCTACATCCAGACGCCTCTTAACCTTGAACCATCTAATAATTTTCATTCATCCGCCAGAGAGTCAGTGATTCCCAGAATTATAACTACAATAATCACTTAGTAGTAGAGAATAATTTATTTTATAATAATAAATACAAAGATAAGTAGAAGTATCTCTATCGGTAGTAATCTTGTCAATTCTTTGAAAACTTTCCATATTTCCGTTTGCCATTCATAGTAAGTATTTCTGTTGAATTTTCTATAATTTTTTTTCTAGATAATTGTTTTTAAAATCCAATCCATGAAGCTCGTAACGTTTGTAAAGACAATCAAATCATTCCTAATATAGCTAATCATGCCAACTAAATGGTACTTGTTAGCCCCTTTAATGGGATAAAATGTACCCATTACTGAACCAGGTATATCGTAGGTATAATCGCTTCTCGGTTTCTCCACACAGAATTCGTTCGGCTGTTTTGGCATTTGAGTTCCCTTAAAGCAATAAAATTTGCTAATTTGTTTAAAATTTACGAGTTGAGGGCCAATTATATCTTTTCGATCACTGTAGAGAATGGCTGTCAGCGAGGTTGGGGGAGTTGGCTTTAAGCCAAGACAGATCATGTTTAGGAAATCTAAAATAAATGTAAATTGTTAGGATAAGTTAGGAGTCTAAACTAATAAGTAGTTACATGAACTGGTCACCGTCCTACTTAGTCTAAGCAAAGCGATATTGTTCCTCAAGGATGATGCTTCGAACTTTGGGTGCTTAATGATCGCTTCAACATCAAAGCGCTCATTATATCTCGTTTCAACTTGTCTGCGTAGATTTATTAATAAAAGGGAATATGAATATAACCATAAATTACTTACATATTAGTGGGGTTTGTTACAAAAGCACTGGCAACAGTCAGGACATAACCTTTGGAATCAAAATAACATAACAAGGGAAAATGCTAGGTTAAATGGTTTTACTTACGGTCTGTGATCAATGAGCCCGTGAAATTTTGTTCAAATAGAGAGACTTCCCAAAGGCGAATATTAACCCCTCCGGACCAACTGCTCCCACACTGATCATACAAAACTAACTTCTCATCAAATTGTCCGGAGGTGCGGGTTTTTATCCAGTTTTTATAGGACATAACATCCGTATAGACACCATTACCATCACAAGACAATGTGCCGTAGCTGACGATTCCAAATTGCACTCGGATGTCCCTTTCCATGTACCTTGTACTTGATACCAGGGGACCACCAGAGTCGCCACCACAGGTGTCGCCTCCATCGGCTCCAGCGCAGAACAGTTTATCAGAGGGTTGAACTATCTCCCCCCTCGAATAGCACTCCTGTGTATTCTTTCGGGTCAATAAGATGACTTTCAGTATTTGGCTTCCTTCTCTGTTATTTGGATGGGTTTTACCCCATCCGTAGGCCGCAAATCTATCGATTCCCGCAGAGGTAAGGCCTTCATCCAAAATAATGCAGATCGGTGCAATTTGTGCTGGGAATACAAAGTAATTTATAAAATTATTAATATTCATTTTTGTTAGTTCATAAACTTGCTTACCACTGTATCTTATTTCCTCTTTTAACTCAAGAAGTCCTATGTCATTTATCAGTGTGCTTAGATTAAAATTAAAATGCAACATTGCAGTCTTCACATTATGCCACTCCCTTCTGCATTCCCTATCGGGGCATGATCTATCATTCTCCCCCAATCGCACAAATCTGAATCATGGTAGTTTAAGCATTAACTAAGTATTTACTAGACAGCAACTTACAGTAATTTCTGCTCAAGGAGACAATGTGCAGCTGTCAAGACGAAATCTAAAAGTAGGCAAAGTTAATATATCTTTTATTTAATTGGTTTTGTAATCACTTTTTGTAATCAACGATCCGCCGCAAATAAAATCCTTTGTGATATTGTAAATGCCAGCCATCCAAGGAGTTGAATTCACTGTGGCGTCTCGTCCTCCAATTATTCTCTGGCGCATGGAGGTGTCCCTTCCATGACACTTCTCATCCAGAAACTGACAGAAAGCCACGTTCCAGAGAATTAATATAAACAGTGTTGATGAGAGCACGGCGGAGTGCATTGCTTCTTGAGTTATGTTCCTGTATGACTGACTTTCAATCACCATGTTCCCTTCAATATATTCTTGATATAAATATGTGCAACTGTTTCTCCGATAAGGAATTTATTCATAACTCATTAATCATATTTTTTTTTTCGCGACTCCCGTTGCTTGACGTGCAACACAAGCTTACAGCAGGAAGAGCTGAACTTGGTACTGATTGATTGTAAAATAACAATATTTATTTATACTCTACATTTCAATATTTTAGTTGGCGTTGCAAGTGTTTTATTATGGGTATGAAAAAAGTCTAACCGAATGAATATAAAAGAAGGTTATGACTTTGGCAAATATAAACAGCGCCGAAATGTATGCTCTAATTTTGTTAAAACCCTAAGTTTGTAAAGATTAGAATGTTATAAATTTTTTATGTCACTCGAAATGTGTCAAGCAAATCTTTAAAAGTACTTAATTTCATGAAATTGATTTATTTTATAATTTCTCACAATAGAATGTGTGAGCTAGTTTATTAATTTATTAAGCATATCAACGAGCTACGGCAGTGATTACAGCACCTAATGTATTTGTTTACTGATTAGTTGGAAAAAAACAATCTTTATTTATACACTACATTTTAATACTTAAGTTAGTGTTGCAAGTGCTAAAAAAGTATTAGAAAATGTAAACGACTAAATATAAAAGGTTATGACGTTGGCAAATAAAAGTAACGCCGAAAATGTTTTTGTTAAAATCAAAATTTTTGTATGGGCTAGAACCTTTTTATGTTATTTTAAATTCTGAGACAGTCCTTTATAATAACTTCAGAACCGCCTTTACTATTACCACTGGGGTGATCGGCATGGTAAATAAGTTAGCCTGGTAAGTAGATGCGCTGACCTGTGACAAGCAATACGTCAATGTTATGAATGCTGAAGAATATTCGCATCGCGGCAGAATCCAACCTAAACAATATACGGGTTTTGCCATCGAAAACATTACGAAGGATCTCTGGGGCTTCGTGGTTTATCCGAAATAGAGACACTGATTGTGATCTCAACGTACTCAAACTTGGAGGCAAGCTGCAGGAACTGGCTCCGAAAACCATGGATAGGATAAATTTGCATCCCAATAGCCTAACCAGATAACCGCTGGCACCGCTGCTATAAACAGCTCTGAACCAAGCAACCGAGTCAAAAGAAGACTTAAACGACACTACCCTCAAGATCTGCTGGACCGGATTTTGACATAAAAATTTAAACTCACTCGTTGGTATGTCATAAAAAAGAAAAAAAATCTTACCCTAAATAACCCTTAGACTCAGTAATTATCTATATCGAAACTGATTAGATTAAGCTGCCAATAGGGTAGCAGTGTGCTAATCATAAAACTAAAATTCCCATTTTTTAATAATAAAAAAAAAGGATGATATTTTAAATTCTTTTTCTTTCATATAAGTGATTTATTTCATAATTTCTGACAATGGAATGTGAGCTATGACTTATAACAGTTGCTTATCAATGGCGCTTTGGGCTAAAAGCTCAACTTACTCAACATCTACTTGACAAATGAGATTAATTACTGATTATAAATAATGGAGAATAAAGAATTTATATGTTGGGACTTCTCAAAAAAATCTCTGTCGTAAACTTTTTCTTAGAACTAAAAATCTATTTTATATTACTAAAAACAAATTTTTTTTTAATGAATTTTCGTAGCTACAATAAGTTAACAGTATCTACCATCCAATATACATAACTTTGTATATTTGTATAAACGAACATGCCGTTCCTATCAAAGCTCAATATGCCAATAAGAATATATCTATTCACGTCGCTGATATTCCTGAATGTGCCTAATATTGAGCCAGGTGTCTTATGAGAGAAATCGGTAGATTCTTCCACACAAAACTGGTTACTTTCTACTGGTATTCCAATCTGTTGGCCACAAACAAAGTTATCAACGGGACTGGAAGTCACTTTTTTAAAGCCCATGAAATCTTCGGTGTTTCTATTGATAATTTTAGTCAATGTCCTTGGGATTTTAGGATTAATGACTATGCAGATTGGTTTTACAAGATCTGAAGCAGAAGAACGTTAAATAGATAAAGCAGTGGACTGAATCATAGTTACCTGAGTTGGGCACATTTTTAGCCAGCTTTAGCAGAGCTATATTGTTCTTTAGTGATGTTGAGGAATAACCAAACTCTTCGTGCATGTGTATAGATTCCACTTTAAGACTTTCACCGTATTTGGTTACTACATTACTGAAAGTAAGATTATGATTAATATTATGCTTAAAATAACTTAGATAAAACTTACACTGGAGTTAGGGAAGAACTTCTATAAAAAGCACTTGCAACAGTCACCACAAAACCTTTGGAAATTCCGAAATCTATATTTATGCTGTTTTAAATTCCTTTCGTAAACTACTTACGATTTGTGACCAAGGCACCAGTGAAAGTATTTTGAAACAGTGACACCTCCCACAGGCGAACGAGGACTTCATCAGCCCAACTGCTCGAACAATCGTCGTATAAAACCCGATTTTGTTGGGACTCCTGATGGCTTATAGTATTATATAACCAGGTTTTATAGGCCATCACATTTGTGTGTTTCCCATACGATTCGCAGAACTCATTGGCGTTGCTAACGAGTCCAAATTGTACTGTTAGTTTTTCCCCCTTATAATGGAAATTACCTGCCAGTGGACCCCCTGAGAGGATACCACAGTAGTTATTTTCATTTTCAGCACAGATCTGCAGAGGTTCATTAGTTCGATCGCAATAATAGTGTGGCTTCTTAGTCAGCTGTATGGCCTCCAGCGATTGTCTTTTATGGTGCCATCCAAAGCCCTTCAAATGTTGAATTTCTTCTGAATTAACCAGGTCATCCATGATTATACAGATAGGCCGGATGTATGCTAAAGAAGAAGTAAAAAAAAAATCTTAGTAAATTGATTAAAATCGAAATATAAACATGGAAGAACTTTGCAGAGTAGTATTTCGAATACAAAGCCTTGAAATCTTTATCTGAGAAATTCTATTGTTCTTGGCAGTAATTTTCTCTTTAAGCTTTCGAGAACGTACTGTATTTTTATACTCCAAAAGTACATAGACCTACCATTGTATTTAACCTCATCAATGAGTTTTAGGAGAGCAATATCGCCTATGCCACTGATTGGATGAAAGCTACGATGTATATTAACCGCGTCCACTCCGAACAGTACGACGGTATTGCAACGCGAGTCCTTGCAGGATCTATGATACTGCCCCAAGCGCACATATCTTATAAATTATATTAAAGTTAAACACAATCAGATTCGTATATTTGTTTTACTTACAGTTGGTTTTGTTTCCATGTGCAACTCGCCGACGATAAAACGAAGACTTAAAGCAGTAAATGTTAATATAGTAAAACTTATCAAAAAATATTCAGTACATTATCATACTAACGATTGCTTATGAGTGTTCCATAGCATATAAATTTATTATAATTATATACGCTAGCCAGCCAGGGAGTACTTTCCAGTTGACGTTGGTGCCCAACATTTTCGGAGTCCAAACATTCTTCATCCAGGAGTTGAGATGAGCTCATGTGACAAATCACTAATGTTAATAAAGCTAGCGGAAGAAACTTAAACATTATGCCCGGCGAAAAGTTTCTGTACTACTGACACAATATCACAATTTTCATTCTCATAACCAGAAGAGAAGCCGGCAGAGAGCCTTATCAATTCTTGGGGACAAATACTGCGAAAGAATGTCTTATATATTTCATACGATATATGAGTAACATAAATGTATAGTATTTGAGAAACTCAAACCAAAGTCAAGTTTTAGTTATAATACTTAAAAATTAAAAAACAAATCTGACTCAACTATAATATCTAATAATATGTACTATATATTAGTTTAAACTTTAATTTTAAAAATAACGCAAAAAATAAATGTTCTCTTGAGAACTGCGCAGCTCATCAGCTGTCCGTCTCTTGTGGTGCATCACATCCGTGTAAGAGGTATCAAAATCTCTCTTTCAAGCCTATAATCCCAAACTGAACACATCTCTTGCTACCCAAGCCCCAAAAACAGGCAGCCAGCCTTCGTTTCAGTTAGAGAAATTCAGTTTTTCAATGAAATTATTTTTAGCTCTGTTCAAAGACTTAGCTTGTTAGTCAAGACTACCCTATAAAACGCGAGTAATAGGCAGAAAAGCTTTCGCATTTATATTGCAATTGAACATCAATCTCTTAAGCTTTACCCCGACATAAAAATTAAAAAAAAAGCAAGTTTACTGCGAAGTATGTGTGGATAACGATTTTTTGTTAGTGTCAAACCAATCGTTGGTGCTCTTATTATTTCACAAATTGAAGATTGGATAATGCAATTTGATCTAAATATAAATTTTATTTTTTAAAGTTAATTTAATTTAAATCCTTGTAATTTAGAAATACAGTGCAAAAACAAATTTAAAAAAAATCGACTTGCAATTGGCTCACCTGTCGGCAACAACATAAAATATAGATGGCGTTTTGCTTGGGACCGGTTTTTGGGACATAAAGGTTGTAGATTTTGTTGTAAGATGCATGTAGATAGAGACGTAGATAGCCTACAGTTCATGTTTTTGAAATATTTTCCTAAGATTAGGTAACTTTTTGGTAGAGCTGTAGGTTTGCCAAATAGTTGCTAACTTTTTATGCCTTTTAAACTAAATTCATTATTAATGGATTTCATTATTAAGGATTCATTATTTTTTAAATCTATCATTTATACTAACTAAATTAAGAACGGTTCTGTCAGACAGGTTATGTTCAGTGACAGGATTTTTATAGAGATATATCTGCACAAAAATATTTAATTGAAAGTTTGCTTTTGGTGTTAAATTAAAATTATACTTTAAGTGATTAATATAGGTTTATAAATTAACTTTGTGAAATGAAGTACGTTGTGGTTGTAAGCTTGTATAAAGAGTAAAAACGTACATAATAATCGTACAATGTGGTTTTTTACTTCCTATTCGCCTTCCGTAAAAACCCCATTCATAACAAAAATTTAAAAAAAAAAAATATTTTCACAGATAATGCTATCATAATAATGAAATTCATGAGTAATGAATTCAAGTTAAAAGACATACAAAAAAGGCATGGTAACGAAATCTTTTGAAATTCTTTGCTATGGTATAGAAAATTCTTATTAAATATAAGAAGTTTGATTCAGAAAATCTCATTTCTAAGATCGAAAATAAACATATAATTATTTATAATTAACAATTCCTTCTTGAAATTTGCCAAACTACTACTTAGATAATAGTCACTAAAAATAGATGATTTATTTAGTTTGATTTTCAAAACAAAATATTGAATTGATACTCAAAATTGTGCCAAATTCTAAAAACATTTCCTCTTATCCATTGAAATACCTTTAGTCTGAGGCATTGATCGACTATTTACTGTTAGCACTTGTCAGCATGAATTACCGTTATGAGTGGTAAAGGCCGAAAGAGGATGATGAGCTGCAGAGTGCTGGGCACGTGCCCATGAGGATATCGCGATAACAGGAACAAACAATTTGACAATTTAATGTGGCGACAGTCATCAACCTAAAGCTGAAGACTCGACACTGAAACTGAAGCTTGGGTCGAGGATCGGGCAGCTAACTCGTGTCCGCTGACAACATTAGCAGTGGAGGAAGTGAGGCTATAATTATAATTCCATTACCAGGGGAGCAACAGGAACAAGGTAAGGTGTGCTCCTGATCCTGCGCCGAGATCCTGAGTGCAAGTCAAAGACAATTGAGTGGCGTAATTGCCGAGCCGAGTCGAGTCGAGCTGAAGCGGCAACTAATGATGGCCAAGGATAATGCGGGCCGTGTTAATGTGGCCAGAACGCGCCAAGCAGGCTGACGAGCAGGTGAATCGGCAAGCCAGGCCAACCTCTGACAAAATGCGGAAGTATGCGCATTTCGCCCGATTCGCAGCGCATTCGATACGATCCGCATTTGATGGAATGTCCGAAACGTTTCACTTCCTTACCACTTCGGCGGCTTACTGCCAATTAGGATGCCGCTCCGCAGCTGCCCAGCCGCCTGAATCACCTAAGCCACCTAAAACCCAAACGCTCTCAACTCGCTTTTATGAGCCGCCAGGTGGGGTCGACGCGCATTTGCCGATAAGAATGTCATAACACAAGCTCCCAATTAACTGCGTCGTCGTCGTCGTCCAGCGGAGGTGGAGCCGTGATTCGTAATTCGGGCCTCATCCGTCCGGGGGCTCATTTGCATCTGAGGGGCGGGAATGCCATCCATCCATCCATCCATCGATCTATCCATCCATCCAACCATCCAGCGGAGAGTGCCACTTCGGCGGCGCAGCGGGCGATGGTGCGATGTCCCAGCTCGAGAAGGAGAACGAGAATGGGAATCAGCGATCCAGGACAGTGATGACGGAATTTTAGAGATTAATTTGGCTTTTACATTGAGAAGGAGTATAAAAATAATGTAATCTTCACAGTAGCTTTTACGTTAAAACGTTACAACCTTTAACACCTTCTCAAATTAAGTCAATTTTAAATACTATAAAATCTTAGTGTAATTGTTATGAAATGCTTGAAAAATGGCTAAATCTGTCTGCAAGCCAGCTAAAGCTAGCACCGCTGTTCAAGGAGAGCCGCGCAGGGAGTCGCAGAGATATCCATCAACGTGTGGCGTGTTTGGCTCCTGTAAGTTGTTAACTCGACTTTTATTGCCGCACAGTCGGTTGCTGGACCACCGAAGGGTCATTGGCTCATTGGCTCCGACTTGGACATCGAGTCCAACCATCCATCGATCGATTGCCTCTCTTTTGCGAAAGATCTTTCGATTTCGGCCGGTTCACACCCAGGGCCAGTTCATTTCCGTACCTGCGGCCCCAATCAATGGGCACAATAAAGGTTAATTATGTAAATGTCACACAGTTGCTACTGTCCATGGTCGTTTCCATTTTCTCATCCATTTCCCCTACTCCCATTTCGATTTCGATTCCCATTCCCATTACCATTATCATTCCCACTGTGATGTTTATTCCTATTCCAAAATCCAATTCCGAAACGCGCTCAAAACTCACAATTTAATGGTCTCGAAACGTTTCAATTTTTATTAGTTCACATTGGGTCCTAACCTGTTGTCGGGAGCGTTCTAAATGAGAACATAACTGCTTCTGTTGGCACCGCCAATTAACCCCTTTCCTCCCTGGCCATGCGATGCCCCTTCCTCCTGTTGCTGCCGCTTACCGCTTGCCGCTTTTTACGGTTTAATTGTGCCCACGGCCAGAGACAAAACAGAGAAATCAATCTCGAAATGCGTTGACAAGTGAGGCCAAGAGCAGGCCCAAGATTCAGGTCCCGACCGAAGAGCAGACGGAGATTGCGAGGAGTCACCCCGTACCCCAAACCCTGAGGTGCATTTAAGTGCACCTTTAGGAAATTAACCATAAAAAATTGCTTCATTTAAAAAGAAAAAAAAAACCAACCCAGACAATGTCCCAACAGGCAGGGCCAGCCGAAGAAGCCAAATGCCAAAGAAAACCAGAGTGACGTTGGGTCACATCTCTGGGTTCGGATGCCAGAGGTTTTGGCCTAGAAAGCGGAAGCGATGGATGGACCCACTGCTATAATATATGTTTTGGGGAAGGAAGTCAAGTTACAACGGAAGAAGGGGGTTAATAAAAAGCAAATTAACAGTTTGGAGACATATTTCTTACAGCTTAATTAGAAAGCGTTAGATAAGAGTTAAACACAAGCAGTAAAGATACAAGTTCTATAAAGAAAAACTAAGATATAAAATAATGATTCTTTTTGTTTTAGAAACTGAAAATAATAGGCAAATGATCTGAAAGAGATGAATAGTTATAGAAAAGGAATTCATTTGAAAAACTTTCCTAAAAGGTTTGCTTTCCTTTTAATAACTATATATAACTATATATATAACTGTATATAAGTTAATGGTAGGACTTAGTTTAAACTAAAGACAAGCATATATCTAAAACCATTTATTAAACATATAAACTATAATAAAGCTCTAACTTACCCAACAACTTCATGTCCTAGCTTTCCATCACCATCATAATCATAATCCATTAAGTTTATCCGTAATTGAAACCCATTAATTACAGTACATGCTGCTGTCAAGCCATCATAATAACCATTACCATCCTCATTGGCTGGGCAAATCCGCTTGGCGATTCCATTCCATTCCCAGCTCGATGTCGTCGCAATGTCAAACATTTGGATCTGCTAATCGCGTAAAACATAACACCATTACCGCCATAAAATAAATTTTCTGCCATAATATCTGTCGCGCGAAAGGGCCTCGGCTCGGTGAAACGTCCACGACGACATCTTGTGTCCCATTCCTCGTCCGAGTCCAATTTCCAATGCCCCAACTGGATTTTGATTTATGCCAAAATCGCCGAGGCGAGCGGGCAAAAACCGCAAAACACAAATCAAACGCAAACAGCGCGACGAAACATTGCAACAATCCATGCCAGGCTCTACTCCGGCTTCTTGCAGCTTCTCGTCCAGCTCCGATTCCTTCAGCTCCGGCCCACAAATGCTGCCTGGCTAACAAGAGGAGCAACAGCAAGCTGGTCAGCAACACAAAAAAAGGCTAAAAGCGAGCGCGAAATCCAAACGCGAGCGGCGCGCGCGTTTTTTGCCGCGCCAAATGTGCGACAACAAAAACGCGTCTATCTGCCTGGTTTCAGCCTCATTGATATTTCGAGCGCGAGCGTATAAAAATATTCTGTCGCGGCCGATCCCGAGATCCCGATCCCGATTCCAATTCCGATTCTGATTCCAATCCTGGCCTGGCCTAAAAGTGTCGCCCGAGCGGGATCGTCGCTGCGATCAGCGATCAGCAGAAATCATCGTCATCATCATCATCGATCCGGCGATCCAGAAGCCCTTCGTTTTTCGATGATTGCACTATAAGAAAAATGTATAAGTTTTCAAGGTTTAAGATTTAAGTAAAATTACTTTTTATATAATAAGAATTAGCGAAACCTTCATTGTTTCTCTCTGTGCCAAGTTTTTGCTTGATGCTTGATGCTCCCAGTGGCTGTCAGTCATAGTCATGCCAGGGCATTCCAATCTGGCCATGATCAGGAGGCTTCTTCTGGCGATTCCTTGGCATATTCTGCTTGGCTGGCTGGCTGGCTGTGCATTCCTCGCCGTCAGTTTCCTTGCGCGCATCCTCAACGCCTTTTAGCATTGTTTATGAAGTGGTGTGTGGAGAGTGGAGCAAGGAGCGGCTATATTGGTCATTGGCCAGCCAGGATGCGGAATCGCGGCGGCATGCACGTGATACAATTATGGCAGCGCCTTTTTTTCCGGAATATTTTTTGCCCGCTTTGCATAATTTAACTGCGCGCAATTGTCGCGGCAATTATTTTTAGCCACTGATTTATTGTTGGCATATTCAGAGTATTGGTCTTGGGAAAGTTTCTCGCAACTTCACACCTTTGCCCAGGATGGCCATTCTCTGCTCCCCAGGCACCTGCTTACGAATTCCGCTCACATTGTCTGCCGCCACACCATGCCGATTCCAATGCCATTTTCGCACTTCGCAGTTGCAGTGGCAGTGTTTCAAGTTGCAGTTGCAAGTTGCAAGTTGGCAACCATTGTCGCCTCTTTCTGGGGTAGACCCGACCCCGCCGATCTTCCACTGCCTCCGCGGGCGATCGATAGTTATGGTCGTGTCAGACATCCTGTAATTTCGCCGTTCCCTCTGCCTCATCCCTACATCAGTAATGTTGGCAACTTGTTGACACTTCATTGGCGCGCAAGTTAATTAAGAAGGAGAAGCCGCAGATACCGTCGACCACCGGCGGTGGCAAACACTTCATTTTGTCATCATTTAAATAGGCATCGCGATACAAATTACATGAATTGTGAAGCAGAAAATAACGTGAAATTTAATTTATTATCTGTCTTGATTGTTTTTATTGTGTTTAACATACTTTTAACTCTTTAATAAGTTAAAACTGGCATATGAACTAGTTAGTTAAGTAACTAGCTTATCTCCATCACGATATAGTTTAAGGAAGTTTTAAGTAGATTTATAATCTCTTTATCCCCCAATCAAGGAAAACACATCATTCACTCAGCACAAATACTCGAATTCTTTTATTTAAATACTTTATTATATTATCACCCCTTTTCATCAATATTTAACCAATCATTTTTGATGAAACATAAGTTCAACAATGTTATGATTAAGCCAGCAATTTTCCATTTTAAAACTTCATTATCAGAGATCCAGTTTTAAGGAAAAGAAAATGCCAAAAAAATGAACTCATTTTCCTCCATTGATTGACTTTAAACTTGATTAAAGGGGCGTTTAGGATTAAACTACGTTGCTATATATACACAGATCATAAAACTGGGTCAGAGGGATAGTGCATTTTGATTCAGTTGACCACCTCCACGCTGCAGTCCTCCTCCTCCTGATCCTCTTCCGCTTCGACAGCATCCTCGTCCTCTGGAATTTCCAAGGGCTGGGGAGCTGGACTATCCTGACTGCTTTCACAGGAACTAGACTCCAGACACTCCAGACGATTGCTATCGAGTCGAAGTCGCTTCTCCGGCTTCTTAAGCAGCTCCTCAATGGAGTAAGGGTTACGCTTGCGACTATGGCTCAGTGCCGAGCCAGGAGAAGCCTCTGGAGCTGATCCGGCTCCACCACCAGAAGCGGTTAATGAAAGTGCCGCTGGTGAAGATTTGCCGGAATCACAATCGCTAAGTGCATCGCCAGCAGCTCCGGGTGTCGAAAGATCGATGGAGCTCTCCGACTTGGTAAAACCACCCATAGACGATGTGGAAGATGCGGCCGCCGCTGCCATGGCATGGGGCAAATAGCCGCCGGCATAGGGCAGGAATTGTCCACCCGAGGCAGCCGCCTGAGCCTGAATGTGAGCTTGGGTGTAGTAGAGTAGGGAGGGATTCCACAGCCAGTGCTTGTGCAGAGCAGAGTAACTTAAATCCAAGCCAGAAACATTGGGATTTAGGCCATGATTGTGGCCATGTCCCATGCTGGGCGGCATTTTGGGAGCGGGTTTGATGGGCATTTCCCCGGCGGTATTCATCATCATCGCCGGCGGTTTTGCATAACGTGCAACGGAGGGCGTGGCTGCCGGAGTGGGTGGAGCCACAGTAACCGGAGGAGGAGGAGCTTGGGGTCCATATCCATTGGCTGGACCATTGCCCGCTTGATGAGCCGCTGCTGCCGCCGCCGCCGCTGCAGCTGCCGCATTCTGCTGACTGGAGGTCATCTCGTCCGTCCAGAGACCACTGTTGCGCAGAATTCGGTTGATGGAGCTTATCGAGGGCACCGAATTGTGATCGCAGACACGCTGTTGCTGCAGTTGCTCGCGAATTTCCCAAGCGAACATGCCGCTGTTCTCCTCCTTCAGGCGGATGATCTTCTTTACCACGGTGGGAGTGGCCACTTGCTGGAAGGGAAGAAATATAAGGGATTAAAATGGGTTGAATAAGGAAAGAAAGTTATTTAAAATGGTTTGTTGAAAGTTTTCTTTCAATTCTTAAAGGCTTAGGTATATATTCCCGTGATAACAATATTTTTATAGTTTCATTAATCTGCATATCGCTCGCAGATCTATTATATTTTCCCCATGAAAACATTTTCCGTGACAACATTTCTTACATAGAGGAAAAACCCCCAACTACATGCCTTCAACCCCTTACCTCCCAGGTGTCTCTGTTTCTGTTCCCTACGATTAATTACCGTGAAATTAAATTGTGCACTAAACTAAACCAAAGCGCACTTGCAACAATTGCAAAAAGGGCTGACAGCGAATGCAGCCACGCCCCCTTTTCAGCTGTCATGTTCGCGGGGAGATTTGCATCGGACCCACAACGGGCGGCGTTGTAGCTGCTTTTGCATATGTTAATTTGTTCGAGTATTTCAAAGGACCTTCCTCTGGCGCCCGATTTTCACGTGTGACGCGGCAATTCATTAAAAATTCATAAATACGCTTAAAAGGGAGTTTATCAAAGGCGGTGGGGGAGGGGGAGTAATGGGGGGATTTCGAGGAGGGGTCGGAAGCCCCTCTGGCGAAGCAAAGTTTGCATGCCAGATCTTATCGGAAATCTACACGCGCGCTCACTCTTTGCAACCACTGTCCTTGCCCCAGCGCTGCCCTCTATTCCTATACACTAAAAGGGGAAAAGGAAATAAAGGGCAGGGGCGGGGGCAACTTCTTTATTGACCCAGCGTAGGTGTTAAATGCGCGTTTTGTTCGAGCTAGTGCAGGGCACTTATTGAATCACCATGTAAGCGGGTGGGTAACCGATGTGGTAGGGGGTTACCACCGCGTACATTGTGCACTTTGTGGGCGTTGCAACTACCGTTAATTAGGCGTTCTGTTCCGTCGGCAAACATCGCACCTGAACCAGTGTTTGCTTTGGAGGAAGGGGAACTTATGGTGGAATGGATTGTTTTAGGGTTAGAAAATGGGAATATCCCTGGAAGGATATAAATAAATGTGAGACTACACTATATGAACTTTATTATAATCTCATAACCAACTAAAGATTAGAGTAACGACAGCGTAAGAGGGGTAACTCTAACGCTATAGCCAAGAAAATTCGAAACCAAAGTTCAGTTTTCTAAACTTAGCGTTGACGGGTTAGAACTTACATCAGAATTTAAAGATAAAATGAAAAAGTTTGCTAAAAAAAAAACAGTTTAAAAATTCCTAACAACTATGAAAATATTCCATAAAAGAAGCAATATTTTTACAATAACCGCATGGAAATCGTTAACTATGGTGCGTATGGGTCGTGATTCGGTGTTATCGCGTGGCTCCTGGTGGATTGCTGATTCCGTAACCCAGTGCGCAATCACCACTATCAACGTGCCATTGTCGTCACTTTTTTTTCTGGTGCCGTGAAGCGGCCGAGCAGCGGCTTAAACGGTAGCAGCCACACTTGATTGGGCGTGCGAACCGCACAGGTGGCTCCCAACCAGCCCGGTTAGCCCACTTTCCAGTTATCATCCTCGAACAGGCGAGATTGATTTGCTGCGCTCTCTCCACTCGAACGCCCACTCCTCTATGCCCCGTTGCAAGCCCTTCAAGCTTCTATCTCCTACCACCTAGTACCCACCTCCTCCACCTGCCACTCCCACGCGGCCATAAAAGCTGTCATCGAAATGGGAGAACATGTAAACTAGCTGCTGGTTACAAAGCTTATCTGGGCTATCTGTTTCCGTGTATCTGTGATACTTTATGGATTTACTGCTGTGCGTTTGATTTTTATATAATCGTTTGTTGATTTCATGCACCACAGCAGACCACATGTGGTTTCCCGTCCCCCCAGATCTGGTTTCCATCCCCCCGTCCAATACGAAGACCCATTGCCATTTGGAACCAACTTACCTTGGTCTTGCTGCCGCCAATGGAACCTGGTCGAATGGAGCCCGTCTCATAAAAGCGAGTCAGTATTTTGGAAACGCAACCTATTGTAGAATAGCAGAATGTAATGTTTTAGCTCTGCGTTAGGACTATATTCTTTGGTAGACTTACCATGAGAAACCAAGAGCTGGCGGGATATATCACAGGGCCTAACTCCGCACAAAGCCAAGTCCACGATCCGGCGACGAACGCAGTCCGGCAAAGGGCGGCCATTCACGAAAACTCCACCCAACTGATTGACACCAGCTTGTCCTGAAAGGATGAGGAGAACGAAAAAAGAATATTTTTTAGTCTTAAGATGGATAGCTTTAGCCAAGCTCCCTTCTGCTACCAAAATCTCATTTAAGAGCCAATCGATTAAAATTTAACAAGTTTTTGCTGTACAAGAAGCAGCATGAAGAAGTCTTTTCCTAATCTAAATTAAGTAATATAAAAATAGGAACCTTTAAAAACATTTTGTATATAAAATAGCAAAGCTAATAATTCATCTAAGAAACCTTTAGGTATACAAGCATTAAGATCAAATGTTAGCTTGACAAATATTTAGAGTTTATGGTTTGAGCACACTCAGTTTCCTAAGTAATTTACTAAAGCGGGTTAAGCCAGGAAGATTTACAATGGGCACACGCGTCTGGGCTAAATGCCCGTAGTTTGGCAACCGCTCTGCCCTGTTGACTTGGCTAATCTCTCTCTCACCTTTACCTAACTGGCTGGATCGTAAACGCAGGCGGCAAAAGTGCGCCAGTAATAACCGTGGCTGGCTCTCTATATGGAATCTTGGATACTCAAGGGGGCCATTTGGAAGGGAAGGAGGAGTTGGTTGAGGAGGAGAAATGGTTGACCAGAGATCGCATCTGGCGCTTTTGTTTAATTTCCTTTCGGAGTTCATTAGCGGGACTCACCTGTATGCGGCATGGCTGAAATGTGATCAACAATTCAATTCAATCCAATCCAATCCGAAAGTGATTCGATACGATCCGATTCGATCGGTAGTCGTTCGTTCGCAGTCGCTTAGCCTCCGTAAAGTATTTTGGTTTATTTGCTGTTTGTTTTTTTGTTTTTAGTTTTTTCTTTTTTGTCTTTCGTCCCGTTGGTGAGGCTGCTGCTTAGTTAATCGCTGAATTTTAATCAAATTTCAAGCAAGAACGTCATAAAAACGCTTTGATGGATGTCGTCGTGGTCGCCGGGCTATTAGGATGCTCAGTCTTTAGACTTAAATGCTGTTTGACTCAGCACTGATGCTCGTACTGATGCTTGGATGATGATGCTGGCGGCCCACTCCCCGAAGACTTTTTTACGGCTTCCACGAAATCGTACGGCGTCCAGGCCGGGCCAAAACCGATCCGATCCGATCCGAAACCAAAACCAAAACCGAGCCGAACAACCGAGCTCTCTGGTGAACAGTGAAAATCTAGTAAGGAAAATACATAAAACTTAATTATTTTATAAAACTACGCGGCTGGGAGTTTAATGTGCAGTGGTTTATGTGCTCAATGGCCATGTCCAGTGACCGGTGACCAGTGCCAGGGAGTATCTCAAATTAGCTGCTTATCAGGCACATTCCCAACGCAGCGTGAACTGCTGGCCCATTATCGAGAAATTCCCCCACACCCCGACAACCCTCCAACCCAAAGTCTCTAAAAAAAAGGAGTTCGGCCATAACCATAGGCCAACTATGCAAATGCCAAGGGCCAGGCAGGAGTAACAATTAAAATGAATTTTGGCCAATTGCTCATTTCGTTAAATATGCAACCGGCCAAAAAAAAAAGAGATATGCAAATGGGCTTTCAGCACCACCGAGTTGCGGCCGGTGGTTTCCGCTTCCTGTTTTCCCTACTTATGCCTGTGTTTTTTTTTTCTTTCCTATTTTGGCCAGGATTTGGGCCTGTCGGCAGCCTGTCAGAGGCATGAAAACGCGCTGAAGAACCGTATAAATCAAAAAGTGTAACTGGCCACTGCCTGGCGACGGTCCACACTTTGTCATGGCCATGTTATTATGGAATTCACATTAGATTTAATTGCCGAGCCCGAAGTCCTTTGCTGCCTCTTGCCACTTTTCAGCTCGTAAAAGCCACCGAAATGCGCGTGTTTAAGCCACCGTGCCACCACACGCACCACATACTCCCCCTTTGAAGTGGAAAAAAAAGAACAGAACAAGAAAAGCCACAAAAAAAACTCGAAATTAAGTTGTTCATTAGGTTTTTTTGGACTCTCCTCAGTCTCAGTCACCTTTTTTTGGTTTTTTTTGGTTGGTGGTTACCGCTCACCGCGAACGGGAAACTCGTGCTGGCCGTTAAGGCCATAAAGTTCGCAGTTGGCCCGGGGCCAAGATTTGGCCAACAGTGCGATAAGGATTCCATTCCATTCCATCCAGTTTTGTAGTAGAAAGTGAAAAAGACATTCCGGTCAAATCCAATTTGGCCGCAATGAAAGGGTTAATTTCCCCGCTGTCGTGCTGCTCGACCATTTCGCTGGAATGTTTGTAGGCCCAATCGAGGCCAGTGAGCAGTCAAAACTAAATAGTTCCGGGCAGGTGCCAACCCCTTGAAATGGCCAAAGATCAGGCTTCTTTGTGCCCCTTCATCTAATTATGTTTTTGGGGTTCTTTTTGGTTTGGAAAACGAGCTAAAGCGGGAATAATTCTTAAAATCTTCTTAGGGAAATCTAAGTTGAAGTTGAGATCTAGTACCCAAACCTATCTATAAGAAAATCACCAGGTAGTGCTCCAAAGTGTATGGTAATTAAACTGAAGTACCTAAAATTCCCCATTTAGTTTAACGGACCTTATAAAATGTAAACGTGTAGCAAAGGTTTTTTCCAGAGTCGTCTCAACTGCTACGAGTTTAATTTTAAATATGATCTCCCATCTTAATGACGGGTTATATATAGAGCTGAAGCTAATCTCGGCCTGGAGAACCCCATTCAGGTTTTTAAGGGGGATAATATATAAACTAGTATATATGCTACCGATTTCTCCCAATCGAATTCAACTCGTAAGTCTCAATTAGCTTCGTGCACATGTCAAGCGGAACAGACATAAAAACCGATAGAAATTAGTTAAACATACAATAATTTAAATTCGTGCGATTACCGAAAGTGGAACCGACAGGTTGGCCGAGCTTCTGTATTCGGCTTCGGACCCTCTCCCTATGCTTCTTTTTATTTATTTTTTTTGGATTTTTGGTACCCCCCGCGGATCGATACATCGATCGATTGCTTGGCCGAAACGATGGCCAGATCGAACCGGGGCATTAACAGCCGCTAATTAAAATAAAAAAATTATAATAAAACGTACGCTTCACCATTTGAATATGATTAGCTCGATCTTTCTGGACCACGCTTAAATAAGTTGTCCGGCAGCTCGTTGGCCGACAAGACGGTGGCTTAGAAAGCTCTCAAATCAATGAGCCATAATGGTAGCCAGGCCAAGTCTCAAGACGGCATGACAAAGAATTAATTAGCATACGATTTTTGACTTTTGTCGCTCGCCGGACTCGTGGGAAAACTAAAAAAAAAAGCTTGCCGAGATGGCAGGGCAGTCATCGATCTGCCAAACGATCATTTGGGCCGCTTCAAATGAGTTATCTCAGCCCGGCGGAAGTTCAATTGGCCGTAGTTTTGCATTGCAAATTTGCTTGCTTTTTTCTTGCCTCTCCGGTCGGTCAACCATCCGGTGGCATCTTTAAGTTCATTCACAATATGAATATTGGAAAAACAAATCTTGGTCTAAGCTAACACCGCCGCTTGAATGGCGATCACCTCGTTCCGTTCCGATCCGTTAGATCAGATCGTCGTTCATTAAGAAATAAGCCGATGCGGCTTTAAGAGGGGCTGAGGTAGAAGGGGGTTTTAGACTTGAGACCGATGTGTCGAACACGATAAGCAAATATCGTTATTAAAGCCTTTCAAAAAATGCCGCAACCTGCTCGGGAGCGACTCGATTTAATGATTTAGTTGTTGAGAAAGCAAATTATGCGCAAACAAATTGATTACGATCGTTTATGGTGGTCATTATGGGCAGGTCGATCGATGCGGCCAGGTCTTAATTAAGTCGTCGATAAGTCATCGTCGTTAGCTTTTGTCAAGTGTTGGTATAATACAAAGGTTTCGGGCAATATGTCTGGCTAATATGGTCTGCCCTCTAAAAGCAATGTATGTTCTTTTAGCCAAATTCAAGTGCAGCGATTGCAGTTTGGCTTATCTGGTATTGAATGGGGAACTAGATAGAAACATCTGCCGGAAAATCACCTGTGCTATACATATTAAATGTAAGCTAATGGCCTTTACAGCGAACTAATAAAGCAGTTACCATGCATACAAACTCCTGAAGAAGTGAAGCTAAAATGTATTTTAAAATGAACCAAGAAATAGAATTTGAGTTCCTTGATTACTGGTTTTTGGCTTGTGAATAATTCAAATTGTAAATAAAAACAAACAAATTATCATATTTCTAGCACTTTAAGTTTGTGAACTACCAATTTTAGGAATAATCCCATAAAATCTCAAACTTCTAGCCATACCATTTTGAATAACTCCTTAAAATAGTTTCATTTATAAATCGTCTTTACATCTTTACATCTCTGCTATCAGGCAATACTATTTTCAAAGTCTCATTAAAAAATCCTTTAAATAACTACAAATTCTCTTCAATGGTTAGAAAAACAGTTTAAAAATTTTAAAATACCATTATATTATTAATTAATAATGATAAATTTAAAAACTCTTTGTCAGTACTAAAAACTTTTAGCAGATATTGAAAAGTTCAATGATAACTTTCCCAATGATTAAATGACATTTAAGTGGTAATTAAAAAACCTTTTCTCAGAACACATTTCCCAGTTAAATCTATATTTAGATCTATGTTTCAAGGATCTTCTCACCTTAATCTTTAAGAACTTTATTCGCGGCTATCCAAAACTAGAACTTGATCCTTTAAGCACTTGATCACAACACTTTTCGCTTGAGTTTTGCATACACAGTGGGCTTATCCCTTGGATAATGGCCTATTTAATCAGTTAAGAGGCGCGACGGCTGAAGTCTCTTATTTTTTAGTTTAATTCTTTTTATTGGGAGTTTGCGACGCGACGCACCTTGTCACTCGACCGTCAAAAATTCGACTAACTGCACGCGAATCGCGGTGCCGGCGCATCGATCAGATCAATTTGGTGGCAGTGGCAGTGGAGTGGCCGTTGAAGTGGCAGTGGAAATTGAGAGTTAGCTTCGTGCCTCGCCCGCGGTCCATCAGCCAACGATTTCTACTGAGGCGCCGCCAAGCAGAGCAGGCCAAAACGCCACCGAAAAACCGCCGCGCTCACACACACTAACACATTTGAAGTACACACACATCGACAACTGCCTTCACGGACTCACAGACGAACCGTTTTTCTGGTGTAACCGGTTTTTCACGGCTGCGACGTTGAACGCAGTTCCAGCCCCATTTGGCTCGTCGCCAGCCAATGAAAACCCAACGACAAGCTACCACGGTGCGCATGCGTTGCCCGCTGCGTTGATGGAGATCTGCCATTGGCCAAATTCCGCATAGAGTGGCGTGGGCCAGGTGACACGTCCTCTGGGAGCGAAATCGACACGGATACAGTGGGTCAAGTGTGAAGAGGCTAGTGGGTTAGGTCTACGCTTAATCGGATTTTAACAGCTTTCAAAATCACATTGAAGTTAATGGTGAAAGAATTGCTCAACTGTTTTTAGGTAAAGTCTTGGTGTGTCTTGAATATCATTTAGTTATGTTTTTAGCAGTTAAAGTTAAAAGTTTTATTGCCCCTAAAAAAGGTTTATGCTTCTTTATAGGGTACTTCTTCTAGGAGAGCTTCTACTATCGATGACTATGAGTTTTGGAAGAGATTTTATAAAATAAAACTCTGAATCAAAAACAAATAAGATGGAATAATAAAAGTTAAAATCAAAAATATAGAAGGAATTAAACTTTCTATATTCTCCTTTCCTTAGAGCCTTCATCCCACTGTGCGTATGCATGACGTCCGTGCAGCCCGCCTTCGCCTCGGTAAACGCTTTAAGGGTTGTCCACATACATTGATGGTCTGTGTGAGTTCCGGGCAGAGAGCGTTGCGGCAGAGCGTAGCCTTAGCCGTGGCCGTTTCCGCAGCCGATGCGTTGCCGTTGCCGTTGCCGTTGCAGCCGCGTTCCGGCCAATCGGCGGAGGCAACGCAGCACGCAAACGCTCTTACTCTCTCCCACTCCTATTGCATTCCCCGAGCTTAAAGAGATACAGATACTATAATATCCCACACCAAGAAGAACCTCCCACCCCCCTGTCCACATCGGCATTGTGACACTGCATAGCCGTTACCCTGGCGAAACAGCCACAGCTACGGCCACAGCTACGGCTCGTCCTTGCCCACCCACTGGAAACCATCCCAAGGGAGAGAAGAGGGAAAGGCAGAGGTCGTTGGGTGGGTGGTGGCGTTAAGTAACGCTCGGTGGTGCCACAGGCGTTAATTGAATTCGACAATTGTCGCTCGGCATTCACAATCGAAAATGAATTTCCACACTGTGATGGCGACGGCAACGGCAACGGCGACTGTTGCCGAAAGATAAAACTGTCATATTGTCTGTTGATTGTTCCGTGGGAGGAGAATGGAATATTGATCCATTTGAGGGGACATAACCTGATGAATGGAAATTAGTTTCCATGACTTGAAAATCAATGGGCCATGGAATGGTTAAAGAACTCTTCGGTCTAAGACTGGCTAACGAAACGAAACCCTTTTTGTAGCCGCGTGGCGCATGCAAATCCACTTGCCACCAAAAAGCCACAAAAACCTGTGCGAAAACATGCATAATTCTTAGGCCCATTTTTAGCGAGGATTTTCCATGGCAGAGCAGAGGGAAGGATGATGGCGAGAAAGCTTGGCTGAAACTTCTGCTGGCCAGAGATAAAACTGTCACAAAGGGCTGGGTTACTAGCAGTGGCCAACCAGTAACCATTTGCCATTTACCAAGCTACAAGAGGATACCCAGCAACCAGGAGCAGCTGCCTCACTGACTTTTCCCAGGCAACCAAGCGCGGCGTAATAAGATCAACCAAGTCAGCCGTGCGTGGTGGCATCAACACACACACACACACACACACACACACCTCTCTGTCTCTTTTGGCAGAGTCCTTTGGTGCTTTAGTCCTTTACCAATCCTCTGGCCCACCCAACTCGCCACGCCCAACGCCCAGCAAGCTTGTTCATCGCGCCCACCCCCTCCGCGGGTCCTTCAACGTGTGTCTTGCTCTATCTGACAAGGCGATTATGCGACGGAAAGCCTTTCAAGTGGCAGCAATTACCCAAACCCTGGCCCGAGCCCAAAAAGCCAACTACGCCCCAATTAAGGCGCACACACACAAATCTGTGTGGGAAGTGCGTTTAGCAGGGCGGCAAAAAAGGATGTTCTAGAAATCTTTCAACTAGGAAATACCCTGTATTCAGTTTCTGTTTTGCGTAAGAAATTTGTTTACATAATTGGGAATGATTTTACCTTTACTAAGCAATTTTAGTTACCAACATTTTATACATTTCGGATTAAGTTTTAGATCCCTAACTCTTCCTGCTTAGTTACCAACCCATTGCAACTTCCATCATACTCTCCCATCACAGGGCATTCAAATGAGCAACGGAAGTGGGTTTGCTTCGGGTTTTATTAGGCGGGTGTCAGGGGTTGAGCACCTCCGGCAAGGCAAAAAACGAGCTGTAATGAAAAGAGGCGGGACAAGCGGCTTAACTTCTTCCGATTGACTTGGCTTACCACGCGCCCAAATGCGATCGCAATCGCAGAACTTACACTCGCTTATATTGTAATTGAAATGGAATCCAGTTCTTGCCGTTGTGTGATTTGGGTCTGGTTGGGAAAGGGTAGGAGAAAGAACTGGTAGACTGGTTGAGGACGACACCCACATCAACGTTTTTTTTACTGCTAATCAAATTATTTCGAACTCATCCAGCCACAGGCTACGCATTCCACACTGCGTGCCACTAACTCATTAGATCATCGAAAAGAAAGAAGAAACCTCCAGCAAACAGAAGCTGCTCCCGATTTAGGAGCTATATTTGAGGGCGGCTCGTGCCTGGAGGTCAGTCTGGGCGAATGACTCCGGGGCAGAGTCTAGATTTCATGGTCATTAATGAGCGGTGTCCGCAGGAATGTGCCTGGGAAACGAGCAAAAACTGCGACTTTTTGGCGTGGGCGCCCATCTAATTTGAAATTAGCTGCTGCGCCCAACCCTGCTTCAAATTAGTTGCCGTTGGTTTCCCTTTTTTGTTCTTCAGTTTTTTGCATGCCTCTCTGAAGTGGAGAAAAAACGGAGCCTGGTATGGAATATATTTTCTAATTGCAGGGGCGGCCTAATTGAGGGTTCGCTTCGGGGCCCCCGTTTTCTGTGCAATCAGCAGATGCAAGCCGAGTCCCGAAAATTGTCCGAAAAAAGGGACAAAAAAAAAGAATTATATATATATATATAAAGACAAAGGCGATTTTTGGTATATGTGTGTGCGGGTCGCCAAATTGGCGCAGGTTACGCATGTGCCTGAAATCATGAGCATTTGCTGCCACGCGATGATGGATGCAGTCAGGCAGGCAGGTTGCATTGCAGCCTCGCCTCCTCGTTCCTTATTCCCGATCTTCGGAGCCTCCTTGCCTCGAATCCTGTTGCACCTTGCTTTCAAGAAGCGCGTGGCAGAAAAACAGATCGAAAGAAACAATCAGGCAATTTCGTAAACAGTTGCCGACAAACGATAAGATAAAAATGATCTAAGGATCATGAACCTTTCCTAGGAGTCGCACAAATAGTCGTAATGTCCTCCCTCCCTCGACATCGACTTGTAGGTGGACAAAGGGCACGCGATTTTCGAGTGCCATAAAAACAGAAATTTGGGACACTCGAGTGACTGGCATGTCAGAGCCAATTAATAAAAACGCAATTTCCACAAATCGAAATTTTTATAGAGAGTTTACAGGGTTTACAGGGTTTTATTGATCCCCCTTACATATAGAGCAGGACATTCCACACCTGCAGAGCCCATGGATTGGGCGGGCCGATAAGCAAAATGAGCAATTACGGGAGGAACTCTGACAGGACTTTGCTGGCGGCGCTCGAATTGTAACATTTTCTCACATTAAGAGACGGGTCCGGACGAGTCCTGCCGCGTCCTGCGCTCCACTGAACCCTGACACACTCACAAAATGGCCGCCCCAAAAAGACAGAAAGAGAGAGAGAAAGAGAGAGTTCAAAGAAAGTCCTTAAGTAAGGGTGAGTCGTGGCCCAAAAAGTTTGCGTGCCAGAAGAGACGAGCGGAAGGACGAGAACCTTTTGCTTACGATAAATTAAATGTCTGACATAATTATGGCTAAATTGAAAAAAAAAGAACAAGAAGAAGCCATCCAAGGAGCTGAGTCGGCAAATAAAGGAGGGAAGGAGACATGGCACTTAAAGGACTCTCTTGGCGAACAGGACAGTTATTGTGCCATAAAAACAGAAATTATTTGATCAAACACAATAAACACGCCAGAGACAAAGGCAAACAACGAAGCTTGAACCGCTGACAGGCTAATAATAGGATGTGCCAAAGGACATACAGATTATAGATTGAGCCACTATAATCGATGCCGGAAAACAGGGTGCTCCCAAAAATGTTCCCTTAATTGGGCTTACCTTTGGGACTCTTCACGATTATTGAACTCGAAATCTTTGGAGTCTTATTTGGAAGTTTCTTCTTTGCTGTATTTCTTTCAAGCCAAAACAGATCTAAAAAGTTGTAAAGAATCTTTAGTTAGTTATTAGTTAGTTAGAGTTTTATGCCATTTTTGACTGATTGAGCTAAATCCATAGTCTTTCCTCCTTAACATTTTTGATCTAAACTAAAAGTAACATAAACCTTTGAACATTTCGACTAGAAGTAGAAACTCCAATTTAAATTATTCAGGAATCTTTTACTATAGACTTAAGAATCATTTTATAGATAGAAAAGAGAGACAGATAATAGTTAAATAAGTAAGAATACAGCCTTGTAGTTAAGTTTAAACTTACCATCTCCAGAACTTACCCAAACACCTCTTTACCTTCCAAATCCAAAACCAATTTTCTGGCAACTCCTTGATCTCACCTCTTCCACTTGTGTGTGACTGTAATTATGGTTTTATGGCTCGCAACGCCTCTGGAAATCGGCCAGTACACATCATAGAATCCAAATCAATTATACGGTTGTCTAGGCCATCGAGCTTGCTCCGTTTCCTGCCCTTCAACTCATCCGCTGGTCATCTAGAACCGTTTGTCGGATGCCAGTTCCCATATCCCAAATACCAGGCACAGGCAAAAGTGTTAAAGTAACCATAAAACTTTGGCAGTTCGAATCCGTTGGTACTTCTGGTGCTTCTGTTGAATGATCCTGCTGCATCGTAATCGTAAAACGCGGAAAGCGTTTGCGTCCGCCGCTCTGCCTGCTAAATGCAATATTTTTACGACCCCCCAGTCCAGTCTCCAGTCAATTCCAGAGTCCAGAGTGAAGTGCGATCCCAGGCTCAATCCTCAAAGCCAAAAACCCAAGAAGATCATCCAGTTCGTTGGCCCCTTTGGCGGTGGTCGTCGTCGTCGTCGTCGTCTTGCTTGGCTTTGGCTGGATAAGTTAGCTGCCGAAGAGAAAAAGTCAAATACGGTAGCTCGACTAATTGAAAAATTAAAGTCTGGCCAAAGTACTTACACCAGGGCAACAGCAGTTGAGGTGGAAACGCCCACCGCCCCATTCGTTCATAAATCTTGCGGCATTCCTGGTCCCCATCTCAACGCTCCTCTTCGATCTGTTTGGGAATAGGGAGGGGGCAGAACATTCAAAACTAGGAGACTAGTTGGCTAGCTGAGATGGCATTCCCAGCCCAACATCCACCTCTGAAGGTGTTCAGCCCAAAACTTGAATCACTTCTGCTCCAGCTCCTCCTCCAGCTTCTTCGCTAATGTGGCAGTCTGCACACTTCGACAGACACTTTAAAGAGTGAGGCCAAACCTCCCGGCTGCCGCTGCGATTATCGGATCGAAGGTAAACACAGGTTCTGGTCAGGACCCTTGCTGCAAGTCCCTCTGCCCTCCTAGCCCCTGCAAGTGCCGAATTTGTAATGCTGCCAAAAATCACTTCTGGTTTTTGCCCACCTCGCTGATCGATGTGCGATGATCGGTTTTTGGGAGTGTGTTTATATTTTATACCAGGTACTGGCTGCCTCGAATGGGTATATTAAGTTTATGTTTAGAGTTATGATACAGCTGGGAGAATCGACATAAATCAAGGCATTCGACGATTTATTTCCAGTCATTTCAATTTATAAAATTTATTTCAGTTTATAAAGGCTTAAACGATTGGGGTTTAAATCAATCGGTTTATGATATTTTTGACATTTGAAATGATTTATTTAAGGAGGAATTGTTATAAATTGTTGAACTAAAGAAATGATTTGAAATCTATAAATAACATAGATAAAATTGAAATAGTTTTGACCTACTTACTAAAGAAACTTTAGAAAAAGACTCTTAAGATCCTTTCAGAGTCCTAGAAATGCATTCCAAATGCAACTTTAATAGGTATTTGTCAGTCTGCCAACTTCCCTGAAACGTTTCTTACTTTTTAAATCGACTTGCAGCTGCATAAGTCCCCAGATCCGCAAATCCAGCGATCCTTATGTCGATCCCCTTTTTGGCGTACTTGTAATTTGCTGACGAGCCCCGATCCTCAAGGTGTGCAATCAGCTCCGGCGATCTGGGGTAGGGTTAGCCCTTAATGCGCCCATTGGCTCCAGGATGAAAGTGCAGTGCTGTTAAGAATTATAACTACATTAAGTGCACCAACAAATTGCAGACACTTGGGGCGTTTTAACAATGTCATTTACGCGGGGGGAGGTGGTGGCAAGGGGTTGATCAGGAAGAAGACCCACCCAGGACCCTAAAAGAGGACTCAACTACCGGGGCCAACCATAAATTACCCGTTTAATGGACTCGATGCATTGTCATTGCGAACAAAAGCGCTACAAAGCGGTTATAGTCATAGTTTTGGGACTATGCCCGAGTGGCTGTGGTTGTGGTGTTGATTTTCTAATTTATTACCTTATAAACATAATCAAATTCGAATCAAAACAAAACAAAGCCGCCACCCCAAACACGCGTCGTGCTGTGAGTCGTCTGTGAGGATAATGATGACAGATCCGAAGAGCGAGCAATGGGATGATCGTCAAGGATATGTTTCCGAGGCAGATCATCCCACCCCGATGCGGTTTACACATCATTGAATAGCCCCGAATGGCCTCCACCTCCTGGGCATATGCCCATGAATCCTTGGAAAACCGCACAGATTGCATTTGTTTTGAGTTACGCATATGTCATGACTGCAGTCGGGGGGAATATAACTTCCAACGATTGTCCAATTCCTTGTTGGCACAGCAATCGTTACATCCCATTGAGTACCTTTGTGGTCCTTGTTGACATTTCTATCTGCCAACCCGTAATTGATGCGCCCAAGTGCGAAATTTACGGCAGGTGTTGGCTGGATTATCACGCGGGCAAAGGGAATCTGGTATGGATCGAGTTCGTGGTCCGGAGGTTGGGCCGCACATCGCCAGCGGAAACTTTAATGTTCGCACATTTGCAGCTCATCAATTTTCGGCATTATCCCGTCCAGCATCAGCCTCAGTTCATTCAACCTTTTTGGTCCATGTTAGCGCCGTCTTGTTGACTTAATCGCCCCAAAACAATTTGTCCATTTTTCGGCTGCTCCGCTTCTGACATGGCCTAAACGCTTGTCGTCTAATGACGGGGCAGCTCCAGTCGGCGACGGATGCCCTGAGAGCTGGTCCTGGTCTTGGTCCAAGAAGCTGCTGATGGAGAGGATGGAGGTGTAGCTGCCCGCTGCCCACCGCATTATTAAGCCATAAAATTGAAAACTTATTATAATTACATAAACGTACGCCTCGACGCCTGGAGCTAACCACGTGATGCACGGAGAGGAATTGCTTTTTAAGTTTTACCTTTCTCGCTTTATTTAGTTAACAAAACTTATATTTGTGGAGATTTAAACGTACGAAAAGGAGTTAAGTTTAAGTAATTTGTTAATAACTTTATGAATATTTTCGTATTTTAACATTCGATTTCGATTCGGTCAGCCCTTTAAGCTTGCAGCTACTTACATATCAATTTGTTAGTTCAAATTTTTTTGTTTTTATAATCTTTTTCTCCAAGTGCTCACATCCGGATGGCATGAAGGGAAAGGGTCTGGAACGGAAAGGCCAGTGCAGAATGCGCTTTTAACGCGCTCTTCGCAGGGAGTTCGAGTTTTCGAGGCACACGCATCTTGAAGATCTGGCCGAAACTCCTGCTCGTTAACGACCAAAGCATAACAGATTTTTCCTTCATTTTTTGAATGCCCTTGGCGTAATGTTGGGGCTGAGTTTTCGAACCGAGTCTGAAGCTGGCTGTCTGTCAGCAGTCGTGCATTATCGACATGACCATTACCATTAATATTACCATAAAGCAAATCGGCACTTAATTGCTAGCAATTGCATCTGCTACGCTTCCATTGAAAAGCAGTCGAAAAAAGTTGTGGAAAAAAGAATTTCAGTTTGACCACACATGTCGAGGAGACTCCTTTGGACACCTTTTTATTCTTCTTTAACTATCATGAAATGTCTTTTAATTACTATTAATATTTCATTAAGCATCATCGGCTACGGGATATTAGTGAAAAGTGAACGAAAAGGTAGATCAAAAAGATTATCCAAGATATCATTAAATGTATTTTGCGATTTTTACTTCATATAATTTAAACCATACACTTTTAAGGAATAGTTTTTGGCATTTTGCAGTTTCTGGTTACTTTCTGGCTGAAATGCAATAAAAAAGTGCAACCACATAATCGCTCAAATACTTACATAATACGCTGTCTCACCTGCAGATAACTATTCAAATATTCTATTCCTCTCGTAACAGACGCGCCTTTAAAAGTTTGCATAATCGTTCAGTTTCTATAATATGCAAATCGGATTTAGACTCTCATTTAACGCTTTATATTTCCCTCTCTTTGCCACTAAAAGTTGATATTCAAACTCGCTCTCTTCGATCGCAAAACAAATGACGTTGACCACGAACTTGACTTTCAAAGAGAGCAAAGTTCTGATTGAGATCCGTGAATGATTGAGAGGTTAGAACGAGGAAAAGTAGGTGTGCGTGCCACTAATTTATATCACTGCCTAGGAGAGCAGGTGCGTGAGAGTATCAGGGAGAGAGAGTGAGAGTGTGTCTGTGAGCAGGTAGGAATTTACCTTTACTCTTATCAGTGAATGTCCCCCGTCTAGGTTGACTTAATCTACTTGATTCCACGTTGCTTACTCAAAGTAAACAAAAGATACTTAAGGAATTATTAGCTCAATATTGTTTAGACATTAGTTAGATAAGTTCTTAGATGTTTAAAGTTTAAAAATGCTTTAAGTGGTAGCAAAAAAGGTTTGTTTCAGCTTCTGACAAAAAGTTTAAAGTTTATTTTGAAACTTCGGCAGTGATTGCTTTATTTTAAACTATATTTTAAGTGTCACAAACCAATTTGTTCATTTTTTCCCAAACAGTTTTTGTTAAATATACCAAAATCATAACATTTTCTTTTAGTTTTAGTTTTGTTTGTTTAATTTTTTATTGTCTATCACAGTCCTAAGCACTTGTCGGGATCTACTTAAGTATATTAATCTCTCTCAACGAGACATCTATCTTCTTACAAACATTATTCCTCTGGCTTTCGGACAAAAACCTCCTTCATTTCTACATCAACTGGGTTTTGAGATTTACGACTGTGACCCGAACGGAACTGCTCTTCGATCTCCAGAAGAGTACGACGACGGGTCTCTGGGAGAGCCCAGTAAATAAATATCAGAGCTAATACAGCCATAACCCCGAAGAAGATGAAGCAATTGGACATTCCAACGGATTCCTTGAAATCGGGATAGGTCTTCAGGACCACAAACGAGATGAACATGCCCACGGCCACTGTCAGACCTGATGCCGGACCCCTAACTCTTTGCGGGAAAAGCTCAGAGATCATGAAGAAGGGCAGGGTGTAGAGGCCCAAGGTGCTCAGCACAATGAAGCCCACAATGGCAATCACTGGGAGATAAGGAACTGCCTTCAAGAACTCAATCTTGCTGTGTCCTGCCAACAGAAACATGCAGACAGCCATGCCCAAGGTGGAGATAATACCAGCCCTCCGACGACCCCACATTTCCAGGATGTAACCCATTGGACAGGTTGTGACCAAGCGGGCCAAACCAATGAACAAGGCACACATGAAGGGATCGATCTGGATGCCCGCTTCTGAGGAGATTTGTACGGCAAACACGATGACCACAAAGATTCCAGTTAGCTGCTGGAAGGCAAACAAGCTCATCAGGATGAGTAAAGGCTTGTGGACCTCCGGTTCTTTTACACTCTTCCAGAATGGCTTCTTCACCTCCATGTCCCTTTTTTGCAGGGCTTTCTGTAGTAACTGGAACTCTTCCAGCACTTGAGGGTGGGTGATTTCATCTGTGGGGGAAGTATGAGAATGTTATATAATCTATAGATTTTAGGAATCTATTTCGTCAGTATAAGCGTATAATAATATCTGTGCCAAAAGTGAAACTTTTTGGGGAAGCTTCACGTACTTTGGCGTTTTAGATTTGAAATCTATAAAGATAAGCCCGCAGGTTATCATAACTTTATGGCTTGCCTAGATACAAGACGCCACTTGACTTTGATTTGTTCGCAGCTATAAACAAATAATACTTGTGACGAAATCGATTCACGTAGATCTAGATATTGCAAATTCTCATTCATGTTTCCCCTGAAGGTTAAACCAGGAGAAAACTTACCCGACTTGTTAAATCCACGGAAGTAGTTGAGTGATCGCTTGGCCTCCGTCACCCTCTTCTTCGACAATAACCAGCAGTGGCTTTCCATGAGGGGTAGAACGCAGAGCAGGGACACCAGTTGGTAACCACAACAGATTAGGGCAATCAGTCGGAAATCATCGCGTATGCAGTACCCAATCGCATAGAGAATGGTGATGCCACCAGCCACTGAAATGGATGTGCCCAGGATGAGACTTCCCCTCGTCTTGGGCACACTGATTTCAGCTGCATAGACTCCGGGAGGGGCACTAGCCAGTCCCATGCCAATGCCTAAAGATATAGGAATCATTATTTTATAAGCAGAAAAATAGAGGACTTAGACTCACCCAGCAAGAATCGCGAGGCAATAAGCTGCCAGAAGAAGGCCTTTGAGTCGCTTTGACTTGGTGTAGCCAATAATATCCAGGCAACGATAGTGAGTACATTGAGCACGATCAAGGACCTCTTTCGTCCTATTCTATCCAGCAGAAACGCGGATAGTAAACCTCCCAGAGGGGCCGACAAAGCATTAACCGAGGCAAACCATGTGAACTGTGAACCCTCCAGATGAACTGGCTCCGTAATGTCCTTAAGCTGATACATAGTGGCAGTGGGCATGGCCAGGGTCATTCCCGTGGAGAAAACACCCACATTGGCCAGGATAACAGCGATGACTTGACGGCGTACTGCTCTTGTCTGTTCACCAGGCGGTGGAGTCTTCAGCGGTCGATCCAATCCCGAAACGATCTTGGCCTGCTTTCCATTGGCTTCGTTGCCATTCTGATTAAGATGTTGGTCTTCCGCATTCATTTTTTGGCTTATCTCTGCTGAAAGGGAGAACTTTTTAATGAAAATGATTTTGATTTCTCTGCCCTGGCCATTTGCTGGCATTCTCACGGCTGGGAAAACACTTCCCGCTCAGATAACTTGTCCTAAGCGAATTGCTACTCTCCAAATCCCAGCAAAGGGTAATGCAAATTTGCCTCGAAATGCCATTGTCCCGAGAAAAGCAAACAAACAATTCATCATTTTTGATTACACATTTGTTGCTTGCCTTTTGCATAGAGCTTAAGTTTTATAAAGCCACTAAAAAGTATAGGGTTTGTATATTTGCCTGGCTAACTACACACTAGATTACAGGTAGGTTTCCCATTTGTTGTTACCAAGATAACTATGAGAATCATATTTTTACTAAGAGCGTTAATTATGGAGAGGTTAAGTCACCAAATGACATGGTAACTATAAGAAATGAGTGAGGTATGAAGTTTGCTAACATGAACTCTTTGTTAAGATAGTTTCATTTTATATTTAGTCTATAAACTATAACATTTAAGATTACAGAATCGTGAGCACCATGATCAGTGAACTATGAAACTTGTTTCCTTACCCGAATCCGAACCAAAACCGGATTACTCCTAAATGTGAGAGCTAGAAAAATAGTGATCTACAAGGGTATCCATAACTTCGGTGTGGGCTTCTAACCTTCCTTTCCTGTTTTCTTGTTTATTACTTTTATAATTGTGCCTCCACGAGATGGCCTTGCCATCGACAGCCAGCTAATACAAGTACTAACTTATAGCCGATAAGAAGTGCGGCGATTGTTGACCCTCTTCTCTGTTTCTCTCTCTCTCTGGGTGACCACTGGGTAAGGAAAGTGGGACTGGGAGTGGGACTGGCTCACAGCTGATTCAGTCTAAGTGATTCTGTTTTGTTTGTGGAACGCAAGTTGAGCGCGTTGCTTTGATCAATCGATGCCAATTAACATTCAATGAGTCCGCATGGCAGGCGAATCAACTGGGGGAACTCTTACTTACAGATGTGGATGGGATGGATGGGATTTTCACCGGATTCGAGAACCTGCTGCCCAAAAATCCACGAGACGGGTAAACAGGTTCTGCGCCGCTAACCAAAAAATATGTGTCGTGACTGGAAATGTGGATGGATCCAAGATCTGAGATCGAAAACGAAATGCGCGGCAATGCGGAGTGGAGCGGAGCGAACCCGTCGACGGTAAAGCGCTGGAGCCAACTGAACGCCGCTTGCCACGTTGGGCTCCCCAAACTATACGGATTTCATAGTCGCCGCTGCCTGCTAGCTGCTGCTGCTGCGGCTCTCTCCGCTCACAACAAAAACAACAACAAGAACAGCACAGAGACAGGCGATAAACAGGCGGTACTAGTGCCATATAAGAAACGTCATCCCGCCAATAGATTTGCGTTTTGTGTGTCATGATCGTTTCAATCACTGATAATGGGGCTAATGCTGATCGGATCGGACTTCTTAATGAATAAAGGGTTGGCAATATGCCGATACATTCGGGTATATAACCTCCTTCACCCGCCCTTATCAGTTCATGGGACATTAAGCGACCTATCAAATCGTCCATAACTTTCGAATGGGACTTTTGTTGCCGATCTGGGTGGGTTAAGTCAACCTGCGGCATATATATATTGTACAGATATTATGCCGCTTATCAGCTTCGCCGATTAACTGGCAATGCGTTCATCATCATCATTGCCTGGGTGTGTTGGCGGAGGAAGTCCACTCAAGAAGCGTTTACAATGGCAACACAGACTGCGCAGATTTATCTTATCGAACGAAAGGTTTTTCGCCTTGCCTGCCGCAATATTTGCCGAGTGTTGTAAAAAAAACAGACAGTGACGGGCAATACTAATTGGCTTTGCCGAAACTGCGTGCTGTCAATTGGCCATTAGCTATTATGAGTGATTAGATAGCAATGATTAACGGAGGTGTTAGCGGCAAACAAATGGTAGTAAAACTTGAGGAAAATTCGAAAAAACGTTAAATGGTTTTGTAACATATAACTAGTGTCAGTTAGCTTGCAGAACTGTAACTACGGACAATTGTCAGTGAGGTCTGCTGAATGCTATAGCAAGCTAGCTTTCATCATTGAGCAATGGGCAGCACTGTCAGTCGCTGCTCTGGTAGTGATGCTCATTGAATGGATTTGTTCGAATTTGCAATGGAGAGAATCTTATTGGAATTGGTTAGCTTTTATTTTAATTTTTTTTATATAATTTTAAATCTTATATTCCTTTTAAATAGTTAATAATATGAAATAAAAATAAATTTAAAAAAAAATTTAAAAGAATTTTTTTTTAATATTTAATTTTTTAGTTCTAGTTGTTTATGTTTTTAACTTTACAAAATGTCAAAATTTAAATGTCATTTTGTAAACCAAAAGTAGAATTATTTTTTATTTCAGATATTAAACTAAGCCTTTACCCAAAATTATTTTGTACATTTTTTGAAATTTCGCGCGTTTTTCTTTTCGGTTCAGTGGAAAACTTGAAGTTGGTCAGATTTAGCATAGAACCACCTTTGGAATTCTGATGTGCCCCAAGTTGGGTCACACTGTGTGAAGTCGGGAACGCGTACACAACACGGAGCGGAGTGTGCCGAGAAAAAAAAGCGGAAAAGCCACCACCAGAGCGTGGAAGGGAAAAGGAAAAGCTGACAGAGAGGGTTCCCAAAATCGCACTTCACCTGCATTCTTCACGACTCTTCAAGAGGTTTCTATTCGTCCAAATTAGCAGATTGAAAAATATTTGGAAATTTAAACGAAGAAGAAACTTGCATGGTTTGCTGAGTGTGTTGCCCCAGGCTCTGTCACCTGGTCAATCCGCCCCCCAATCCTTGTTTCGCCCATCACTGCTCCCCCTCCCCATTCGAAACAAGAGCAAAATCTGCGGGGGATGAGCCCGTTTGTTTTTGGGCAGGTGTGCGTTCCCAAAACAAGTGAAAAGGCAGCCAAGGCAGCGGCGACAAGAGATAAAAGCTCCAGCATCCTTAGCATAATTTAATTCGCAAAAATCGAAAACGAAACGAAAAACGAGAAATCGGCTCCTTCGCGAGAGAGCCAGTGCATGTGAATTGTGTATGTGTGTGTGTGATTGTGCAAGAGTGTGAGTGAGCAGCATCCTGGAAGCCAGCGAAAAAGACAGGAAAAATAACAAAAATATAAAAACAGCATAGACTGGGAAATGGAGGAATGCCGCTAAGGGTAGTGCCAGGAGCAGCAGCAACAGCAGCAGGATCGGGATAAGGACTAAGGACTAGCCTGGCCAGAGCATCCTCCGATGCCACCGCATACACATAGATACAGATACGCATACACACACCCTGCTTTTGTCCAGGCAGCGGCGCATAATGCAGTGATTATATATCGCTCGTCTCGTGTCTCGTGCAAACTCCCAGCCCCCAGTGACAATTAGCTCCTGGCCCACCCGGCAAATCCACCCACAGGATATCCATAGCCATCATACCCAAAACCCGTTACCACAATAGCAATAGAGGCAACCGATCCCGTAACGCATCAAGATGACCACGGACTTTCTGTTTCCCAAAATAGCGGACTGCTCCTACGTGTCCTGTTACTGGTGAGTATATATATATGTATGCACAGAGATATGGCCGAGTCGGGAGTACTACGACTATATCCCCTCGGGCAGGAACAAAAGCAACAGCTAACAACGACAAAACGAAAACAACAACAATGATGAACGCAGTGGGCCAGGGGAGATGGAAAACTTTTTCATTAGGCAGCCAAAATCATTCACCCAACCTTCAGCACCTGAATATTAACACACAGTGGCAGTACAGCTAATGGCTATGATATATAGGATACCTCCCAGGGGAGCTTCAAAGCTGTGGAGAATACGTCTGAGCCTAATAAACTAAGGCACAGTGGTCACTCCTCGTTATGTCACAGATAGGCATTAAAAAGAGTAAGACGTTAAGTGGCTTACAAATTTATGGGAATTTTGTTTTTGATTAGTAAGGTTTATTTTTGGCATCTTACTAATGCTAAAAATGAAATTATAAGTTATAGTCTATAGTTAGGCTCAAACTTAATGGGTTTATTAGATAACTCTTTCCAAATAAGTACATAAATTACCAATTTTATAGTTTTTTCTGGTCATACAAGTTAGTTTAATAACTGTAATCAGTTAAGGGATCATCACAAAGAGTGTTATTAAAACAGATTTCTAAAGAACAGATCGTAATGATAGTAGAAAATGATTTGAAATTAGTATTATATTAGACCACATCTACTAACCTAAGGTTATTGCATACATATCTTTGCCAATCTTGGTCTTATTCCTATATTGATAGTCAAATGAAGTTAATCGGCATTAGTTTATTCAATTAATTAGATTGTTTAAAAACCAACAAGTTTCTATTAGCAAGCGGCCACTGTTTCGGGGATTAGGCAACCAACAAACCCCCTGATGCATATGATTCCCGCTGCCTTTCACACTTCTGTGAATGATTATCTCATGCTTGGCCAGTCCCAACTGCCGAGCAGCGTTTCTTCTTTTAATTATGTATATTTTATTTTTGTGCGTTATCTCTTTTGGCAACAACATTCGCCACTCTAGAGCAGCCATGTCCTTCGTGCTGTGCCGCCTCTTTTCGGATGATTTTCATTATCCCAGCGCTCCTCCTTCTACTCTGTCGTCGATGTGTGCCCGCTTTGCATTCAAATTCGCTCATTACTCACTCACTCCTGTGAGTCCTGCTTCTCGTCTCAACCGTCCTTTTCGGCTCCGTTTCCCTTTTCTTTTTCCGTTGTGGCATCCCGAGTTTGAATCCAGTTTCTGAGAATCCTGATGCGGCGCCGTTTGGCGCTGCGCAGCTCCAGAAATTAGGTCAAACGGTCATGTCTGCTAACAAGAAAAGCGTGCCACTGTGTTGGTGTATGCCCGCTGTATCTGTATGTGTGTGTGAACGTGGGGTAGGACGGGCTGAAGGATGGGGGTTCGTTTTTATGGCCACATGCGAGAGGCGCGTTTCGACTATAAAACAAACGACCGGCCAACAGCAAAAACATTCGAAAACCAAAGCAAAAATTAAACAAAATACACATACTATACCACAAACTGTATGTGTGTATGCATGTAGTGGTGTGTGGCATGTATGTCCCTGTGTTAGTGCAATATTTAAAATGCTAATTGCAAAAATGGCGGCAATGGCGGCGACGACGAGGACAAGGTAATGGCAACTTGGCAGGCGGTCCCCCAATGAATTGGCGGCGGGGACTTGTTTATCCTGCCGCGTGATATGAGTTTTATGTTCTGCCGCCTCCCACCCACACACACACAGAAATGTACAAAAAAAGCGGCAAAAAATATAAAGTAAAAGGCGCAGAACATAAAAAAGTTTTTTACACACGCACACCCATTTACATGGCCAGATAAAATGTCGTCGCGTTCTCTGACCTCATACCACCCAGCCACCCAACCGCCCACCACCTCTCCTCCTCCCATTCTCCCGCAGGACATGTTCATTGATTAATTCGCAACTGCTCGCGCACTCACATTTGCACTCAGATTCATCTCTCCTTCCAGGAGAACTCTGGAAAACACCTCCGCTCTCGTTTTCCTCATTCTCCTCGGCATACACACCACAGCAGCGCCATCTGTGGGTCGCGTATTGCAACGACTGGCAAGTTTTAGACACTGCCTTCTGGCATTTTGGCCACTGCACTTGGAAAAATGAAGATAATCATAAATATTTGAAAAACTATTGTATATATATTGTTTAAATATTGATATTTTGTGTGTAATTTTAAAATCAATTTAAATCCAAACTACTTTATCCAGAAAATAGCTTTAACAAATTGGATTTTTTTCTTTCTGTGCAGTTTCGGGGAAGCCACTCAAATTGGGTCTTGGGTTGAAAACCCCCAGACCCACCCACAGAACCTTCTGCCTTTCCGCCTCCTTGAAGCAATCTCTGCCTGACGGCATTAATAACGCCAGCTCACGATATCGCCGCGAGCCACTTTCAGTCGCGACTTTTGACCGCGCCACTTGAGTGGGCTGTGCCACCTTTAGGCCGCCCTCTTGCCACTCAAACCACCCACCCCAACGAGTCCTTGTTATACCTGTTACTGCTGATATGGCTGCTTTTGTTGTGCCACCTAGTTTAATGCCCCACTCACATGCACCTGAGACTACGGCCCATTCCATCCATCCTGCCAGCATGCGAGGAACAATGTGTGGCAGCAGAATTGATTGGAATTTATTTGAAAGAGCCGCCATAAACACTAAACTTGTAAGAGGCACGGGCCAAAAGTCAGCCGCGTGCCAGGGAAAATCGATTATTATAATAATAAAGCCAAAGTGGCGGCCTGTTGCTGATAAAGGTTAGAATGAGTTAAGCCACTTGACATTTCGTGCAGGGATTAGTCCCGGACTGGAATTCGTTCTGTGACTTGGACTTAATCTCGCTCTTAAGCACTGCATCTATCGATTGCTAATCCCCTGTTTTACCCAACCAGCGAGGAGAACGTGTGGAAGCTCTGTGAGCAGGTGAAGCGGACACGACCGGAGGAGTTGTCCAAGTGCTACGCCGTCTTCGTTTCAAATGAGGGTCGCACCGTGCCACTGTGGCGCCAGAAGGCCGGTCGCGGCGATGATCAAGTTGTGATATGGGTAAGTAATGGAATATATAGTTGTTAAACGGGTTGATCTTATACATTATTAATATGAATTTCTTTCTTAGGACTACCACGTCTTCTTCATGCACAATCCCTCGCTGAATCGCTGTTTGGTGTTCGATCTGGACACCACGCTGCCCTTTCCCACATATTTCCACAAGTACGTGACGGAGACGTTCCGCTCCGATCTGGCCCTGCGACCGGAGCACCACAGGTTGGATCTTTAAAAGATCTTTAAAAGAGTCAGATAATCAGTTCGCTGCTTGTATCCAATAGATTCTTCAGAGTCATACCCGCAGACACATATCTCATTGAGTTCTCGTCGGATCGACGTCACATGCGTCGGCCGGATGGCAGTTGGATTAAGCCGCCGCCCTCGTATCCACCCATACTCTCCAACAGTAAGTATTGTGGATCAAAATCAAATTACCCCTTACTTATATCCTTATTTATGTTACATAGCGAACATGCACTGTCTGGGAGACTTTATCTGCATGAGTGCAGGCAAAGGTCCTGGAGCGGTATACAGCCTCTCGGAGTTCGTGCAGAATTTCTACAAGTCGCCACACGTGATGGCGCAAAACAACAAGTAGAGGAAGGGGCCAGGATCGAGGATCCAGAAATGGGGAATCTCAGATTGAAACCCGGATCATGCACACCAAATGCATCCGACATCCCACAGATGGTGAACGCATCCAGCAACGCAACCACATCCAAAATGCAAATACAAATCCGTATCGAAATCGTTTTGTCGTTGTCGTTACAAGACAGTTAATTACCAATTGCATACATATACATATACATACATATACACGCAAACATATAAATATATTTATGATAATGTATTTTTGTATTCAGGTTAACAGAAATCAAATGCAGAAGAAGGTTAAAACGCGCCGTGACCGCTCGCGGCGTTCATTTGCATTGAACTTCAATTCTAAAGAAATTATAAATCTAATTATACATTTTTTTATTGTACGTATTGTATTGTATTGTATTCGATAATGGCAACCACACATATATGATAGCCGAGGGCAGGCAGAGATATGAGATTTTTATTCGTTACTCTCCTCCAAATACTTTTTGTAACTCTAAACCTATATGAAAATGGAAAAGCACCAATTACGAGTAAACAAGGCGGTTGGCGGATATCTGATCGGATATACGCCGATGTGCCCGATATACATATGGATATGGATATGAATCTACTACCACTTTGCATACTTCGCTACGCTCTCGATTATGTAATTCAATTCTTGGCTAGGCTCAAAGCTAACCCACACCTAACTCTAACTTACACTCTTAAATCTAAACTAACATTAGCCTCGACTCTAAGCGATATCGAATTCGAATTCGAGGTGGAATTATTGCATTAAAGCTTGTTAACTTGTTTTACCGTATTTACACTAATTACGTACTCGTACCGCAATTATAATTGTAATTCGAATATTATCTACTTTGTATACAACGGAAACCAAATCGAATCGAATCGATGATAATACTGATGATGTGTATTGTATGTTTGTATCTAGCTAGTTTTTGTACGGTTTGTATGCCCGAGGATCCTCAGCCGAATCCACATTATAGTAGTTACCCCAAATATCCCAAATCCGTAAAACCGAACCCCCGCCCGCTTAGCGTTGATTTCGATATATTTATCGTATCGTTTCCCCGTTCGATTGATGACTTGTGACGCGCAAAGACTGATTCATTATACGCTCTACGGTAGCTGCAGCTCCCCCTAGCCTATCCTAGTCCTATCTCCCAACTCTCTCTCTCTCTCTCTCCCTCCCTCCTATCTATCCCGTTCCTAGAGTGTCCTTTTAGAGTTTTTTCGATTGGTTTATTGTCCGGCTTCCAAACTTTTTACACTCGGATTAGTTAACAAAAACTCGCATTTATTTTTGATTAACTTGTTTACACATTGATTTTGGATTTGTATAGAAAGGTTTTTACTCGATTTGTACTTGTACGGGGAAATACCATATATAGACATATGAATATATAGAACATAAACGAGAATGTATAAAAATAAATGCTGTGCAAAAGTCTCAAAGTTAAACCTAAACTCTTAATTATACAACTCTAGCAAAACAACCAAAAGCAAAACATAAAGCAAAAAACATGAAACGTTTTTCTCAATGTTCTCAAAGTATCTGCGATTAGATAGATACCTATACATATATTTATACGATTAACTTTGTGTTGTATTTATGGCTGATGGCTGATATCGGTGATCGTCTATTGTTATCGCTGAATCGATAGAACACCAAGCAAACGATTGCAAATGAAGTGTGTAAAAATCAATTATAAATAAACACAGACACTCGCATAGATAGAGCATACATACTTATCGTGTAACTTAGCATATGCGCCACTCTTTTTCTCTTCCAATTTTCTACTACCACCCGATATAACATGGCATATTAACAATATTGGGCAAATACATAGATATTTAAAGGGCAGATATATATATATAGTTATATATATATATACTTAGCTATAAGCTAATCATTAAGTTTTGGCGCCAGTGCGAAAGCTGTGCGTCTTTTTACTCTTTTTTACATAAGTATATATATATATATATATTTAACTGAACAAATCGCAACTGAGCATTAACGCAAACATTCAGATTCATCTGTTAGTAAAGTTAACCTCCGAGACGGCAGAAGAACAATTCAGATCAGATCAGGTCAGGCTAACCTCCTCCGAATTCCGACCTCCTCCTCCTCCTCCTCAACCATCAGAAATCCGCTTTCAACCCCGCTAGCTGCAAGTGGTTTCAATTCCATGTGTTGTCTCTATTAAAAAAAAAAACAACAACAAACCCTCCATAATCCTCCATCCCCCGCACATTAGTTGATAACTAAGATTTACAACGGACTCCATGCTTTATTGGCCTACGCCTTTGTTAATCTATTTATCTATCAATTATCCAATGTACCAACTATCGATCGTACTTTTGATTGTTATTGTAAAATATTTTTGCAACTCCCTAGTACTTATACATATGTGCATAAATACATAAAGCAAGTGAAAAACCAATGTCTAACACAAGCAACAAGCAATTGTATTAACACTCAATTTATGGATCAATGGATTATGATTGTTCTCTCAATTCTGCAAATGTGACGCGCTAATGAAAAATCAATATGAATACCACTTAAATTTAAAATACCGATCAATAAAATATTCTTGAAATTGCATTTTAAACAAACAATGCATAAATTATTTTATTTTATTTTTTCTTTTGATTTTTTTTAGGAGTTTTGTCAGCATTTCTTATTTAGGGAAATCCTCAAAATGGATCTAACCCTTCCTGCTGAGTCTGTGATTCCCCAGATCCAATAAAGAAAACATAAATAGGATGGGATTCTCTCTTCATAAAGGATAAACAATTCAAGTCGACACATTTTCGCATACCGAGAGACTCAGCAGCATTGATCAGCTGGCAATATGGCAATCCAGAGAGCGGACTAAGAGAGCGGCCCTCAGCTCGTTTCCTCAGGGCAACCGGCTTAATTGATTGCTCAGATAGCACTCGGCGGCGTTCGACGACGGAAGCAATTCAGAAGCAGTAGCAATATGGGAAGAAATCTGGAAAATAGCCTTAACCACGCAAATGGGAACTATGTTAACTTCGATGAGCACCGCGAGAAGTACACCACCCATTACAATGCTCTGCGGAACAAGGTGTACAGTGAGTGGAAGGGTGCCAAAGTTCTGGGCAAGCTGGTCAATGGATGCACACTGGGCGGTAAGTTGCAAGTTCCAAGTTGTCGGTTCTCAATTCTCCAGTCTGCGTATGCAACGTTTGAGTGTTCGGAAACGGGAAAGTGAGACTAAATTGCAACAAAGATGTTATAATCTATTCAGATACGGCATAAGAAAAAAAATTGGTATTGGCTGTGGCGTCACTTTTAAGCTGAGATAAGAAAAAACGTTTCACTAAACATGACCGAAATGAGGAACCCGAAAGTGGAATACCCTGACCGGCAAATTCACTTCCAAAAAGATGTTAAGTTTAAAAATCTAAGGAACACGTCAGTAAATCGAAAAAATTTTATATATTGTTAAATTCTAACCAATTTTCGCTGACCTGATACATAATATTTTACAATCTTATTACTACAAATAGGAAAGGCAAAATTCTTAAAAATATTCGAATTTTATTTTGATTTTTGACGAGATCAAGGTCAACGTCAGAAATATACATTTCATGGAGCAGAATGTGACTCTCAGCTTCCTGTTGCAAGCACAAAAATACTTATATCCATGTACTGTAAGTGTAGTGTAGTGAACATGAAAATCTAGAAACTTCTCTTCTTGTCAGTACAACTTTTTCTCAAGCAAATATACAACAAAAAGATTCTCATTGCGTTTGACTTTAGGCAAATACGTTATACTTTTGACAGGTATTGATTCGATTTTCCAAGACACTTCAAAGCTGTTTTATCAAACTTCCGTAAGCAGATTCCTGGAAAACGGCTTCAAAGGCAATAAAAGCCCATAAATAAATAAAGACCGACGTTATCAACATTGGTCTCTTTGATTACAAAACATTTTATTTATTCCGTTTAGGTGGCTATGGCGACAATCTTAAGGTATCTAATCCAGATGAGTTTGACTTAGTGATTCACCTGTCGTTTCCGGAAAACGATAAGATCATTGTTAAGGGCGATCCCCGGAAGCCAGGTAAGGATAAACCTAGAATGTAACTATGGATTCTATTTTCGTAACAACACCGTTTCGCATAGGCAACGTGATTCTGGACATGACTAAGGTAATGGAGATCATCGGAAACCAGGAACACAATAAACCCGTTTTCGAGTTGCTGCAGAAGATCGTGAACAACAAGAATCAGCTGCTAGAGGACAAGTTGCAGAGCTTGTTGCAGGGTGTGATGACCCAGACACTTAAAAAGATGGGCGGGCAGATTGAGGTGGGCGGCGTTGTTTCGCCTCTTTCATACAAAAAGTGCGGTCCGGCCCACACGATCTTTGTAAGGGGCGATTATGAGTACTCCGTGGACTTTGTTCCAGCCATCAGACTGTCAGCGGCACAGGTCTTTTTGGACTCGGAGCAGAGGAAACACTTCGGCAGTACGCCATACTGGGATGCCATTCCAAAACCGATGAAGCCGGCGCTGCCCAATAATGTGTCCTTCAGGGCCTCCTTTTACGACGCTGAACGCACCCTTCTCCACGGAAAAGATAACCTTAAAAACGCCATCCGTCTGCTCAAACAGCACCGCAACGTCAAGAACAAAGCTAACCTAAAGAGCTACTACATCAAGACGCTTTTCCTATGGGAGGTGAAGGAACGGCATGATAGTTATTGGCAGAAGCCCCTCAAAGAGATTACGATCGACGTAAATATCTCAAAATATCATCGCTTGCTTTAGGAGTTATCTGTTATTAAAACTTTCATCTTTTCAGATGCTGGGCAAGTTGGAAAAATCTTTAGCCGTAAGCCCAAGAAAGGGCAAGTTGCTATTCTTCTGGGATCCCAAACTAGACATGCTTGCCGACTTAACCGTTGACCAGCGAGCTGATATGTATAACTGTGTGTGTAAGGTCGGATACACCTTTCGCCGAGCCGACGGAAATCTTACCGATGACATCGAAAACACTGTTCAGACCTCTTTCTGTACTAAAACAAAATGTGTTTCCAAATCAAAACTGTAATTAATATAATATGCTTATTCTTTAAAGGTGCCAGCACCAACAAGGGGGCTGAAAATAAGCCTGCGAATGGACAGGGCGAGAAGACCAGACCGATGCAAAAGCAATGCAGTGCGAAGAAGAACATTGAAACCGAAACAGAGGTCAAGGTACCAACTCCTGCTAAAGCGAATGAGAAAAAGAGCAGCACGGTGCCTACCATATCCAATCCAAAAGCGAATGAGGCAAAGGGTCAAACTTCTGAAAAACCAAAGTCTGCGGAGGCCCAGACAGGAATCAAGCCAAAGTCAAAGTTAGTTACCGATTATATCAAACCAAATCCAAAACCGAATGAAAAGAAGGCAGCCAACGTGGATACTCCTTCTCCAGTGAGCGTTAAAAATACCAATCCAAATGGGATTGGGGAGAAGCCGAAAACTAATGCCAATAAAAGAGGTGACTCCAAGCAACAACAAACTCCGGATGAAAAAAAAAAAGAAGATTCCAAATGCCTTATAAACTAGGACAATCGCTTAACTGTGAGTTGAAAGAGTTTTATTAACAGCAAAATGAAAATAAGTTTGATCTTAACCGTTCGATCTTAAGCCTAGTCCTTGCCTCCGTTGGCCGGGTGATGTGTTCGTCATTGTTAAGTCGCTTGTGCTCTTACAGGCCGCCTCCGGACCGGTCCACGCTGATCTTCTGCTTCAAATTGGCAGCCTCGTGCTTCTGCTCCTCCAGTTCCGCCATGCGCGCAAATCTGGAGTAGGCCACGTCGCCCGTCTTTATGGCCGACATCATCTGAAATTTTATGAATGTTTTAATAAATGTTATAAATTTATAATGTTCACCATTATTCTAGAACTATGAGGTATAGAATGATTACGTTATAAACTGCATAACCCACCTGAAGGTATTCGTCCAGCTCCACCTGGCCGTTCATGTTTGTATCGATCTCGCGCAGAATTTCGTGCAGCTGCTCGCCAGATACGTCGCCATCGCCGAAGCTCTTGAGGGCACGGCGGATATCGTTGATGGAGACATAGCCCTTCTTGTCCTTGTCGATCAATTGGAAGCGCTTGATATACGTTTGAATCTCCTCCTTGGACAGCTTGATTGGGATGCGCTCCTTGGAGGTACGGTTGACCGAGTGTCCCATCTCGTTGGCCAGGAATTCGGTGGCACTCTTAATCTGGCGCTCCTTCTCGTCCTTGGACCAGCCCAGCTCCTCACCCATGATGTCCACTATCACTGGCAATGCCTCCTGGGCCGCCTGGACGTTGAGGAAGGCCAGACGCAGACGACGGGCGATCATGTCAACGGCAGTGCAGGCATACTCACGAACTCCGTAACGGATCTCGGCATCGATGTACGGGAACTCGGGATGGATGCGGTTGCCAATGATGGGCCAGCGCTTGCCGGTCAATGAAGCCATCTTGGACACAGCGAAGGCACGGTCGCCATACGACTTGGCCAAATGCTGGGCCACCTCGCACTCCAACCCGAAGTCCTGCACCAGGCGGATGTACATGGTCGGGGTCCAGCCCTGTCCACCCTCGATCTTCAGGTAAGAGGTTACGGCCTCGGCACGCTCAGGCTTTAAATTGCAGGCTATTAAAAAGGTTTTAGTATGGGTTAGTTGATTTCGTAAGAATGGTAAAAAAAAAGGCTTTCCCTTATTTGTTTTCTTGCCTCAGCTATTGTAAATTATTTTCTATAAGCCTAGATAAGCGTAGATAAAGTTGGTAGTCTGTCTGGCTACTATCTGGTTTTCTGTTTGCACTATCAGCAGAAAAAGTGAGAAAATCTTTTACATGCACCAAAACAAATATCGGGATAGTGTAACGACTATAGTCCTCTTCTATATTTAACAAAAACTTTTCAGATACTCACCCTTGATTGCCGCATCAATGGTGTGCTCGGCCATTGCCCGGTAGGTGGTCCACTTGCCGCCGGCGATGGTTATGAGATTGGAGGGGCTGACATGGACAATATGGTTACGAGCCAGTGACTGAGTATCGTCCTTGTTGGGATCAGAGACCAGCGGGCGGATACCGCTCCAGGCAGAGAGCACATCTCCGCGGCGCACTTCAACATCTGCGTTGAGATAGTTCTTGATCTCGCTAAGGATGAACTGGATCTCGTCCTCGGTGGGCGTGGGATTGTGGGTAATTTCGCAGGGAAGGTCAGTGGTACCGGCGATTGTTTGCCTCTGCCAGGGCAGGAAGAAGATGACACGTCCGTCGGAAGTTGAGGGATCCAGCAGACCCATCTGGTCAGGGCTGTAGTAGCCGGGCAGTACAATATGAACTCCGGAACTGGGGCAGCAGATGCTCTTCACCGTGGGATTGTCCATCTTACGAATGGAGTCCGTGAAGGGTCCGGCGGCATTCACAATGCACTTGGCATTCACGGTGAACTCCTTGCCGGAGATATGGTCCTTGACCTTGGCTCCGCAAAGCACCTGTTTGCCGGTTCCATCATCCTTCTTGAGCAGCTCCTTAACCTCAACGTGGTTGCAGACGGTGGCTCCATGGCGAGCGGCAGTCAACGCCACCGCCAGACACATCCTGGCATCATCCTGCTGGCCATCGTAGTAGACGATGGCGCCGCAAAGCTTGTCCTTCTTGAGCATGGGGAACAGTTCAAGGGCGTCCTTCTTGGAGAGGTAGTAAGAGCTCTTTACGTTGCGGTCGCCGGCCACCAGATCGTAGGCCTTGATGCCCACCCAATAGTAGGGTACCTGCCACCACCTACGGAATTTCGATTAACTTGTTAGAGGAGTCAAAAATATTAAGCAGAGACCTCACAGATTTTTAGCCAGTTACTTTGCTGAAACTAGCTAAAGAGTAATGAAGCGTACTCTTAGAATAGATTAAGGAATGAAAGCTTTCTGTGAGATCTTTGCTAAGAACATTGTTTCCATTTACGTGTAGACTGGCAACATGATGGGCAGAGGGTGGGTCAAGTGGGGTGCCGATTCGAGCATGGTGGCGCGCTCCGCCAGCGCCTCCTTTACCATGCGATACTGCTCAAGGTCTAGCTAAGGTGACACATGATAATTAGCACTCTACAATGGAAAAGCCCCCAAAGGCCTTGAGTTTAGAAACTTACTCCCAGGATGGCCTTCTGCAGGTATCGCACTCCGCCGTGAATTAGCTTGGTGGAACGGGAAGAGGTGCCGCTGGCAAAATCATCCAGCTCTACCAGAGCAGTCTTTAGACCTTTTTTGGAGAGAAGTTTCTTAAAAGTTCTTCTAGTTTTTTAGAATCATTTCAAACTCACCTCTTGTAACCGAATCAAGGGCACAACCCGCTCCAGTGGCTCCACCGCCAATGATCAGCACGTCGAACTCCTCGCCGCTCATCAGAGATTTGATTTGATCCGCTCGTGGGGGAAGTGTGCGCTTCCTCTTTGGTGGCAGCTGCGTAGCATTGTTAACCTTGAAAAAGAAAAAGAATTAAGTATATAGGTATACATGGTATACGGATTACGAACCACATGAGGGGAGTTCCAGCGGTCCAGGGTGTATGAGGCCAGCACGGAACCCACGCAGGCGCTGGCGGCGGTTACGCCGAACTTAAACATTCGCGAGGTCATCTCGGGGATCTCTCACGAAACTATAGAAACGATCGAGTATTTTATTGTGCTGAAAAGGGGAAAAGAAAATGCCGCAACAATTAATTCCAGTTATTTTTAGTACGGCACAGCTCATAAGTATGCAATTAAAAGTGACACGGATGAATTCCAGAATTTCAAATTATTAAACTTTCTTTTATCTTCATTATTCACAATAAAATATATTTGTTTTTTGAATACAGGAGCATTTCACAATTAGTTAACACATTTTTCGAATATACTATTCAAAACTAAACTTCTTCAGCCAATTTTCAGATTTTTCATATTCACAGATAGTTTTTGTATAGAGGTATATTGTATCTTGTTACCCATATTCGTTTTAGTTATACCCCAATGATAGGGTTGCAATTATAATGCCAATAAGACAATTATTATATTGCCTAATTGAAACCTATTGAACTCTATAACCGCTATCGATATTGCCGTGACACACCTGATTGAAAATCTTAAACTTGGAACTTGTTTTGTGTATATCTATCAATTTTTATACACATTTGATGATATCACAAACACCATAAAATCAGACATTAAACAACAAATAACTCTGAGAGCAAGAGAACGTAGAGAACGCTTTAAACTAGGGAGCGCTAATTAAATTCCGAATTTAATTTGCACTCTCATGTCATCTGCACTCCCATAGTGTTTCAATGCTCTCGTCCACAGCTGACTGAAGCTTTTGCGCAAAGCTTTTGGCCAACATTTTGCTCTCTCCTCTCATTGGAAGGGCTGTTCCATTCCAAATCCCATCCCATCGGAGTCCGAATGTGTGTTAAATCAATACTTGATGATGACCAGATGAAGATACGGTGTGGTGGTGGCGAAAGTTGGGATATGGAACACTCGATTCAAAAACAGAACGTAATTCGCACAGCTCCGGGTTGGACGCACTTTTCGGAGGGGTTCCAACACATACCGAACCGTTCCCAGTACCAATCCATCCGATTCAATCCAATCCAAACCGATTCGACGAGAGTTGAGACCATGTTTACCTTTTGTCTTCCAGCCCGCTAGCGCCTCAGCAACAGACTGAATCCGAAAGCGAAACCAAAAAACCGAAATCGCCCGATTTCCGACGACTGAGAATAATGAGTATGCGAATGTGAATGCCAATGCGAACGGAACGTTTTTAGCGGGCGTAACAGCATGTGAAAATGATTACATCAGAGTTTGAGTCACTTTTCCGCGACCGTCGTCGTCGTCGTCGTTTCAACGTTTTTCCCGCTTCTCGCATCCGCACTCGGCCAAGGCAAATCGGTTATTGAGCTCACCTACTGCTCTGGATGATAACTCTAGAAGGGAGATTCCGATTCCGGATTCCGATTCTGGAACTGATGAGCTGAGAACTGGAAGCGAGAATCCTCCGCTTGCTCCGTCCGTTTGAATCGCCAGTCACCGTCGCTCTGCGAAAACTGCAATGCCTGCAGCTTTTTTTTGCCCCCGACAAAACTTTCAGTGCAGTTCGTGGCTCGTGCTCGGCGCAATCAGCTGTTGAGCCACGCCCCTTGCTAGCCGGCGCTCCCCTTCTGGCCATACCTAATTAGCCAATTGGCAGATCTCAAGATGCAAATTGCTAGATTCTCGTGCTGCAGCGGCTATTCTTGTTTTTATTAGAGATGTCCCCGAAATCGCTTTGAACTGCAATTTCAAGTGGTTTCAAAAAACTTAAGTGTCACGGCTATATCCTTTAAGGGATTTTAATATTTTTATCTAAGTTTTTACTCAAGAAATAATATCCAATAAATCATTTAAGGCAGGTAATATCCATATATTGGGTTGAAATATAGATTTATTAGAAATCCCCGTTGATGATGTTAGAAATTTCGCTAAAAGTGCTTTAACCCATTCAATTTCAATATTGCTTAATATTATATTTTATATTCAGATTTTTTTTTATTTAAGCACTTTGGATATTAAAAAATAGAACAAACACTTAATGAACAACCAACAATTGTATTTCAATGTAGTCCAACTACATAACAAATTTGCCAAAAGTGCTTGAAATTTTCCATTCCACAACAACTTTGTAATCATATATTTTTTAACGTTTTAGTATTATTTTTATTTGGGGAAATACAACCCAAGAATGTTTAAAGCGATAAAGAAAACATCCGTTTTCTATATATATAAACGTATATGTTGTGTCACAAACTATTTCACCGAGAATTTAGCAAAACCAACCGACGGGTCTCACATCTATAGAGATCCTCAAATATGTATTAAACTCTCGCACTTCTTTCTCTTTTCTACCTCGTTTTTGGCACCTGCGAGATGCGCCCACGTTGTGTTCCGAGCGTATTTATTCTGTAACTGGCAGCGGACGGGCTGCGTATCTGATATTTTTATTGTTTCGCGCTCTTCGGCACGGCAGATTATTCAATTATGTGGCGATTGCTGATAGAATCGCGGAGCAACAACACTTGCCAACACATGGGGCGGCTGGCTCTTCCGTGAATTTCCACGGCACCCCGGCACATCGAAATCGAATCAGGAACCACTCTATTGATAACAGCCATTTCACAAGTGCCTTACGCATTTCGAGGGCATCGCATTTATGAATGAATCATGGATACGAAAGGCCCACCCGGCGGATGAATATATATGAGTATCTTTAGGGGGCGCGGGGCCATTAGCCAGTTCTCGTTCGGCTGGCGAGACAGTTGCGCAGACAGAGAGCAGACGAGCCAGGAGACTCAAGTACGGACATATACGCGAATCTCGACTACGTCATCGTACACGAGATGGTTTTGGGTTAGGTAGGTCAGTTTCACTTGCGCAATTAAGCAAGAACTTTCCATAGCTATTTATACGCAGCGAGACCCGTCGTCGATCCACGGGCGATCGACAAACCCAAGTACAGACCTACAAACGACCTTGGCATTCCCAAAATGAAACGCCTGGCTAATTGTGCCGAAAGCGCAGTTATCACGCAGCCTGTAACTGATACAAAGTATCCAACGGATTGTCCGGCGGAACGTTTAACACGCACCAGCATCGTGCAGAGGCGCTCTACGCCCACGCTGGAATATTAGTATATTTGTACAAATGGCAAGACGACGTCGGAGACATATACATATGTGTATACCTATGCCATATAGTCTTATATATACGAGTATGTTTTAAAAGCACGTCGGCATCGCCAGTCGTATCTCTATCTGCCGATGTCGGCGACGACGCGTTGTTTGCTAGCACGTGAACATTATCAGTGGACGCGACGGAGGGCGGGGTAATTTGACTTTGCCGCGACCAGAACAACAAACCGACCAGATAGGGTTGGACCGGCGCCGGTGGAGGTTCCTATGTATAACTTGCCCTCCACTGAAGGTGCCACTGCCTGACCCCCAAAATATCCAGCATAAACCTTATCGCCAGTAAAGCCTTAGCACGTCGACTTTTGAATCTCCTACCATGTTCCATCTGCTGTTTCTTACAGAGAAAATGTTATTTAACAACATCATGATTGCCTGCAACATTTTATCAATGATATTTATTGACCATTCATAGATCTCTTTGATATGTGGTTACTATTAAGTGCTAATTATCCTAATTGCTTATCTTTCTGCATCATCATTACCTAAACAAAATATTATTAATGGCATTTTATCACTGAATAATTTATTCATTGATCTCGATGAATAGTAAAAACTATTACCCACTAATCATCCTAATTGTTTATCTGTCAGTTCGGCCTCGTCAGCATTGGCGCAGACGAAATGACACATAAACAGAAACATTATAGAGATTAGATTACTTTTGATTAGTTTTAATGGTAAGCGATTATGTTATGATGTTTGTATGTGTAAGTCTAGACTTTGGACCTAAAGTTTAACCAATCACTTTGTTATTTATAAATTGACATTCACTTTTATCTGAACAAAAGATCGCAATTATATAATTGATAAACATGCGTAGTCGTGAGAGTTTTGATTCCCTTATCAATTTTTTGCAACTAGTGACAGCTTTGAATTAAGTCCTATGAAAAACGAAATATTTTTAGCCAAACATTGCTTCCATTATTAATTAAAAATAAAATGTTGAATTTATTGTAAAATGAAGCAAAATTTTGCAGCCGAAACGTAATACACCAACGGGCATAAAATATATCTTAAACAAAATGCAAATTAAACTTAACTTTCTAAAACTAAGTAGATAAAAACTATTTTCCATCCGAAGTCAATGGCAAACTAAGCAAAATTTCATGTAAAATTTCAACTCAACTCATAAGTTGGATGAGGAGTCTGCCGCGGTCTCGGCCACGTTGTCAGGGCTTCCAGCTGCGGATACAACGCTTTTTGCAATGCGGCTGGGGATACTGCTGTTCCGCTCGCGTCTCGTACGCATTAGAAGGTCAATGAGATCGATGAGCTGGTCGTCACCAGGGCTGCACTGAACCAGCAGCTGCTGCATAAAAGCCAGCCGCTCGCCATCGGAACGTGGGCCGCTCTTTAGGATTTCCGGCACTTGGGCCAACAGCCCGATGCGGCAACTGTTACTGATCTTGGATTTGGCACAAACATATTCCAGCACAGAGTTGGGATTCAGGCGGTCGCACACCACCGATGAAAGGTTCTCCCGCACAGCGTGGTCCAGGAAGTCTTTGGAGTGGTTCTCCGACAGAGTCTCTAATACGTTGGTCTTTAGTTTATCGTTGCCTGCCATTTGAGCGGACAGGAACTTGGCCAAGATGCCGGCGTTCTTCAGTTGGCTCTTATCAAAGTACCGCTGCAGAACGGACTCCAGTGGTAACTGCTCTACGACCAGTTCAAGAGCGGCATCTGCATCCATGTCTAGATCCTGACCAGCTGGCTCTGACTCTGGCTCCACCTCCATGGCCTTAACAGATTCTTCACTAATACTAGTGTTGTGGGCGTTTCCAGTGTCGTTCCATTTCAGGCTGGTAAAAGCGTCCTCTTCGGCAGCATCTCCAGTGGACTTGTCTAGAGCCTTGTCTGTCGTCGCTGTTCTGGCCGTCTGTTCACTAGCGAATCGCTCGATCTCGATTATACTGTCTAGGCGACCACGTCGCCTTAGCGCCTGGCGCATCTCGGTGGTCTGGGCCACTTTGTCCATTAGCAGGCATCGCTTGGGCTTTAAGCTGCTGCGTGTCTCCTCGGTATCCCGCAGGTACTCTTTGGTCACGGACACCGGTGGGTCGTGGAAGCTAACCCGCTTTCGCTTCATGGCCGGCGAATCCAAAGTGACATCATCGAGGCTATCGCAACGTAGCTTGCGTTTCAAAATGCTCACCGATGGACTGGCTGATGGCGAGGGCAGTCGTTTGGAGAACACCAGCAGGTCCTTTGAGGCAGGAGCCTGAATCGGTGTGGAAGTGTGATCGGTGCCCGTCAGTTCGTTCAGTTCGCTGGTGGGTGTGGACACTTGCTCGGAGCGATCTTGGACACGGGCTGGTGTGACTTGGTGCACCAGGCGAGAGGTGGACATGGAAGCATAAGGGGAACCGGCGGCGGCGTCAAGTTTCTTGTTGCGGATCATGTTGATCAGCTGGGCACCGCGTCCGGTAAGATGGCCTGTGGGCTTTGGCCTTAAGGTGGGACTCGAGGAATTGTTCGTTTGCTTACGATCAGGTGGGGAATTCTGCGTGGGGGAGAAAAAAAGGAAGGTTATTATTAGTTAGGAAAGAATTCAATCAATCTTTAAATGTCGCTTTGCCAAACCGGTTTGCCATATACTTTTACGACTTAATTCAAGTTTTGTATAATTATCTCAGCAAGAAGTATATATTATACAAACAAAAATTCCGAATCTTTCATTAACTTCGATTTCACTTACCAAATTGCATATTCGAGTGCCCTGCTTCTTGGGAGAAGTCTCCACGGCAGCCACCACAGCCGCAGCAGGAGCAACATCACCACTGCTTCCTGGCAGTTGGGTGGAGGGCACGGACTCTACGGGAATTTGTGGCGGCGTTAACTGCGGTTCGGTAGCAGCATCTGGTTTCTTAACCGGTTCTGTGTCAGGTCCCTGTTCAGCGGTACATTCTGGGAAAAGATCCTCGCTTTGCTCAATTACTACAACGGGGGTGGGTTTTGCAACCTTAGTCTGTCTTCCGACAGCTGCAAAAATTCAAGTATTTGGATTAACATCCTAAGCCCACCTGTTATTTGGTACTCTTACCTGCTGTGGATTGAGCGAGTGGTGGGGGTGGCAATTTCTTGGGTGATCTTAGCTGGCGATCAGGAATTGGTGATGGTTGTGCCGTCTGTTCCACATCTTTTTGAGCCGCCCGTGTACGCGTCTGACGCTTTGGCAGCTCCTCAACTGGATTCAACGCCTTGGTAGCGGCCTCCTCTTCTTTTTGAGCTCGACTTTTACGGCCGGGTCCTTTTCGAATGGGGGTGGATACATCGGTTGTTACTGGATTCTTTTCCGTTTCCTGGCTATTTGTAATATCGACTACCTCCTCGTTGTTATCCTTGCCGGTTAAGGCCAGCTCACCCTGTTTGCTCTTTGCGATAACTACCTTCTTGGGCGTCCAGGGCTTGATAGAAGCCGAATCCTGTGACTGTGACATGTCATTGTATAGAGCTGGAATTTCGGACTTTTCGGCAAAGCGCTCCTTTTGACGATCCGTAAGCTTCTCGGGATTCAGGCTCCACACTGAGGGAATGATCACGAATAGGTCATTTCCTTTAAAAAGATCTCTTAGCTGATTGGCCATAGTTTTCATGGGTAACTTCCGGAACTTCTCTTGGATGGCACGCTTCCACTCCTCCAGAAATCCTCCCTCGCACTTAATCTTATTCCAGCACTGGATGGCAGAGGACAAAGTGGGTTTCAGGGTATCAAACACAACCATAAGTTCATTTTGGCGCAACTCCAGTACCAAATTGCGGAGGGTGTTCAAACAGGCCTCAAGCATCTGCTGGGAGGAGGTGTGCTCAAAAATGTTTTGAAGCAAGCCAAAGACATCTTTGTACAAAGGTGCCTCCTTGCAGAGTCCATGCTTGATTACAGAGGCCACATAAGCATCAAAGAGCTCCGCAAATAGCGGCTCGTCTTTGCTCTTAAAAAGGTCCGCAAGCGTAGCCTTCAGGTCTGTCAAGAACTTCTTTCTTTCTGATGCATTCTGGCCAGCATTTAGCAGGTGGCGCCATTGCTCGCAAAAAGAGCTATCGAAGGAGTTGCTAGCACGACGTCCAGCAAATGCAGCCAATGTCTGAAGCGGCCATAGAAGCCACGTGTCCAGAAGAGCAGCATTATGTGCCACGCGGTATTCAAGGGCGTTGGCTCGCAGATAGTTCGACAAAGCGTGCGAGACTTGCCGCCACAGTTGTAGCTTAACTGCGAATCCCTCAAAGTCCTCCTCATCGTTGGCCTGCATCAGAAGTTCAGCGAAAGAGCTAAGCATCCGGAACTCGTTCTGATTACCCGCCTCAATGCGTTCGACGGCAAAGATCCATGCTATACTCCTTTGCAGAATTGCCGCTGGCACTTCTGTCCTGGACTTTATGATCAGCTTTAGGTAAGCCTCTAGAACATCAAGGTGGTCGCTTCCAGCGACACGTTCCATCACCAAATTCTCTCCGGCTATGGTATTGAAGAAAGCACGTACTACCCGACCACCCGAGGTATTTTCGGCAACCAGGATTTTCTCCATTTCACTGCAGCATGCCACGTTAAAGGGAGCCAATGCAAACCGAAACATGGCCACGCAGAGATTCCGTACGAGCAGCTGTAGTAGAAGCTGTTCTGCTTCTGTGGCGTCGTTTTCGGTGAGTAGCTTCATACCGGCAACAGCTGATGCCAACAGTGGTTCCCAGTGCTGCTGCAGTACCTCTCGATTCATTAGAGGCGACGGTTGACCCAAGGTTTCCAGACGCAGTTCCCTTAGCAATCGTTGTAGTGGTTCACTGGGCTCCACGCCCCAAAGTGAAACCAGGCAGGGCAAAGCCAACTCCCTGGCTGTCTGGTAGTTATGGGCCAGACCAGTGGGCAGATTACGAGGACCTCCGCCAAACATGAAGGCCAGAAAGTGCTCCACAGCACTGTCAAAAGATTTGGGCATCTCTTGATCCAGGCAACTGAGAAGGTACCACCACACACGCAGTTTAATGCCACTCACGTGAGAGGATCGTGACTGTGAGGTTCGCAAGGGGATTAGAAGCAAGCGAAGTCTCTTCACGGATGCCAGCTCATCGTAGGCGGCAAAGATCTTGATCAACACACGCCAGCAAAGGAAGGCCTCTGAGCGAACACCATTGTCGGGGTTGCGAAAACCCAGTTCGACAAGGGCCAGAAACTTGTTGATGTATACACAGCCCCTGAGCAGATCCTCGTCCATGATCTGCACCAACAGCGTCCAGATCTTGTGCCAGTTGGAGTTTTTGGCATCGCGCATCTCCCCAATTCGCGTGGTGTAATTGTTAACGAATTCATTGCGAATCTGGGGCCAGCACTTGGTCGAGTGGATGACAGCGACATCAAGGGCCACCAATGCCTCCGCCAGGGCTGCGACTGCGCAGTCCTGAATCTTGCGGTCCGTATCGAACATGAGTGGTACGATGTCACCTAGCCAAAACTCCACCAGCTCATCGTCCGTGAAGAGCGTATCTATTAATCCGGAGCTCTTGCAACTACTGGCTAACAGGTCAATCATCTGGTGGATACATGTGAAATGGGGGTTATGTGAGGGAGTTCTGTAATTGGGTGCTCTACTTACGTTACAATAATGCTGACGGCGGCCAGCAGCGAGCACTTCTTTCGCGGAGAGCTGCACTGTTCGATAGGACTGCCCCGCCTCCGCGCCGAAGTCGATGTCCATGACGAGTGGATTCTTTGATTATATACTATTTAATTATTTAATTCTTTTCCGTATCTGACTGCCACAAGTTTTTTCCCGCAGTTTAAAGAAGGTGGAAGTGAAAAGCGCGCGAATTGCCTTAGCTAGAGATGGCAAAAGCAGTTCCGCATATTATTGATAACTTACTGTCCACTTAAAATACCAAATATCTTAATACCAAATATACCAAAACTCCGAGTTGCCAGATGTGCAATGCGCGGGAAGTTGAGGTCATTCAAAACAAAAATTCTTACAAAGTTAACATTTTAACATTTCGAGTTAAAATTTGAATTTTAAATGTGGAGGACCAAGTCAACTTGAGGAATATTATAATTTTTTTCGGAAGCAGACAAATAAAAAACAATGCAGTTCTATAATTCACTCGTAAATAACGAAATCTCGGAGATATGTGTCACAACTAAAAATCTTTATTTTTCTATTATTTCTGTGAAACCAAAATGACACATTTTGGTAAAGGTTCCAAAGGCCTTTGGAATAAATTAATTATAAAACCATGTTCATAGTTCTGAGTTTCCAAAAACTGCACTAGCTTTAACAACATTATATCCTGAAAGTGAGATATTCAGCGTGTTGAATTTACATTGAAATTTACAGAATAGAACCTCGAGAATATAAAAACCATCGTAGAAACAAAAATCAATTATATTTTAAACATTTTTCTTTGTCATTTTTATTAGGAAATAAATATTACACACAGAAATGAATACTATAATTGTCATTTCCCCGAATGTTTCTCGAATTACTTCGATTGCGGGACACGTTCTCTTTCTAATTGATTAGCATGAACACAATTTTGCGGCTGTGAACCGTCGAAAGCTTCGCCGGATGAAGGGAAAATGAAAAACTGATAATTAAACTTGGTTTAGCAACAGCTATTACACATAATATATATATATATATATTTGTCAATAGGTTATACATAAAAATATGCGTGTAATTGGTGCGCATAGTTATACTTGAATAATTAATAAAAATAATACACGTATTAAATATATATATAAAAGACAACTAAAATGACCAAAAGGGGCTATTACACATGTATCGTATATGCATATATAATATATATGGATATAAATAGTGAAAAATAGTCAAAAACATTTTACATATACATATAGGGTCATACATACATACAGCATACATATAAGTATATATAGATTAGTATAAATTATTATTATTATGTAGGTTTCTTTAAATGCGATTCGATTTTGTTTCGATTTTTGTTTTTAGGTCTAACTTAGGTTGGTAATTGTTAATTGTTAGAGATTTACATGCGACTACCCAGCTTAGATGTTGTTATCCGATTTATGTTTAGGTTTTTTGTTTCCTCAATTAGTTTAGATTAATTATAATATTAGTTACGCTTCGATTTGCACACATTTAGTTTAATTAGGACTATATCTAGGAAAAACACTTGCAACAATTTGCTCGAAATTCGTTACACGTTTTGGGGGCCTTTGTTTCGTTTCATTTCAATTCGATTCTTTGTGGTTTTAGTGGTTTCTTGGTTACTTGGTTTCTCGTTCCATTTCTGGTTCTATCAAAATACTTTCCTTTGAGCAACTTAGACTAAAGAAGGTTTTCGTTATGCACTTATTATCATTTAACTCGTTTCTTTGAGACCCCTGAACGGCGCGTTTTAAACGACCGTTGCAGGATTGTGTTTTGTAATGCGTGTGCTTCTGTGCGATTTTACTGTTTTTTTTTTTTGTTTGTTTGTTTTGTTTATAACTTTAGTTTTTAGTTTATCATTATTTATCGTTTGTCATGCGACCTTCATCTGGTTATCTCCCAACAACTGTTTTTCTTTTTCGTTTTCTATCTACAAAAGGAATCTGTTCTACGTCCAATTCCGAGTTCTTCGACTTGGCCTTCTGATGACGGATGGTTGGGGGTTTAGGGAATGTATTTTCTGTGGGGCTCATGCTGGGCGGGGGTTGGAGGGCGTTCATTTCAAGGGGGCGTGGCACATGCAATGACTTGCTTAAAGCTTGTTTACGCTGATGTGGTCGAATGTGATGTGAATGCTGTTCTACGGGAAAGGGGCACACAACGTGCGAAAGAATATTGGAACAGGGAAGAAGTGACTGGGGGTCAGCTAATTTCCGGAGGACTTGGCAGGGGCTACAGTTGCGTCTCACATAAATACATAGATATCCGGATCGATCGATCGACATATTATGGTTTAGTTATTATGTACATCGCCTGGGTAGCTTGCACTAGTAAATTGATAAATGCGAATATATAGAATACATGTGTGGCAAGGAAGTGCCTGCAAGAGCAGGCACATTGCCGAAGGATAAGATAGATATATAAATATATATATATATATAAAGAAGCGGAAGGGGACGAAAGCAAATCGATGCCGCTGTGTTACATAGATTATGCGATTATTATATGGCATATGGTACGAGTACGAGTACGAGTATATATAGGAGTATATGAGTGCTGGAGGAGCGCTAGTAGTAGAAGGATCTCGCATCTTAAAGGCAACTAGCCTCCATAGACTGGATGATGATCATGACGATGCAGGGAACGGATATGGGGTGAGGGGATGTGGGGCATTCGATATCAGACATCGAATCCCCCGTGTTGTACTACCAGTGCATCATTCGCAGCTGATCAAGGATGCGTTGCTTGAAGAAGGTGCCCAGCATGCCGAAGACCGTCGACACGGCGGCCACGCCCATCATGACCTGCATGATGCAATGGATGCCAGACAGTTCCTCTTCGGTCTTTTGGCGATGACGATGCCGCGCCCTATGGTGCCGCCGACCACCATTCTCTTGCAGCCGTTGTAACCGTTCCATGTCCTCATCGAACTGCGGCACAATAGCCAAATTGATAACCTCCGTCTTGGAGAGTAGCTGCTCATTGGCAATAGTGTGCGCCTCGGTGGCTCCCTTGCTGGTGGCCTCGTTGTGCTCCTTGTCTCGCTCCCGCTGCTTCTCCAACTCACGCACCCGCGACCTTTCATCCAGCATCGTGTTGTCACGGCTGAAGTCAAAGTCGTGGCTACTGGGGAGCAGCGGCGTCTGCAACGTCCTTCCGGACGTCGGGAACTCAGCCAGGTTCACCTTGGCAAGGAACTGATGTCCGGAAACGGGACTACGTGACGTAGCCTCCGGCAGTGGAGGCGGTGGCTGCTGCGTGGGCAACTGATCACGTACTCTCGTTTCCTGGAACTGGTTCTTCTTGATGCCCAGCACCTCCGACAGCGGCCGGTTGATCATTGGCAGCAGTGAGTCGGAGGTGGGACGAATTATAAAGGATCCCCCTGGTTGGACATTATCCGGCGGTTCTAAGATCTCCGGCTGCAGTGGCTTTGGTGTGCTAGCCACTAAGGAAGGCTTTCCTGCACCTGATTCGCCTTTACTGTCCTCTGCATCCTCGCTGTCCGTGTAGACAGAGTCCTCTGAGGATGAAGAGTCTTCGGTTTTAGCCTTTGGCTCCTTTGCCGGCTGTCCGGCAAACTTATGCGTAAGGTTGCGAATGGGCTCGTACTTGGAGCTCTCCGAGTCTCCGCGATAGAGCAGCGCCACCTTGCCATCGGGCGTCAGAACAGGTGTAATCTTGGGGTGGGGCGACGGAAAGCGATGACTGCTCTCGGGGTCCGGTGACAGGGCGTCGAAGTCGGTTAGCGCCGGCTTCTTCTGCTGCGGTTGCTGCGCGTCCTTGTCTGGACTCTGGTCTTTGTCCGTCTGCTGGTACACAATGCTCACCTTGCCAAGTGGCGTTGAGATGATCTTTATCGCATCATTGCCGTTCTTGCGGTGATACGGACCATTCTTGCGCTGCTGGGAGCCAAAGAAGCCGCGCCCCTGATTCTCACCCGTGTCAGCGAACTCGTCGTCGACGCCGTCATCGCCGTCCTCGCCATCCTCGTCATCGTTGGCAAAGTGGCCGCTGCTCTCCCGCAGATCGATCGCAGTGCTCGGGACGGCCACCGCAACGGCCGCTTCCGGAGCTGTTTGGGATTCTGTGAGCAGCTTCTTGCGAATGTTCTCCAGCTGACTTTCACGGAAGCTGTTGCTCGGCCTGAACCGTGACCGAAAGCCACCGAAGCCGCTGCCCTCTTCGTTGAGGAAGTGCTCCTCATCGGGCCTGGGCCTAACCGTTCTTGGCCTCTCCATGGCGATCCGCTCGTCATCCTCGTCGTAGCCCATGTCTTCCTCTTCGTCCGGAACACTTACCAGACCCTTGGGATCGGGAAGTTGCTCTGGATCCTCCTCCCCATCCTCTTCATCTGCATAATCATCATCGAGACCATCGTCATCATCATCATCATCATCGATGGTGTCGTCGTAGAGATCGGACTGCATGCCATCCGTGGGGTAATCTTCACTATCATCCCGCACCTCCTCCGTTGTCACCCCCGCTTCAACATTATCCTCCACATCATCCTTCGCCCCCCTAACATCCGTGCTATCCCTAGTGCTATGGCTAAGACTATCGTTACTATTACTACTACTATAAGTTAGATTTAAACCTGTTCCTAAACTAACATCTAAGCTGCTATTGCTCCGCTCGAGCAATTGGGTAGTCGCATCTTTCAGTCAGTAGCATTTCTTGGTGCATCCGCACTTGCGCACGATGTCCAAGTTCTTGATGTACTTGCGGTTGTTGCTGCACACCATGCGCACCTGTAGTTGGAAATGGGGAATCGATTAGTTTTGTATTAGTTTAGTTTTAGTTTTAACTTACCTTGCGCCGCCTCACAATCTTGGCCGCACAGCACTGGTTGCCGCAGCCGCCCACGCACTTGGCGTACTTCAACGGCTGCCTCGAACGGCAGTCGTTCTCTGTGTAGTACTCGCGCACCTGCTCTTTGCGACAGGTGGACGCTGCTGTGGGTGGAAAGAGTCAACATAGCGCAATTAGTCAGTGGGTTAAGGCAGTGGCTGCAATGTGAGCCTTGCGGCTGGATAATTAGAACTAACAAAGTGCACAGTGTCACCTCCCCAAGAACCCCTTGAAGTTTTCCTTTGATGGATGAGTAGCATGAGAAGCGAATGTCATGAATGTAAGTGGGTGTGCGAATATGTGCCAATAATTAAGCTTTACGGGGTGGTGTTAATATCTCGCCATATACCACTGATTTTCGTTAAGAGTTCACTTCACCTTTGCCTACTACAAGGCTATGTTTTCACATTCAAGCAAGTTCTTAGGTTAGTAATTTGTTTTTCAAAAATAATCAAGACGCAAAAAACTTCCACTTTTGCTTTTCCTGTGGACAATTAAAAATCCCCCTTTCAAAATGTAAGTTTAATGACTGGCTCTTTAAGTTAAATATCCATAATCCCATAAAAAAGAAACGCATAAAAAAGCCAGCACTCTATTGATTGCCTGGTGCAGGCGGACACCTGTTTTATGGGCAGCTATATAGATTTTAAATGACCCCACATAAGCCTTCCTTCGAGTCTGGTATAAGTTATGGGTAGCTTTCCGGAACCCATATTTATGGTTAGAAATAAATGGCATACACCCCCCATATAGGCCCCCAGAGTGTGAGTTGTGAGTAGCAAAAGCATGATAGATGTATGTACCGGTGACTGTTGGGGGCTCTGTGCTGCCCTCACCTTGATCGCAGTATCGGCCGCGCTGGCCGTGCTTGCACTTGCACTGGTAGCCGTCCCTAGAGTTGGAATTCGGCACACAGCGGCTGCCACGACGGCATTTGTTCTCCAGACATGGATCTACCGGTTCCTAAAAAGAGATAAACATAACTTTAGAAATACCAAACCAAGGGGTACACCTAAAAACACCCACCTCTTTGATGTGCGGCGTTTCGTCCATGAAATCCTGCTCGTCGTCTTCCTCCTCTTGCTGCTCTCCCTCGAGCAGCGCACATCCTGGAGTAATCTTCTGCTGGCGCTGGGCATTGCCGAAGTCCACCAGCTTGTGGTTGATCCACACCTCCTTCATGCAGCCTTTGAAGCTTGTGAGGTTGCGGATCTGCCAGTTCTTATAGGCTTGCTGAGCTGGATCCATGGGCAAACCGCCAAGGAACATGGGTGTAGTGAGCTTCAGATAGTCGTTGGAGCCCTCGTTTATGATGGATCTGGCTAATCCGCGATCTACGCGCAGCGTGAAATTCTTTTTAATGGCCAGTAGCTCTACTGCATGGTATTTTCCATCCGCCACCATCTCAAAGCTGTACATCGTCGACACAGGATGATTACCCACATCGTAGCTAACGCGTATGCGTCCATTGAACAGCTCCACTGCGAGGTGAGCATCCTGTCCATCGTACATGAGAATACCATTCTGCTCTGCACTGCTGAATACTATGGTCACATTCGCCTCGGGGCGTGTACGCAGAGGTTCCAGTTCCACAAAGGAGTTGTTGTGGACGAAACTGATGCTGGTGAGATACTCGCACCACTTTCCAGTGTATCCTGGATGACACCTGCACAGGTAGTCGCTACCCTGAGCGTTTGGCTGGAAGCAGACACCGTGCTTGCACTCATGGTTTTGGCAAGGTGAGGTCTGTGGGTACATCATCGAGATCATGTTATGGCCTTCGCAGTACTTCCCAGTGTAGTCATCTGGACAGCGACATTGGTAGTCGTTGATGCCGTCCACGCAGGTTCCTCCATTCTGGCACATATGGTTCTGACAGTCGTCGATGTTGTCCGTGCAGTTGGTGCCATGGAATCCCGCCTGGCAGTCGCAGCTATAGTGGGTAAAGTGGTCCATGCACTTGGCTCCGTTCGCACAGGGATTGAATTCAGGACTGCAGAACTGGATCTTTGTGTCGCAGAATTCGCCACTGAAACCAGGCTGGCATTCGCATTTGTACGATTCCACTCCATCGATGCAGGTGGCGTTGTTTTGGCACTTGATCTCGCCCAGACAGTCGTCGATGTTGGTCTCGCAGCGACCACCAGTGTACCCTGGGGCACACTGGCAGCTAAAGCGACCCTCCTCTAGCACTGTGCAGGTTGCGTTGTTACGGCAAGGATTTCCGTAGCAAGCATCGATCATGAACTCGCAGTGCTTACCATGATAGCCCGGCTGGCAGAGACACTGGTAATCTCGCTGAGGAAGAGCCACGCACTGGGCCTGATTCTGGCAAGGCTGTTCGAAGCAGGCGTTGCACTTGGCCAGGATATCATTACGCACGCGACCACGGCAGACGAAGCTCGACGAAGGTGTGGACAAGATCAGCTTGTCCTTCATCTGTTCCGGTTCGGCGCATCGAGCAATTCCCGGCTCCACATAGTCCAATTTGATCCAGTCGGAGAACCACTTCAGGCCGCAGTCACAATACAAAGGATTGCTGCCCAGAGCTCTGTATAAAAAAAAAGTTCAGTGGACTGTCCAAAATGCTTCCTACTGTCCCTATCTACTTACATATGGGTCAACGTCTTGAGGTCCTCGAAGGAGCCCTCCGGTAGCATCGAGATGCGGTTACCATGCAGCGAAAGCACGCGCAGGTTATTCAGGCCAGACAACGCATGCCGCTGCAGACACTGCAGCTTGTTGTACGAGATGATGCTGCAAAGGGCAGGAGAATCGAAAAGACGTTTACAAATTGCATTAGACCAACACACATACAGTCACAAACAGACACATGCGGCAATTGATGAAGAAATGAAAGTAATTGCAAAACGTTTTCTATTCGCAAACGGAGGAGAAACACCAGAAATAACGGCTAAGCTTTGATTGTGGATAGCGCACACCAACGGATACAGTGGGTAAAGGTTCGACTTTTTGACTATCTATGGGAAATACCATTTTACCCACAAAGATTACTTTATTAGAACCCACTGTTCCGCTAGGAGCCACTGACGTTGGCGTCGACGTCCGCGTCAACGACTAATGCTTAAGCACGAGTCACGATTTCGACTTTACGTCTCGGAATGAATTTCGTGCCTGCGCCTTCTTGGCTTGCATTGCTCTGCTGGGGCCTGCCTTTTGAGCAGAGGGGACAGACCTCGAGCCAAAGACCGGGCCCCGACGCCGGTCCATGGCCCAAACCCAATCCCCAATACCCTGACCAGGTCGACAAACGATGCAATTGGCACAGAATTGTGTCAAGCCCTCTTGAGCCTTCGATTTGTGTTGCTTTTGCTGTTATTTCGTGGTTTCCGTGCTGCGGCGGAGCAATTAAAAAGTCATTAGGCCTAGGTGCACTTACAGCGTGGACAGCTTGGTCAGATTGGCGAAGGTGTAGTTGGAGAGAATGGTGATCTGGTTGTTGCTGAGATCGCTGTGAATGGAATGCCAAGTAGCGCATTATTAAAAAAACCTCGGGCATAGAAACTTTACATGTATACTTACAGTCGAGTGAGGGAGCGCAGGTGACGAATGCGTTCGTAGTGAATCTGCTCGATCTCATTGGACTCCAGATAGAGCTCCGATGTCTCGGCGGGTATGCCGCGTGGGATCTCCTTGAGCTGATTGCGTGAACAGCGGACCACAGTGCCAGTGCAGGTGCAGGACGGCGGACAGTAGCCATCGCCCAGGCAGCCCTCGCTGTTCTCGCTGCTGCACTTGAATTCCGAGTGGGGCAGGTCCTTGATCTGCACGTCACGTACCTTCGACGGGGCACCACAACGTGCCGCTCCACCGTTCAGCGATTTTTTGCGCAGCCATTCCGCGAACCAGGCCAAATGACAATTGCAATTGAATGGATTCGAAGCGAGGTTCCTATGAGGAGGGGATAAACCAAAAAATATAAGAAAAAAATGTGACAGACCACACAAAAAACGATTACGATAACGGCATTGATAAAGGGTTCTTATAATTCAATTTTCCCACCCAAAGCTTTATATGGGCGTTTTGATAAATTAATTTCGTATTCATTCGGTGGGTGCCATATAGTCAGCATATGTTACTCCTTCCTTACTCGCCCTGGCCAATCCATGTCCATGCCCATGCCAAGGCACTTTAATTATGCGGACCAGGGGTTTTAGGAGCGGAGCAAGTGAAACAATGGCGCACAAATTACATTGGCAATTCCAAAGTTGCAGCCGAGTCCAGACTAATTTAATAAGCAATTCTGCTTTGTCATGCCACTAGCTATGCCAGCTACCTATTACATGTGTGTATATGTTAGAAAGTATACACTGGAAACAAAGTTTCTAGATTTATATTAAGAAAATATGATACTTATTGATTCTAAATCAAGGACTAACAGACATAACTTCCTCTGGGAGATTCTACTATCAACGATTATTATGATGTTCTGATTATTAACAAAACTATCTCAGTTTATTTGACTTATCTTCTTAATATTTTCTCCCAGTGTATAACTGTGTGTAGGCCGCAGGCAGCTAACTAACACTTTGCGCTCCTTAAACGCAACACCTTTGAAGGTGGCGAAGTGGGGTGCCCGGTGGTTGGTGGGCAGCTTTCGGTGGTGGGTGTCATGTGGTGCACAGCACTTAATGAATTTCATTGATGCTATTTATTAGCTACTTAAATGAATTTTACAATAATTTGCGAGCAGCCCAGCGGACCACACAGCACCTCTCGGTCTCTCTCTACTGCTGCTGCCGACTCGCTTGGGCGCTCTCCATTGAACTCAATTTTAATTAATTAAATCATCGAAGGCGCACACACATAGACACACATGGTAGTGTATGTGTTCTCCCTTTTGGTTTTGTGTGCTTGGGGGATGATTTACAAGCAACAAAAGTTGGGCGGCAGAGGGGAGCAGTGGCTGGCTGGAAAGAAAGAGGAGCTAGTGGTATCTGTTATCGCAGCAGCAGCAGCAGCGGCATAGACACAGACACACATTGGGAGGAGCAAGCCATGCTATAAATTGAAGTTCAATTGAATTATATACAATAGTTTGCTGTGCTTTTGGTGGCTGGCACATGAAGAAGCAAAACTGATTTGAAGGCATAACAGAGACGAAGACGCAGACACAGAGCAGCCAGAGCCAGAGCAGCCACATCAGACAGAGTTCAACTGGAGAACAATCAGAACCATTAACCTCATTTTACGAGCGAGGAGCTGATGATGCTCTCCTCACCATCCTCACCCGCCTGGCAATTAATGCTTAAGCCAAATCATTTATCTATTGAAGTGCATCCCGAGCACTTGGCACAGTTTTAATTGCTACGCATAGCAGCGGAGGCATCTTGATAGACGGAAATCTGGGAATCTGGTTACTTACAGGGACGTCAGTGAGTTGAGATGCTCAAAGGAACCGGGCATAACGCATGAGATTTGATTGTCGTACAGATTGCTGCAACGGAAAGAGATTACATAATGTCAGGTGTATACGTTTACAGGTTACTGGTTACGCTAATTAAAGGGTAATCAGGTTTTAAATGGGAAAGTATAATTGCTATATTAGGTTGTTTTATTGTTATGGTTTTTAAACCGCTTTTATCTTAGACAGACTTAGATAGACTTACAGCGTCTTTAGTTGATGCAATCCCAGGAACATCTTGTTGGAGATCTCCTTGATTTTGTTCTCACCCAACTGCAGTTCTTGGATATGGGAGGCACCCTCGAAAGCATTAGGCTCGATGCCGGTTAGCTGGTTGCGCTTAAGCTCCAACTTTACCAAATGCGGCAGGCGACCAAAGAGGCCATCGGAGCTGATGCGTCCCAGTTCGTTGTCGTTGAGCAAACTGCCAAATGAAATAATATATTGAGTTAGGGATGCGGGGGGTAAGCGGCAGTGGCAGGATGCAGGGACATGGTATCCGGAAGTGGACTTACAGCTCAGTTGTGTGCAGGGGAATGTCGCGAGGAATCTCCTTCAGTCCCCGTCCCGTACAATCCACGGTGGTGCCCTCGCAGTGGCACATGGCCGGACAGTCGGAGTCCATGCGGCACTCGCCGGACAGCTTCATCCGCAATTCATCCCAGGAGCCTGAAAAGAGGTAGTGGAGAAGGAAGAGGAGAGTTGAAGGGAGCGCTTCAGTTGGCTGGTTAAGTACAAGGACGCTGGTTGTGCAGTCTTACATTTGAATTTCTCCTCGCGCAGCGATTCAATCCGACGACGATGCATCCGCTTCGGTGACTCGCAGCGGGCTCCACTCGTCTCTATGGGATTTTTGTGCAAATAGTCGGCCAGCCAGCGCAGATTGCAGTCGCAGATGAAAGGATTCTTGGCCAGATGTCTGTTTATGGGCGAGTGTGCGTGCGCAAATGGAAAGAAAGTAAGCAAAGAAAGTAGCATTGAGCATTCGACTGAATGGCTGTAACGGTTATGCAGCAGGACTTTTTTTTGAGGATAGAGGAGGGTACCAAGACGTTGCCTGGGTAACTGAAGGGAAGGGTACGAAAGCTTCCGTGGAGGCTTGAGACGTCTTAAAAGTGCACCAGCCTTGTGGCTACGACATTTCCGTTGTTGTTCTCCCTCGCTCGCCGTTGTTGTTTTGCAACTATTTAAAAGCGATTCCCAACAGGGTTGCCGTAGCGATTGGGGGATTGTGCAAATAGTAAATGTTTTTATTTTTAGTATTTCAATTGAGTTAAGGACGAAAGTCCCCCAAGAATATTTTAGCTTGTTAGCAAGACGCAACTCAATCGATTTTATTGGCAACTATTTAAAATGCTTTTTATGCGTTCTGGGGGAGAGTTGATAGGGTTGTGGACCATAAAAGTTTGAAAGCATATATAGTAAGTGCATATGTACCATAAAGGCTCATATGGAATATACTTTAACCTACTTTTACCTTTAATGTAACGTTTCTTAAACATATACAAACAAAACATAAGCACCTCAATTAGTTAAGCCAATTTATTAATACGATCATTAGCACATCATCACTTCTTGGGACCACCGAAAGATCTCTGAAGTTTCCGCTGAAATATGCGTATGCAACTAACCGGAAAGCTGACAACCCTGGCAAATACTTAACCCACTCAAGCATAAAAAGCCCCTCGGCTGCGGCTCTTATGGCACCCCTCTGCCCCCCAAACACCATCTTTCAGACCCTGTCGCCCATCCAAGTGTGTTTTTTTTCGCTCTCTGCAACCTCGTAGCCTCGCGTACATTTATCGATGCCAAAAGGAGAATTCTTCTCGGCGTCTTCGTCTTTTGTTCGCTGGTAAGGCCGAAAGTCTTCACGGTTCACAGAGTAGGGTATGGATGGTGGATGCTGGATGGTGGATACTGGATACTGGATACTGAAAGATGTGTCAGGGGGCGGGAGAAGCTTCTTGTTTGCTGCTAAACAAATGTCAACGCGAACTCTGAAGCGGACTCAAGACGAGAAGGCAAAGGGAGGCGGGACGCAGTCAAAGGCAACTACTAAATGCACTTCAGAGGTTTAACACCAAAGTGCCTGCTCCATTCAAGATGGGATCCCGACATGGGCCTGGTTCCCCACTCAAGTGCTGGATGGATGGAATGATAGTGGGCGGCATTCAAAAGGAGGAGGAGGCGTTGAGGAGGAGTGGAGGACTCCATGTACTTACACCGTTTTGATGCTCTTCATGGCGTCGAATGTGCCATTAGCCAGTGACTGGATGTTGTTGTCGTACAGTGAGAGCAGGCTCAAACTGTGCAGGTCGCGGAAGGCATCCTTGCGTATGCACGAGATCTCGTTGGCGTTCAACAGCAGCAGCTGCAGCGAGCCGAGTCCTTTGAACACGCCCGAGGGTAAATCCTTTATTTTATTGCCATACAGCACGCTGATGGGATGATGCCACGATGGTACAATGCCGCACATTGACGATGGGTGGAGCCGACATGGAAAAGAACACAAATAGAACACACGACGAATGTTAACAAAGCTCGAAAAAAAAGCTTAAAGAAATACACAAGCCCCGCCAGGAGGTGGCACAAAAAATTACAAAAAATAAAAATCACTCTGCGGGCAAAGACAAAGTGGTTAAGTTGTTGTTGTTGCTGTTGTTGTTCTTGCTGTTGTTGTTCTTGCTGCTGTCATTCTTCTTCTGATGTTGTTGCGGGCGGCAACTGGTTTGTTTGGCTTTGCCAAACTAAGAGATGAGCTTGAATCGTGAACCGTGACACGCTAGAGTTCTAGGTTTCTTATTCTATTTCTAAAGATTTTGGAAGATCTAATACTAGCCCTTCTCCTTACTTTACGATCCGAGTTAATGCTACTATAATATAATTTTTAATATCTGTCTTCTCCTGACAAAATATCTCTAAAACTGTGGAACTAATATATGAACTGTAAAGAAAAGAAAGTCTACAAACGTTTAATATATAATCAAAATCTCTTTTAAATTTACAAATTATATACTTCCTTCTACAAAGGACCTACTTTACTCTTAAGCTTTCATTATAATTCCATTATCCCGATAATAAATACACACCCATAAGCTCTTAAACAAGTTAAAACTCTAAAAAACACACCCCCTAAAAAGGTCACATACTTAAAAATGCAAAACAGAAAACCCCTTTTAATGTGGCCACCATTAATTAAGTCCGTGTCACGTTTCCAGCTCCAACACACACGTGCTTGTCAAGAACAAGGGGGGGCAGGAGATGGAGCTAGAGCTGGGTGTCAGGGCGAAGGAGATCCACACACAGGTAAGCCGATGCCCAATGCCTTGCGGTGTGAGCTGGCAGGAACGCTTAGCGTGGGCCGATTAGCTCGCTTCTGGCCTGGCCCGAAGGCAGCTCTTTGCCTCATACCCGTACTCCCCCCCTCTATGGAACTCAGTGGTTCAGGTGAGTTTACCCCAGTGCAGCAAGCAGGGCAGCTCAAGTGAGTGCACATTTTGTTCTGCAATGGCTACTTGTTGCACTAGCAAGTAAAGTGGCAAACACCACCTCCAACACCGACAGCACCAGCGGGCATTATCTACTTACAGAGTGGTTAACTGCTTTAGGCCGCTTAGGGCATCGTGGGCAATTCGGGATATGTTGTTGTTGGACAGGTCGATGCGTCGCAAACGTCGAAAGCTGGAGAACGATTTCGGTGGCAGTTCCGTAATGAAGTTCTGCTCCAGGCGGCTGTAAAACAGAGAAGAAGAAAAAACAAAAGGGGGATTTGCAATGCAAAATCAGTGAGGAGTCCCTCATCCAAAATGAGATGCACCACTTACAGTTCGGTGGTGTCGTCGGGCAAGGTGACGGGCACACTGGTCAGACTCTTCTCACGGCAATCGACGATCCCGTCCGCACAGCGACATGGGTGCGGACAGCTGTTCTCCGCCCCGCATTCCATCGGTGCGTGCTCCGTCAGACCTGATGGACAAACAATATGGTTTGCAAGATCGGGATAAGTAGCTGGCGAATTTAGTTTTGCTCCGGTTCGAGATCAAGCTGGGCATTAACCAGCTCCGGTAGCTGAGCAAACGAGCATCCGATTTGGATCTGGCTTGCTTTACAACAAGCAGTAGCATAATTATCAATGCTACTGCACAGTTGCTCCGCTCCGGTGGCAGGGAAAAGGGGATAAAGCGGTCTGAGGAATTGAGGTTTGGGGAGGTGCAACTATAACCAGCCGCTGGTCATAAATGTTTACCCACATAATTCCATAGCATTTCATACAAAACGAAAGTCAAACAAGCAAGGAATTATAGTTCAATTTGATGGAGAGGTTGAAGTGTGGATACTCTTTGTCTATGGCTTGGTATTAAATGAAGGAAAACTAAGTTTGAGTGGAAATTTTAAGCTAAGAAAGCACAAGGAAAACGATTTGAATTAACCCATAATACGAACTAGTAAGTTATTAATCTTACCCTAGGTAAAATTCTCAGAATTACAAAACTTCAGCCAAATAATTTCCCATAGGCACCACTAAAGTATTATTCAACTTGACACGGGTCATATAGGGATATAAACCTCTTCTCATCTGCATACTCATATCGATTACAGGCTCCTAAAACCTCAGAAAACAGAAACCACAACGCAAAACAATGCGATACCCTAACCATTCAGCAGAAATGGCTGAGCCAAGAAACTCGTTTCATGGCTGCATCGTTTTGGGGCGCATTTTCCGCTTCATTGAGCGCTTCACGCTCAGTCTTTAGCTTTGGTTTTCGTTTTGGCCACTTCCCATACCCATTCACTTGGCCCGCAGCTTCATCTCCATCTCCTGCTCAAGTCTTAAGCCGTTCGTTGAGCATCTGCATCAGCATCGGCATCTTTCGGTAAGAGGAGAAGCCAAAAAATACAAACACCAGGCAATGATTTCGACGGCGTTAAACGTTTTGGCAAACACACGACCTCGCTGGAGAAGTGGGGGTTAATCCAATGGATGAAGCCACCAAAAGCACCAAGTGGTTCTCGCCAGATATTATGCTGCTGATGTGGTGGTTGGTTCGTGGGCGTTCGTGGCAGCGGGGGCGTGCCCATATGACTGCTTATGATTTATACCCGAAATGCTTTGTTTTCCTCGCTTTTTGGCATACAAAAAACTAATTAATTTCGACTATGAAACGGGTGGATATATATCCGGGGGGACATGGCAGAGGGGGAGGATGGTGGGTGGAGGAGCGGCCAAATGTTGCCCATATTTGGTAGCATTCGAGGGAGTGGAAGCTGCCACAACATGTTGCACAAAACACCGGGCCATTGGCCATTACATACCCGAGCATTTGAACTCCTGATCGTGCAGGTCCGCCACGTTTTGGCCCTTCAGCTGGGATGGCGACTGGCAGCGGGTGTAGGGCGCTAGGCGGGTGGCACTGCGAAGGAACCGGGACAACCAGGACAGATGGCAGTCGCAGGCGAACGGATTGTCCGACAGCCGGAGTGCCCGCAGACGTCCCAATCCGCCGAAGATGTTGTGCGGCAGAGAAGTCAGGTTGTTATTGTTCAGCGTGCTGTAATGGAGAGTGGGAAAGGAGGATGGTCAGTATGGCGAAGATGATCCGGCCTTATCAACTAACTATATCTATAGGCCAGTTATGGCTCTAAGGGTTTGGCCTGGCCAAAAGCGCAGAAATTTAATTAAAGTTGTTACTATCTATCGCTTTGCCTGATTCATAAATGGAGTTGACTTTTCAATTTCCTAATCTTGCTTTAGTACAAGCTACTAAAAATGGTTTATGGATACTATCCCAAGCTGCATTAAGTGTCGTTTAATTAAGGATTCAGTCAATAACAAGCTATTGTTTTACATTGCTCTTGGCTAATACCATATTTAATTAACATTCATTTTCATTTAAAGCGTTCAGAATTTATAATCAGTTAACTAGGAAATTAGCTTTGTTTAGTCTCAATGTGACCCAGATTTATTTCTTTGTTTACAAACAATTGAGTTTTTATTGCTTTTAAATAATACATTAAAGCCTGGTCCTTTTATTCTATAAATAAATAATAAATAAAGTTAAACCTTCAATTACCAAACTGTTTAACTTTTGCACTAGCACTTGGCCATATATCAACTTGGTCGCGCCTTTCTGGCTCTCCCTTCTAATCAGTTGATATATGACCAACCATTTCGGTTGCGATTGGCTGGCTTATCTGGCCACAAAGCTAAGCCATTTATTATGTAATTTAGGCAGAGCATTAACTGATTGATTTTTAATTCATTCACTAATTCCAGTTTGATTGATTAACCAAAAAGCCACTAATTTATTGATTAATTACGCGTTTCGACTCGCCGCGCAGTTCCATTGATTAGCCAACTAATTTGGTTATTCTGTCCCTTCACTTTGATATATTCTAGTACTTACAGTATCTCCAGTTCCACCAATCCCTTGAAGGCGTGCTCATCCAGGCAGGTGATCTGGTTATTGTCCAGCTGAAGACTCCGCAGCGATTGGGCACCCTTGAAGACGCGTCTGCCCACCGTGACGATGGCATTGTTGGAGATGTCCCTAAGGGGATTATCAAAATTATAGTTTGATTATATAGTTTGGAATAAGATTGGTTTAAAGGTGTATAAATACTATCGGATACTTTGGAGTTTACTTACAATCGCAAAAGACTCGCTGAACTTGTCACTAAGTTTTCAGGAATTGCCTTTAGTCGATTGTTGTTTAGACGTCTGTTTGATTACAGTGTTGGATTTGTATTTGATTTTTGGTGTTTTAAAATCGATTTTGGTTTGATTTGGTTTTTTTGGTTTTTTTTTGGTGTAGAGACGAGCATTTTTTAGGTACGCAAAACGAAACGTAACGAAAGCAGAGAGAGACAAAGAACGGTAGAGATATGCAATATAAAAATAAACAAGAATGAAAACGGGAATCAGATACAAAATGTTAATAATTCAAACTAAATCTGGCATCAAGCTAAATTCAATTTGCACGCTAGCTATATCATCTATGTCTAAGAAAATATATATATTGATTAAAATCCAATATGGAGATGATCAAAAATCGGTTAGTAGTGAGTTCGATATTCAAAAATGTATATATATTCCATGCAACTAGCATTATTAGGAAGCAAGTTATTCCATATTCTTGACTGAAGGCTACTCACAGTCGCTCTAGGGAAACCAAATCTTGGAAGGAATTCCTTTCGATCGTATGGATTTGATTGTCCGTTAGTTGGCTGTGGAAATACGAAAACAAAGTTAATCGGTCAATTTTGATTTAATTTACTATAATTTATAACTTACAGCATTCGCAGCTTGGTCAGCCGCTGGAAATCCGTCTCGTATATCACGGTCAAATTGTTTCCCTGCAACTCGCTGCGAATATAGATAAAGAAATTACGATTACAGAAATTGCATTAATTATGTTGCAACTTGCTGGTCGCAAGATGCTGCTTGCTGGAAAGAAGGATGCAACCCAAGAGGCATTCACACACAAACAGGGCGATAATTTTTTTTAATTGCTTGTAAGACAAGAAGACAACAGCAATCTGAGATATGAATGCAGCTGCCAAAGGGTAAACCCAAAGGGGGGCATCCAGCGAGAAAAGAGTAAGAGATTTCTGCCGCTTGTTGCTGATAACGAAAATATGATATTTAATCATTGAACACGGTACGAGAGATATCCCTCCCTCCCATCGTATACGACGACCCTCCAACGAAGCCAGAACTCGTTTCTCGGACAGAAACAGAAACAGAAAATTTGTTACCTGTAGATGTCATAACAATGAAATGCAACCGAGAGAGAGATACAAAAGACTTAACTTAACCGTGTGCGCATGCGCAACCATCTACAAACATCCGACCAAAAACAACCTGGCAACCTGGCAACCGGGTAACCCAACAACAAGTTCGTCTCTCAGCTGCTGCTCACTTTTTGAGTAAGGTTCGAGTCTGGGTCTCGAGGCCCAAGCCAACAGGTAGGAAGACCTTCGGCGACCCAAACGTAAAATATTTTCTGTGCGGCTTAAGCCTTAATGAATCTCGCATCAAGTTGCCGAAGAAAAAGAAGCGACTATAGCCTGCTCATCGCTTCACCCATACCGCTCCACACACACATGCACGTCTTTTTAATGAGCTTAATATCTCTTTGAGATGTGGGCATCTCTTGCTCAGATCCCACTGATTACAGCCGACCGACCAAAGTAACTACACGGGGAAAAATCTATAACGATATCTCATTTTGATGATGGCTTATTAGTTAATAAACTTTCTTTAGTTTAAGAAGTTGCCTAAGCTTTAAGCTATAAGTTTATATTTAAGCTAAGGGTTATCTTAAGATTGATTTTTCCCACTTTTCTTAACAGTTTTTCTCTCTCTGTAACTTTAACAACATCAGATAGTCGTACAAGATTTTCAATATGCTTTGTTATGGCTTTGTTCGTGTAAAAAATAAAAACAAAAGTATTGCTCGTCGCCGTCTAATTGCCAAACATTTTTCAAACGCTTCTGGCGCTCGTTTTTATGTAATTTGTTTAAATCACTTTTGGTTGGAATGGTCGTCGTCCGTCGTATGCATAATTTTTGCCGTTTTCCCTGGCTTATAATTAAGCATTTAACTTCATTAGATGCGTGTGGGCCCCAATATATATATATATAAAAGCCTTTTGTTGGTTTTACCCCCTCTCCGTTGCCAATTAGATGCCATCTTGGGGTTTGCTCTTTTGCGGCCAGGCTGGTTCCCTTTTTCCTTTTTATCTTTAGTTCTTTTTAGTTTTGGTAACTCAACAAGCAACATCAAAAGCAGCTGCCACAGTTACCTCAGCTATAAATTAGTCGTTCTCAGGTGTGAAGGGCCACCTCCTTCTCTGCTAACCAAAGCCTCTTGCCTTGCCAAGACCCCCGTTTTCCACAAATTAGATATGCAAAAATGCTGTCGTGTCAATTGAATGAACTGTGTGGGTGACTGGCAGCCTGTCAGCTTAGAACTCTTCTATTCCGGCTCTTCTCTTCGGGGTCTTCGGGGTCACTTCCCTTTCACCGCTCGGGGGCTTTGTAATTAAATGGCAATGACATGAGCGGAGGGGCCCCTATGAAAAAGGGGGTAAGAACACAATTTGCCAGAGCCCCAGTTTGCACTTGCCATTGTTTTTTTGTTCAGGCTCCTCTATAGTTTCCTATATATATATAGTATATATGTATATCTTTTCCTACGTTCGCCATCTCGTTGGGTGCACATTGACAGGCCCAATAGTTGTGGGCATGTTCAATATTTGATGAATGCTTGTGTGCCGGGTTAGAAGGTTCTGCCCGATGCAGCACTAGGGTGACTCAAGGTTGGGCTTAGTGTTAGAAATCTAAATAATCCATGAAGATTTCTTACTGTAACTCGTAACCAACTGAGGTATAATGGACTTTAAATAACTGCAAGGCTTAAAATCTTTAAATTTAACTAGAATTCTTGAGCTATTGCCAGCCAAAGAGACTTATGTTTTGATTTTATGCTAAGTACATAAATAAAAGATAAAGAAATTTGAGCTCACTTATTTTCATAGTCACTTAAACTCATACGTGCCACAGACAATGCGACTTGGAGACAGCGGACCGACCGTATTCAATTTCATTGAAACAAAAGTCTTTTTCACCTTTAGAGTCTCCCCCGCTGGATGGCTTTTGGGAATTAATTCCTCCGCTTGTATATAATCTGTTGAAATCATAATTCCCCCAAGAGCCTTTCCATCACATCCTCACCTGGCTGCTGCTGCCGCTCATTTTGATTCTTTTTCGCCCCCTGACCCAGCCTAAGCTCTACTTAAGACTCTTGACACATTCTCTCGGGCGCACTTTGACACCCGGAATCTCATCTCCGCCCAATGGAATGTCAGTCAAAAAATGGAAACATATATTATATTATTGGGCCGTGGGGCCCTGAGGCACCCTGTGCATAGTATATATACGATAAAGAGAACGAGTATGTCGTGGCCAGTTCAGTGGGGTGTTCAGTTCGGTTCTCTATTTTAAAATGCAAATATGTCGTGCATGTTGATATGTTTTCTGTTTCTGTTGGCTCAATGCTCGTTTCTGTGTTTTATATTACTCTCTGTTTTCAGCATTAAAAACGAAATAAATACAAGAAAAAAAAAAAGAAATATAAAAGAGTGCAAACAACGCAGCAGCCAAATGTGTCCCTGAGCGACGTTGCCAGTGCCAACTTGCAACCGAGTTGGCCTGCTGCTGGCTGGCCCGACTGCTTATAACTGGGCTATAATGCTATAACGTTAATGCTGCCACTGCCGTTGCTGATATCTGTTATTAATTTATGTAGAAAAACTGCAGCCACGACAGCAGGCTTTTGAGGCCGCTGAGGTTGGAGTTGAGAGGTGGTGAAGGAGAAGGGGAAGAAGGAGGCAACTGGGAGGTGGTATTTTGCATACACTTGCTAATTGCCGGCGCGTTAATTTATGTGGCGACTGTGAGCGATGGACAGAGACGGAGATGGAGTCGGAATGGCAATCACACAGCCAGCCAGCCACATTGGCTTAATGCATTCGACTCCGCAACATGCAACAATTATTGCCGCCTGGCCACTGATGCGCTTATGCGGCTCGGCTCCTTCGGCGACAATTAATAAACTTAATGGCGATTTAATGTAAGCAGCTCGCAACAGGAACAACTCTCTTTTTGTGCAACTTTCTGGCTTGAGGCTAGTTCTGGTCCTGGCAATGGACATGGTTCTGGACTTGGCTCGGAACCTAAACCCTTGGGGACCCTTTTCCTTTATCGCTATCGACACGACGACATGGTCACGGCTTTATTTATTTCCCTCATACCAATCCAACTACCCTGACCGCTGCTCGGTTGTTTGCCTATGCTGATTTTTAAATAAATACAAATCGGAACAATCCCGGCCAGTAGCAGGCGTGTGCGTCCGGGTCCGGCTTTATTATTTTAATAGAGTGTGCCGAGCTCAATGTTTGAACAATTGGCATTGGCAATGGGGCAGGCAGGAATGGGGGGGGCATTCCATAATTGAAATTTGTCATGGACTCGACTGTCTAGAAGGAAGTATATATATCATTGAATGGCGATCCTAACTAAACGTATCGAAATGGCAATGTACCAATATGCCATTGGTGCGGGACTTAACGGAAGAGTCTTTGTTGTCCCATGGGGGAAGTGTCTTTCTGTTGGTTTTACGTCTGCCCAGGCCCAGATTGTTTGCATAATGGAATTTCAATATAATTGTGAATTTAATATTGATTTATGGCTGCATTTGCAGAGGGGAGTGGTAATTGAATGCTGAAAGTAGCAGTCACATTCAAAGTGATTTTTAAGTTGAAATCAATGAAGGATTTTTATGGCTGAAGCAAGAAGTTATGGGAAACCAATAACCTTGGGTTGTAAGATCAATAGGTTGTTCTTGAAACTGGGAAATAAAAACATCTCTTAAGATGCACAAAGTCATCCTACCTTTCCTAGAATCTTTCAACTTAAAAGTAAATCCTTTCCCCCATACAAACACACAGATTCCTCAATCACACAAAAGGGTAATCCCTATTCGGTTATATTTATTTTGATTAATACTCACAGTCTCTCTACGTCCGCTGAGATTTTCCTTGGAACAGAGGTGAGTCCTCGATGCGAACAATCCACATTTAATCCTGTGCATGAGCAGACCCTTGGGCAGCGGGCTTCCGTGATGACGCCCACACCGCCGCCGGGTATATGAATGCCCACTGAACCGAGGCCACCGCTGGATACCGCTGAGCTGCCGAATCCACCGGAATATGGTTCCGCATGGACCGCATCATGGCGCAGGAGTAGTTGCAGCAGGAGTAGAGGTATCAATAGCCGAAGATGGAGCCGGAAGGGTGGTGGCATCGACGTCGTCCTGGACGGCGTGGCCATTGTGGCACATTTATGAAGCAGCGGCAACGTGCCTAATTGAAAGTGTCCCCCGAATGCCAATCCACTTTGTCAACAGCAATCACCACTGGGTAAATATTTAAGATCGGGGGAGATGGTAAGGTAAAAAAGGATTGATGATGCGTTTGCCGGCACTTTCACTTCACTGATTTTCACTGTTAATCCTTTTTGCTTTCAGGCGAATATAGAGGTTGAATATCCCGTCCGTTCGCGCTTCAAGGCGCTCTCTTTTCTCGGGTATTTCTTACGGCGGCGGTACACGCTCTTTTGCAGCCGTCGCGAACGCGCTTCTTGACCAAACTGAGCGGCTGGCAGATGTCTTGCCGTCGAGCGCTCGAAAATGTAACGAGTAGCGAGTATTCTTACAACGAGTAACTCTCTTTTTCAACTCCCTCCCGAAAAATCGTATATAGGTAGAATCCAACGTCTGTAGGTAGAACTCCACGCACAAGTTAGGTAGCAGCAGGAAATGCACTTTTCCTTTCCTTTGTTTCGGGTATCTGGTATCTTTCGGATACTGCACTTGGCTGTCAGCAGCTAAAGCGGACCGAGAGCGGCAGCAACTTCATCATCATCAGCATCGCCGGCAGCACCAGCTCGAAGGCATCGCAGCGACCTGCTGAGCACATCTGCAACGAGATTGGGAAAGAATGTGTCGGGAAAATCATGAAAAATTATCTATAAATTCGGCAAGGCATCGCCGGCAACAGCAGGAAATTGCCATTGACTGAGCGTTTAAATATAAACCTATGCGCTTTGAGCTGCATATATATATATAGTATATATACTTATTTAACTTAAAAACTACATATACGAAGAAGTTGAGTGGCAGAAGTTGGACGTACGAAAACTCAACTGTCGTCTGTAATGTCATGATATATGGCCTGGCCACAAATTAGCTTCTCTCTTTTTATGTTTTCTTTTTTAGAGGAAAAACCATCCCCAGAAACACCTGTCGGAATGAGCGGTAGCAACGACCACTAATCATCTACAGAAAAACTACAATTATCAGTTGTTTGGATAGCATATGGCAGGGTTTTCCTAGGGAAAATTCGGTATCAATATGTAAACATGGGAAAATTGAAAAAGAGTTTTCTTCTTTGGATAAACAATTTCTTTTTGAGTGATTATGTTGCTTTAACCTATCAGCAGCAATGAACTTGGTTATCTAAAATCGAACTTATTTCTCGGTATTTTTACAATATCTAGTTATTACATATCAAAGCCAGAACTTATAAACAAAGACAAGTCCAAGTTAATGTTTGTAATAACCTTGGACAAAACTAAGGAAACATGCTTTTTGGAAACCTGTAGGCTTCCGCCTTCTCTTTAAGGAAAACATAAATCATATTTAAGATCACTCTCGTCTACATCTCTCCTCAGGGCAAAGTTGTCTTAGGAAAAAAAAACAGTTTTCTTCGACCTAATATTCCATTTTAAACGACTATATATTGCCCTAACCTACCAGAACTAAGGAACTATGCTATCTAGAAGCTCATCTAGTAATTACTCGCATCTGTAATCTCTGGGCTTCCGCTTTTCGATTCCTCTGGGGAACTCACAAATCATATTTAAGAGCACTCTGGCCCAATTAAATCTCTGGTTTCTTCTAATGACCCTCTGGATGCCCGTCCCGTTCTCTTTATGTTTCTGTTTCTTCTGCCCTCTCAAGTGCCAGTCTTCATTTACATTCCCCAGGCTAACTATTCAGATTCGATCTATATTTGGCTCTGTGTGGTCTGCACTTTCTCTCTCTTTCTCTCCCTTTAGTGCCATCTCTTTCGCTGCTGGTCTGTCATGTTGTGTACTTAATTTGCAAATTGACATGTTTAAGGCACTCCTCCATCCCGTTCGCTGGCAGCTTCTGATATTAATTGTTTAAATTAACATTTGGATAAATGACAGCCGCGATTGATTCTGATTCTGATTCGGATTCTGAATGCCAAGCGGAATTTTCAGTTATTGGATAACTGGAGTAATCAGCGATGGGCTGTCAAAAATCGCTTTCCTCGTTTCGAATATATATAGATAGATATATCTTCCTCTGTTTCACTTAACTGGCAATCAACTTAAACTCAATTGAATGTCAAACGTAATTTGAGCAAGCTTTCCCATACAAACGGAATGCATATTATACACAGAGAACCTATCAAGAGCAGGCATGGGGGCCTTTAATCAAAAATTTATCATACATACATAGCCCCCCACCCCCCACTTTTCCACACGAAGACGAAACTCTGGAGAAAATATTTTTTGAACGGCGGCAAAGGCATGCCTTTCACATCACGGAAATTGCGAGCGTGTGTGTGTGCGTGTGTATGAGTGTATATATGTATGCTCAAAAGATGTAATCACTGCATTGTCACCCGGCCCGGAGGATTGAGCTCCTCTATCCTGCAGCTCATCCTTGCTGCTCATCCCTCGGTTATGGTTATGCTACACGCTCCTGCCTTGAGGGAATCTCTGTGCCTCATAGTCGGCTCATATGAAACATAAATCAGTGAAATTCTATACATGCCACTGATTGTCTACTCTTTTGCTCGACTACTCCTCCTTACAGCTTTACAGCCCACCTCCCCCGATATCCCTTGGTCTTCACTCTTCATAACCCAACAAATTCCGAAGCAAATTCAATGCATGCCAATAACTCGTTCTTCTTGTGCCCAAGATGTGGAAGCCTAAGAATCCAAAGGGGGAGGGAGGGCATAGCCTGGTTTGAAGTCGAACTAAAACTGGAAATTGCCAATGGGCGGACGTCGTTGGTCTAGCAGAAGAGTGCCAATGAATTAAGCTAAGCCAGGAAAACAACAATAATTTGATACCAAGAAGAATCCAAAGCACTCAATATCAATTTAGTTGAGAGTTATAACCAGAAAGTGATTTGTGTTTGCAAATTAAATGGAAAACAGGCAAATTTCCAATTAGAATTCTGGTTAAATAAACAAGTTTATAGGCTCTTCATACATTAACAGAAATTATAAACTAATTTTTATTTAGAAATACTACCAAAATACTTGATATGAATGCAATTCCAATAATTGTCTGCCAAAAATTTGCCTCCAACTATTCCTCATACAAGATTATAATTTCACCAACATTATTCTGGTTAAATAAATAAACTAAAACCAAAGCAGATATTTGTGTCAATTTGGCATAAATATTTATTTAGAAGTAATTAAAATATGTGTTGAATTCAATTTCATTTCTCGCTCGGCACACTAATGCTGGCATCAATTTTCTGATTTGTCGATTATTTCCATTTATTATTATGAGCAGAAATGATTATTTTAATGCATAAACAATGACCGTTAACATGGCTCTAAAATGGGCACTTGGCATATTAAATGAAATCGATGTCGTTTGCAGGAATCCCCCCCGCCAAAACCAAAACCTAAACCCAACTACAAGCCATCCTCCGTAAATTGTAGCCTATCTAACGATTTTTCCACACCACATCTCCAGACTTTTTACTGCCATTTGGTGTGACACCATCACCATCAGCAGCAGATAAGACGGGTTGAGACGAATTTTCTGGGGGAACTAGTCAAATAGAGACCGGACAAATAAACCCAAGACACATAGATAGATAGAATGTCATCTGCTGCTCAGAAATCTCGGACTAGACTAAGAGAGTCGTCTGCAGATTAATGACGCGACCTCGCACCAACTGAAACAATAGATTTATGGTAGAGATGGAGGAGGCGCCCAGCTCAATCCGCCGAGAGTCGCCTGGAGGCTCTTGTGGATTTTCCAATAAATTACGCTTAAGTATGCACTTAATTCAAATAATGCCACTGGGGAAAGGGAGGTTTGGCGGTAGGGAGTGTAGCACAGGGGGCGCCCCCAACCAGATGGAGGGGTTGCCCTCAAGTGATTTGTTTTTTTGTGGCTTACATGGATGAGGAGGAGTGGCGGCGAGTGGCTAGTGCTGGGCAAGTTGAATCTCTCATGGGGGAGGTGGTCTATGTTTGTCCATTGCCTATGACATGTGTCAAAATCGCTCTGCTCTTGTACTACCAACCCGAGACAGAGATAAGCCATATCAAAGTTCTACCGCCCCACCCTCACCGAGGGATTAAGCTGAAGTCAGCGTGGCCAAAGTCAAACATGTCGGAGCTGCAGATGGAGTAAATGTCGGGAGGTCTTAATCAATGGGAACAGAAAAACAAAATAAAAAGCAAGAAAATCACAATAAATACGTGGAAATTGTTGACAAAGCAGAAACGGGGAAAACAAAGTGCAAACAATCAATATATCAGATGGAGAAGGAGATGAAGCTGGCTATGAAGAGCCAGACAACTATTTGGAATTGGTGCCCACTCCCTGAAACAGGTTCACCCTAATTTCTGGGGCCAATCCACAAGCCATGAGACCCTCAATTAGTGCTCAAGTATCCCAACATTATGGATCTATAAAATGTTAAAAACTGAAATAAAACAGAGATGAAATGTCAAACAGACCCATAATTACATTAAGCAGAGGTTCTAAATGATAATTTTCCTTAAAAAAAAAAAATATAAAACAAAAACCAGATATCAATTACGGGCTGAGAACAGGAAAGATCTGTCAAATGTAAATGATAATTTCCAACATAGATAATCGAGATTGTATCTTTTGATGAAGGGCGACTAGCGATATAATCGACAATTTACAGCACATCAAAATATTTCCCCAATTTCCTTCTCAACGATTCTCCATGCTCACGCTCATACCCATGATCATCATCATCATCTTTCTCTTTACGTGCTTTGGCATTTCCGCAGCTTCTTTGGTTCCCACCCCCTCCAAAGAATGTCAGGGCAAAGAACATGTCCGAAAGAAAGAGTTCCGATGTCCAATGCCCAATGAATTGTATTACAATGGAAAAGCCAAGCCAAGGGAAAACATAAAGAGAAATAATAAAATCAGTGAAAAAAAAGGGAGTACAAAGCTGGGTACCAATAGGGACTACGACGACTGCTCCTCGTTCCGAACAGTTGTCCAAGCCGGAAGTGTCGCATACTTTTACGGATACACCGACTTAATTATGCGCATAAAATGTAAGAACAACAAAAACAGCATCCCCATCAAGAGCAAGGAGAAGAAGACGCAGGCAATGTCGGGCTTGAAATGACAAAACACAAACATTAATTGCTCCACATTCACATTCACATTTTGATGCGGGGGCGGGGGCGAAGGCGGCTGTGGAAAATCAGATGGATGAATTGGGGAGATCCAGAGGGGACGACGGGTGGAGTACATATGCTCTGGGGACTGACTGCCGTTTTCCCTCAGGAGTTGAGTGGAAAAGAAAGCGGTCAGGGTAGCGAAAGGTGCACAGGAAAAACTGAAAAATTTACTAACCTTTTAAACTTAAATTCCCCGAAATTTTCGGTTTTCTCTTTAAACTTTTTTTGATTGCCTTAATTAAGGTACGACATAAGTTTTATTTTTAGATATTTCGCATTTTTTATCCAACCCCTTTTAATTAATCTGATTAATTCCTGCTTCTGGGCATACAATTCCTCCCCCTCGATCTCTCTTCCTCTGTTATTGTTCAAGAGAGCGTAAGCTAGGCCTTTCACCCATTTTCTTTGAGTGTAATCAGAGCGACTCCATTCAGAGAAGCGGCTTATAATTTATTAATCTATGCATAGAGCCCAACAAATACTCGTACTCGACTCGTAATTCCCCCTGTCACTGTCCCGTGCCCCTCAACTTTCCCCACTGCTTTCGAGTGGTGGAAGGTGTTGGCAGCGGGTCGGTCTCTCTGTCAGACAGTCCGTCGGTATCCATCGCTATATAGCCTGAATATACGGACCACTACATGTCACTTTAATCTCTCAGAAGTGTCACTTTTGCAGCTCTCCAAGTGTTGCTGCCGTTGATGCCGATGTTGCCTCTTGCTATGTCTGTTTGGGTTTTGTTTGGATGTTTTCAGGGTCCACACGGTCCAACGCCAAAAGGGGTTCGGGGGCGTTGTAAACAATGTGCTGTTATAGTTGAATTTGAATTTTCATTTTGATAAGCAACAAAAAGGCATAATCACACACATCAAATTGCATACAGGAGAAGGAGAGAGAGAGGGAGGAATCTGGAGGGGATTGAGAGTGCTAGCCAAGGCGAACCTTATGGTAATGAAGTGTAGCAGCTGTTTTTGAGTTGAATTTGAATAAAGCGATTGCAGGGGGAGGGAGGCGGATGCCCGCCTCTGATTTACATTTGATACAGAGAGACCGAGACCCGGACTACTTCAACAATCAGATTCAATTTGTGCCACGCATTCGTTTTCATTTCGTTTTCATTTTCGTCTTTTCTTGATCTGCCCCCAAACAAGTGATAATGACGATCAAGTCGTCCCCTGAGCAGATTATGCTCTATTTGATTTAGACTTGGATTTTATTATTATTATTTTTGCTTTTTTTTTTTGGTGGCTTTATTATTACAATGGCGCCTCGAGTGCCCCAAAACGCAATCTTCGTTTATCTCGTATTTATCTTTATCTCGACTGTGTGGGCTCATCATCGAAATGGACAAATACAAAGCTGGGCATTATTTAGTTTGTCGCTATGTCTCCGGTTTCAACTTGTTTTCGAGGTTACCATAATAATAAACAGCCCCACCTGCGACACTCGCATACACACATCATTTCCATGTAAAGTTATAAAATGTTTCACAAATCCATAAAAAAAAAACTGAAAACCAAAAGGGAGAGAATCTGAGGCGTGCGCTAGGTCCACCCAATCCCCGGACCAATCCCATTCCATCCCAACCCATCTAAAATCCCAGGTGCAATGCGTGTTGCAGTTGAGCTCTCTGCGACGTAGTTTTGTTTTTGTCTCGGCTTTTGTTTTCCGCATTTCGGGTCAGGTAGAGCGTAGCATCTTCCTCGCCGCCCCTAAAAGCCTTCGCATTGTTCTCTCGCCGGGAGAAGTGAAATATGTTGCTGCGAGCATGCTGCATCACCGGGATTAGGACAGGTAAGGTTGTAAATTTCAACAGCCACCAGAGTTGCCCTCTAGAGTCAAAAGGTTGACGAGTAAAGGAGGGCATTTCTTGCTATTTCTTTAAAAATGCTGTTACACCCAAAGTATATGCAAACTCACAACGAGGTTAAACAAATCATCAAGGAAAAATTCATAAATTCTTGATTTAATATCCTAACCAAAACCACATAATAACATAACCTATGAAATATCCTAATGAAAATCTCTATTACACCAATTCGCCTGGCTTCGCAGCACACTAAAATTATGTTTTACTTTGCAAAAGCAGGGGAACCCCGCAGTTTATCTGGTAATAACAATAAAATCCCATCAATGGTTCATATTTTGCCAGGCTCAATAAAAACACAGGCATAAATGAAACATAACCACAAAGTACTGTCATTTCGTCATATGTCTGGCCAATAAAGCGGAAGTTTAGCCCCAGCCAGCAACATAAATCACGTTATTCCTTATTAATTTTTAGACGAGGCATAAAGTAAATATCTTTAAGGACTGGCAGACGCAGCAAAACAAATAAAACCAATTTTGGAGCTCTATTAATCTAGAGGGTCATAACATTACGAGCCACCCTCTTTCGGTTCGATTGTGATATATTTAGAAGACATTTTTAAAGGCTAATACTATTAAGTTGTGAGAAACAGTAACGCAGAAACTTAAGAGCACGAGTGCCCAAATTCGCTTTACGGCACAGTATTTACCAACACAAATATAAGAAAGCGTCTGCAGCTGTACACTGAGAGAAAGAACAACTTTTTTGCTAACCAATTCACCATTTATTTTACTGATCTGCCAAATGAGAAATAAAGTCCAAAGTGCAAACAGAAGTTATAAGGAATGATTTCCAGTGCAAGTGTCCGTAGATGATCCAGGAAGAAACAAGAACAGTTATCGACGAAATGAAGCGGAAAGAGGAAAACGAAAATTTGTTAGTGTAATAGTTCGGCTAGCGCTCAAAGCCTATGGGCGAGCAAGTCGATATGAGCCGAGCATTTACAAAAACAAATAAGCACTCAGAGTATAGGCGTTGAGAGTGCAAAATATATTTTAAATATTCCTCTGTTGATTCCATAGGCATGCCAATTCATTTGGACCATGTACTCTCCCTCCGGAAATGGCAGAATTTTTGTTAATCGGTGATTAAAGAGTTCTGTAGATACCTTATCCACCACAATATCATGCTGAAAATAAGTAATTTATTAATATATTCCTTGTTTTTTGAACAACCACTTACGTTGTAGGGACATGAATATTTTAAGTTCGACGTTTCTCTGAAAAACTCATAAAAGTAACTACCAACTGGATTTGACTTTTGATTCTTAAAGAATTTACAGGCGTCGACCGTGAAATTGTACAGAAAGGGTTTGTATCCATTAAGACGTTGATAGAGTCCAAAATCAACCTAAATTAGATATTTGCAGTTTTTGGAAAAGAGGCACCATTTCTTTTCATACCTTAACGTCGCTTACAGGAAGTTTGAAGAGTTTGACGTAAACAGTTAAATACTTGTACGACCTATTCACTGACTTCAAAGCACAGGTATCGAATCTACAGAACTGTTTATCGACTGATTCGCACTTTATATTCTTGAAATCAACCCGAGAAATCGCCTAAAATATAACTTAGCCTTGAGGAAGACATCTCTAGCTTTTTAAAAGTTATAACTACTTACTTCTCTGGCCAAAAATATGATCAAAAACATATTAAGCAGAAATTCAAACTTTTTGCACATCATAGGACTTCGATGACCACACTGCTACTAATATCTCAATACGAATTCGGTTTGTAGACAAAATAACTACCAAAAAATCGTTGGTTAATTATAGTTATTATCAATGTTTAATGATTCGGATGGCGGGCTAATAGACCGTAAAGATAATATATAGATAACGTATAAAATTTAAAGTTTTAAATAAGATTTTTGGAAAATACACGAAAGCTGGCGACTGATATTATTAAATGGAAATTTCTTTGGTCTGTCCTGTGTCTTGTGTCCTGCCTGTGTCCTTCATTCCCCATTTTCAATCCAACTGACGCACACGCATCGTATCAAATTTCATGGCTGTCGCATGGGTGTGCGCGGGTATCTGTGAGAGTGCCTCGTATCCCTCGTATCTCGGTGCGTATCTTTTGCTCTTCACTGGCGGCGTGTTGATGACAGATTTCGTCCGTTCGTCTGTCCGTCGGTTTGTCGTTTCATTTTCGTTTCGTTGAAGTCATTTTTACTCATTTATTGTCACCGTTAGTACGTCAGAGAGTGTGTGTGTGTGAGTGTATATATATCCTTACGAGTACTTGGGAACCCTGCAGGCGGCCATCCATGGTATTGATTCCACTTCCATTCCCATTCCCACTTCCATTTCTTTCGCCACAGCGGGGCACTCAGTCAGTCAATTGACATGACTCAACAACAGGCGAATGTCCCTGCGACTCTCTGCGACTCCCTTCTCTCGCTGCCTCTCCATTTTTGTATACTTATTAAATATTTAAAAGCTTTGGCCTTTGTTCCTCCAACTGCCAGCCCAGGCAAATACTTAATAATTTCATTCCGTTTCTTCAGTCGCACCGCAGGTTGCCTCGGCCGCCTCTTCATCATCATCATGCCCTTCTGCCTGTCCTTTTTGACAAACTGCACGCACAGCGGCGACTTTAAAATTATGGTTTGTTGCATTTTAAATACAAATTATACATCGAGACTGTGACTCACCTGAACTCAAAAGCCACTCGAAGTCGTAACTCGGGAGGCACTGGAACAAGTGGGTCAGGTAAGACAATGAATGGTCATTAACCGCCCTGCTTCGAAGGGAAAACCCCGCCAGTTTTTGATCCTAGTCCACGCGAGGGTTGCTCAAGAGTCAGGGATGATTTCTTATTTCGGATTGGAATGTTCTTTTTTCCACTTCTTTTTTCCTTTTTGGCAAGTCAAGTGAGTTGACACCTTGCAAGTGCCTTTAAATGTCTTAAAAATGCCTGTTGGATGACCCCATTTGTGGGGTGACCCCGTCAAATGGTGACACCCCTACGCTCCACATAGACAGTTAGCCAAATGTCTAAACTTTCTCTTCACAAGATGACCCCATCCTAAGTGGTAAAATATATATTCATTCTATTCTTTGTGGTTGGACCCCCGTAGAGGCCATAAAAAGTTCTCACACTTGGCTGTCAAATGTTCTCCACATACCATGGTACAAACTGGAAGGAGAACCCATTAAAAAATTGATCCAAAATGACCTCCAATAACGAAAATGAAAGACCCAATTAGCTGTGTTTATAAAATTGATCTTGGCAAACGAAAATTTTCAAAAAAAAGGTGACATCAAATCGCAGGATGCAAGCTTTCAAAAGTTGACCCCAATTTGGTGGCCACCCTTCTCAAAATAAATCGCTGGGAAGTGATCAAATTACTCAAAAAACTCAGAAAGAAAATAAGTGATCCCAATATATATGGATATTTTCTGGAACTGGAGAAGATTGTTTATTTATTCAAGAGAAAAGGGAGTGGGTGTTGTGTTCCAAATTAAGAAATGATTTATAAAATCTTCCATTTACGATTCTTCATCTTAATAAGTGGATTATGACCGTGTTTATTAATCAAAGTTTAAGGCGTTACTTTTCTCTTCATTGCCACAGATTTCCCATAACTTTCGAGCACTCCTCGCCATTTAAGCCATCCCAACCATCCAGGTTGCAGCTGCAGGTACACAGGGTGCAAGTGGCGCCCTTCGCCGACATGGTTATCAAAAGGGAAACCAGGGAGTGGCCAACTGAATGCAGGAGGACAATGGAGTGAACCAAGTGAATAGAACCCAAAAGTATAATATGACAATTGTTGGAAAATTTTCCAGAGAGAGGCGGGGAGCAGGCACACTAACTATATGCTATAGCCATATACCATATGCGGTTGGCCATAAAGGAAATGAAAAAGAGATTCGCCGATAGCCTCAGGTGGGTTTTTGGTCAGGCGGGGATAATTGCATCGGACTGTTTGCGAAGCAGGCGGGAGGGGAAAATAGACTCAGGGACTGGATTAGTGGAGAGTGGTTCCCCCGGCTGGCATTTGGCATTTAAAGTGCCAAACTTCTTCAGGGCTTTCGAGGGCCAGCAGCAGTTTCGGAAAAGGGGAAATGGAGAGCAGACATATTTGCAGATCCTCCTGCCCGCCCATCATCTGCAACTCTTTCGTCTAACACTCATTTAAGTTCAAGTCCCGCTCGCGCTGGGTGCAAAAATTCTAGGAATTTTACTGCCCTTCTATAGCTGCAACAGCAGCAAAAGCAGCTTCACATGGTGGCGCACTTGTGCTCTCGTCCGATTCCAGCAAATATTTGCAAATTTACGTTGACTCAGTGAGCGACCCGGGGAAAGGATGGGACGATGCGGCGGCATTAGCGACAACTGTCGTAGAGTGGCACTTAATGAGCGGCGACTGGAGCTCCTCTTACTGGCATTTCCACCGCTGTGCTGCTACTGTTACTGCAGTGGCCCGCATGCCAGACTAAAACTAGAGGATAGGACAGGGATCCCAGTACCCAGTACCTCAGACCCCAGAACCTCAGAACCCCAGACCAGAGACAATCTAGCTGGAGTTATGCACGATGGCCATGCAATTGGCGTGGCAGTAGCAGTCGCAGTCGCAGCAGTAGCATCTGCAATAGCAGAATCTATCTTACGGATGCGAAACCTTGCGGCTGGTACGCCAGTTTCATTTTGTTTTGCTTCGTTACATTTCGTTTTGCCACAGTTTCTTTTTCTGCTTCTCCTCAACTCGTTGTTTAGCATTGCAGTAATTTGACTTGATTTGTTTAAGCTGACACACGGACACAGATGCTGAACCAAGTAGAAGGTTGCTAGTTGCAAGTTGCAAGTTGCAGTTAAAGTTGAAGTTCACAGGGGGCCACTGCACTTGCCGCAATTATGCGCTTATTAAGGCAGTTCTTTCGCGGATTAAGTCATTATGGCAGTTAACTCTGGGCGCCACTTGCAACACTTATCACTCATTCCAATCGCTTCAAATTACATAAACTGTCTATTAATCTCGTCAAAAGGAACATGCCTTTAATCTGCTTAAAAATCTGCTCATAAAAAGTCCACAAAAATATAACATCATAAATGAACAAAACTTACATAAATCATAAAGTAACATGCAGTGAAAATAAATAATATAAGTTGCAGTAAAACTTAAATTACAGAAAGAAAATGATTTGGTTTTCGTATTCTTTAACTTCAATAGACAAAAAGTTTAATATTATTTTCAAGTGAGAAGTTCTTACTACCAAAAACCTATTATTACTAAACTTTGTCTTAAAGTAAATCATTTTCCCATTTTCATTTCACAATTAACATACTTCATAAATCAATATTAAAGCTAAGACGTAATACACAACCCCTTAATATTTTTAAAAACATATCTTTACCGTAACAAAAATAAAATTCAACCACTACTACTGCAAAGATAAGCCCATTAATAATTCCTTATTGAATTATCGAAGTGATTAATCCCTGTCCATTTCGAATTTGGCTCAGTGTACGCCCGTTACTGGACGACTCTGCCCCCGATGACAAATGTGCCGCTGCCATGTAATCGCATTAAACGTTCGCTGCAGCAGCTATCCCCCTGCCCCCCCCGTTTGCAACACAACACCCCCTGTTTGCCAGCGCCTCTGGTTTGTGCCCGTTGCATATGTTGCGCTCATTAAATTGGTATTTATAATGGCCATGGCTAAATCGCCGCCCATTTGCCACGCCCCGCGCTTAGTGTGGGGTATTACGAGTACATACGTCTATGGGTATTACGTGCAGGCAAGGCAATGCAGCGAGCGGTATGATGATGATGATGATGATGGCAATCATCATAATTTTTCGGCAGCCGCAGCTGAGAAGCACAAAAAGCGCAAATCGTCGATGGAGGGGGGTTTGGAGGGGGTTTAGAAGGGGTTATTTTTTTGTGAGGGGAAAAGATAGAAATTGGTCGACGAGCCTGCAATTGACAATCTACAATCGACCAGCGTCTAGGCAAATTGCGAAATTAATTAAATTTTAGCACAACTTTCGAACGGTACAAAAACTCAATGGATGTTGCTGTTGCTGCTGTGCGTTGATTGCCGCTCTGCGGTTGCTGCGGTCGCTGGTCGCAAAAAGGGGTAACAACCAAGGAGCGGGGTAACAACCGAGGAGCGGAGGACCTGAGTGGACGTGGACGTGAATGTTGGGGGAAAAGAGCTAGGCAAAAAAAATAAAAGCAAAAGCCGATGAAACCCAAGCCAAGCGGCTCCACGTTTTAACATTTCTCGTACATGCAAGTGACAAGGCAATATCCGTCACGCAAACAACAGCAGCAGCAGCAGCAGCAACGGCAACGGCAACGGCAACAGCAGCGGCAGCGGCAACAGCAACACCCTGACCAGCAGCAGCAACAACAATGGTAATCTGGAGCCAATGGTGGTACAATGGTAAGAATCGGTTCCACCAGAAGAGGCAATTGTCTCCGAATAGGGTTATGACACGCTTATTTTTATATCTCAATGAATAGGAGTTTCTTTTCAAAAGGGCTTTTAAGGAGCGGAAAATAACCACAAGTGGCAGGTATAATTGAGTAGGTGGTTTGCTCTTTGGAATATTGTTCTTTATAAGAGTTTCTGGTAAAATATTAATCTAAAATCAACATTCACAAAGAACACTATCTTGAGATCTGATTTAATGGAATAGCCCAATCTAGTTTTTATAACTACAACCATACTCCCTCCCTTATATTTATACCATTACCACTATACCATTAACAGTAAACTTAACAATCTCTCTAAAATAATCATATAAATGGCACTATTATTAACATTCTAACAAGGCCGAAATATTAGTAAATTATATTACATTCTCAGCACTAATCTCGAAATCTATCTGAGATATTAATACTGTATTAAGCCTAATATATGCAATCCATAAAACCCGAGCACATTAGACTGGTAATAACACTCGCTTTGGTCGAATTACCATCTCCATTTTGTTGACATCTGTTGTCACCTTATAAAAACTAGCTCGTATCTCATCCTGAAATTACCCGACAGTACATAGATCAACTCAGCAGATAATCAACAAATCATATGGTGTGGACATAAAGATTGCCTCATAATCGAACAAAAATATGTGGAACGGTGATTACCCGAAATGACAGGCGATAAGTAATTTCCACCATCTGGCCTGCCTGTTTACCAAGTTACATATGTAAATGCGATGCGAATGGCCGGCGATCAGGCACCGAAAATTATTGGCCATTAAATTGGCAATCGTTACCACTGTGCCTTGTGGATATATATTCTATAGGGGACGGCTGGGTCCTGGTTTGTTGTCCACTGGATTGGACGACTCTACGGCTATGTGGCTTTGGCAAAAAATTATTATTCATCGCTTGTACAACGACGACGTTGCTGTCGCTGTCGCTGTTGCCGTCGCAGTCGCAGTCGACGTACGAGTTAATTACGGTCCATTAGACTGCACAAGGGGTGTTTATTACCACATCAGTGGGCGCCGCCGCCAACGCCATCAGCCATCATACCATATCGGCAAGGAACAGGAACAGAATCAGAATCAGGAACAGGAACAGGACAACACAGGAGCAAGCGGGATGCCAGGCCGCCACTTTCGATGGCAAACTAGAAATTGTTGAGCGCTTCAAATCGCTGGACATGAAATCAGTTAGAAAATCTGCTTTGACATGGAAATTCCAACGGAGCACACTCCACTCTGTCGCAGGAATCAACTGACAGGTCATGTCCTGCTGCTGCTGATGCTGCTTAGCTGATCTTTCCGCAGGGAGGAAATTACAATTATGGTTATGTAAATAGATACTTATCGAGATATCTACAAAAAAGATTTGATTTGATTTTGATTTGTTTGGACTTTATTCTGAAATAACTTATTTTTGTCCATTTTGCCTAACCTTTGACCTAAAATAATATTTTTTTAATGTCCTGTCTTGCTAGATTTGTTTTGATTTCTAAGGAAATGAAAATGTCACAAATATATTTTTAAAGAAAAATCCTAAAAAGGGATTTCCGTTTGGACTTCTCTCCTAAGAAAAGAAAAATGCAATTTATGAATGGGAACATTTTATGTTTTATGGTCGAATAGTCGCAAATTTTAGTCTACTTTTCGATAGTAATGATTAACTTTTTAAATAATAAAATAATTAGCATAATTTAAAATATATAAAAATAAAGTAGTTAAAGCCTAGGCTAACGCAGATCATAATTAATTTTAGTCCAACCACATAATTTATTTTTTTTCGGTGTTTTATTATATTTTTGCTTGACAGGTTCGACGCACTTTTGCCTGGTTTTATCCTACTTTTTGCCTGCGTTTTTAATTAGGACGCAGGCGCCGAACAACGGCGAACGGCGAAACACAAAGGTTAGTGGCAGCAATCAGAGTTGGTATTGTGTACAGGCTCTGCCTTCTTGCTCCCACTCCCACCGCTCTATCTGTCCCGCTTGCTCTGAGGGTAAGGCAATGCTTGGCGACAAAATTTATTAAAATATTACGCAAGGTTGGGCAGTCAGTCATGGGTTGCTGTCCCGTTGTTGTTGTTGCTTTCTACTGGCCCATACACAGCACAGCAGAAAAGTTTTTCTCGCATTTCCGAGGGATTCCGGAGAGGGGGTGGTGAGGAGGGGTAAAAAATATTTTCAACAAATTTAGAAGAGCGGAAATTGCAAAGCATTCAAAGCGAGTTGAGTCGCAGAAGTCGAGTTATTTGTGCAAGGAAAAACTTTTGCCTTCAGTTAGAATGCGAATTGTGGGTGGTTTTCCCTTTCTATTTTTTTTCCTTCAATTTTTTTTTTATATATATTTTCTTCTCCTTTTTTGGGTGGGTTGGGGTGCGAGCATAGCGGCGAGTTGAGTTAAGTTAAGTTGGTTTTAGTATTGCAGCGTCGACACAAAAAATATAAAGTTCGCGTTGTTTACATAACAAAGGCCAGCGAAAAGGGGAGAAGGATGAGGGTGGCCTGTCAATTTGTGCATTGGAATTCGACTACAGCAGAGGGAGAGTGGTATGGGTGGGTGGGTGCCAAAGAGAACACACATAAATTGAAGTTTTATTGTTGCTGCTGGGGCCATAAACAAAGTAATTAAATGCAAAAGCCAGGCAGCCAGGCAGCCAGACAACAACATCAACAGGAGGAGCAGGAGGAGCCGCTCCAAAGGCAACTGCAATTAAACAGTTGAAGAAATGATTCTTTTTGGATCGCCTTCTCTGCTTTTTTTCACATGTGCCATGCCATTCCAGGCAACAAAAAAATCTGCACATTCAAAAACAAAAAAGGGGGAAAATCAAAACAAAAGCTGGCAAAAAATCTGCAAATAAACAGACTGAGCTAATTGAAGCAGCTGCGCCGCCAGCGTCAGACGTTGACCGCCTCTGTCCGTCCTTCCTTCTCCACAAAACTGGAGATTTGGAGAACTGGAGAGTCAGACATATCTAGAGAGAGACAGTGAAAGATGCCCACCCCACAACCCACTTGATGTACGATCATCACGGGGTCCTCAGGCTGTGCTCGTTGTTTTTCCTCTTAATTGGCAACAAGTGACAAGATTTTTTCCTGCTTCGTTTTTTTATTTTTTTTGTTTTTTTGTCATGCTTCTACAGCTCAAATATATTTGCTCAAGATGTGGGCAGGTGTGAAGACTTGTTAAACAAACCAACTAAATAGGAAAAAAATGTATGTGTTCATGAAGAAGAAAAATGTTAAATGGTTAAACGCTAATGGAAATGGCGTCTAATTGCTGGAAGGGGAAGCGATTTTTCTGTTTTGTTTCTTTTTTTTTCTCCGTTTTTTGTATTCACAACTTTGTTCGTTAAGTATTCCATAAATCCAAGTGTGGGCGAAAGAGAAGAAGACTTGACGAGTGTGAGACAATGTTTAGCATGGCATAATTATCCGCTATACGGTGGGAAGAAGGGGGTGTGGGAATACTCCCCTGTTGAGAGAGACGGAGAGACGTTGCACAACATCGGGGCAAATTACCGGACAAAGTCATTTACCAAGTCAAAGGGAAATATTCTTGGGAAAAATGTCTGGAATAAGTGCAGTACTCTCGGAAAAATTAAATGGAGTGAAGAGTGAATAACAGGCAGAGAAATATAGCCAGAACTCGGATCTATAAACATCTAGAAGTTCATTTACCAAGGCCAATTTAAGAGCAGTAAAGTGCTCATGAAGGAAAAGTAACTTACTAACTTATAAGTTTTCAATCTCCAATAACATTATTTTTACTATTACCAAGTCATCAATCAAATGTCATAGATTAGTTGACTTCTATCAAAATGGGTCACACCTTTAAAAGTTTCAACCTTATCTTAAAGTTCACCTCAATTTCCATATGATTGGTAAAGACTTACTTCTTTGGTAAAAACTTAAACTTCTGCCCCTTCAACGCGTCGTATTTATGGCCATTATGTTCAACATACCTGCAAATAAATAAAGAATAAACTTTTTAGTATTCCTTCCAGCTAGACTCAGTTATAAATCATTCTAAAATAAAATGCAACTTTCCATACGAGCATATCTATTGGCCAGGCCAGGGAAACAGCAACAGCAACAGCAACACCAAACAATTCCTCAAATCAGCTCAGTAAGTTTAATTTATGTGGCAGCTTTAGTATGAGCCTTTAATCTCGCACTCTCTGGATTATATAGTGGATATTCCTGCCACAAGTCAGCCGCATTCTAAGCACTCTGCTGATCTGCAGCAAAACCAAAAAGCAAAAGTCTGATGAAAATAAGAAAGGAAAGTGCTTAGCTTTTCAATTCTCTGCTTATTTCACTGGCCCTGCTGATTGAGTTCCTGATGAAGGCTTTGCCGCCAGTTGCACATGGAGCATGGAGGCATGGAGGCATGGAGGCATAAAGAAGTTGAGTGTAAGGTAATGGCAACAGATAAATATAACGAACCCAACTTCCCGGAATGATTTAAATGCAAAGTGTACATTTTAACACGCGGCCTGTGCCTCCTCCTGCAACTCCTTCTATACTTTCCTGAATCTGCTACCACTCCACCTCTTTTCACTTCACTTTCCCACCGACCACCACCTCATGCCCCTGGAAGACATTGCCGCAAATGAAGCAATTGCACACACAACCAGCCAACAAGCATGAAATACTCGGGAAAAATATCTTTGACATTTAATCGAACTTGAGATACTCTTGCCTAATGGTTATTTATATCTGTGAGCAGGAAATAAGTACTAGCTTGGTTAAAGTTTCTTGGAATTTAAGCAGCAATCTAACACTTTAAAATTCAACTTTAAAGATACATTCTAAAGATCCTTAAAGATTGACTAAAATATCTTGTTATCTTACAAATTGAAATCCTGCTTTGCCAGGAACAGCAAATCAGCTTTTGGAAAAAGAGTATCCAAGGAGGAAGCAAGTGTAATCCCCTCGTGGATTTGCTGGATTGCCGGATCGCTTGAGGATGATGATGGTGGCGTCAGTCGTCAGAGTGTTTGTTGCACAGGGCTATGCCAATGCAGCAGCAACAACAACAAAAACAAGAACTGCAACTGCATCAACGACAGGCGCAACAACAAAACATAAATTCCAATGAAATAAGTTGATTTATGCTGCTGCGCGCGCCGTGAGCTGACAGCCCCAGAACTCCGGAACCCCAGAACCAAAAGCAGCACTACTAGCACTCCCCAACCCTCTACCAAAAGGGGCACCACCTCACCTTACCCCTACTCAATACCCAAACGAAAAAGGGGCAGCAGCGGCACGAGGTGAAGTCAGAAGACCATCATCTGGTCTTGGGGGTCGGGCACCAGCAGCAGCTCATATGCCATATTTTTCATATACACGACGATATATACTATCTTGAGGAACATTTCTCTTCTGCCTTAACCCCCCAGAGTCCTCCCTTCCCTTAGCCCAACATCTGCTGACGTGCGGCATGCAAGAGTCGAAAATAACTAAAAAATAGAAAATGAATTCCCTCACTCTTGGCGGATGGTGTGGCGGCATTGAGGGGCGTGGCACTTGGCGTTGATTGAATTATATTTTGTGCACCGGATAGCATAAAAACCAAATGTGCGCCTACAATTTTCCATATTTTTTTCTTCATTTTTCAACTCCAACTAAGTTGTTGTTGTTGGCTTTTGCACAATCAAAAAGCTTAAGCAAGTTGGGTCTCCTAGGGATGAAAATCGTGACACGAAATGATGCCAAGCCAAAGTCAGGCGATTATAATTTATTTGACTGAATTCATAATTAATTTATGGCAATTCGTGGACATTTATTTTAAGTACAGCCCAACCCTAAAACAACCTTTGATTACTTTATTTGTTAGTAACTAAAAGTAAGAGATGATTATTATGGCCATGCACTTAAATCAAGAAAGTCTTGATTTGAAGTCAATTAAGAAATGTTTTTGGTTAACATATGGCTTGCGGGTGAAATATTGAAGATTCCTTTTTAAAATTCCATAACCATTTCCTCATTTCATTCGTACCATGTTATTTTCATTGTTCTGAAAAAAAAACTTTCCTCCGTTCACATCTCTAAAAATTCTCCCTTTAGCCCACGCCATGTTTTTGGGGCCTTTAATTTTATGAGCTTTTAACCCAAAACACAAACATAAGAATAAGAACAGGGGATGGGTGGACTGGTGAAACCAGCCTGCAAGTGTAAATCATGAAAATTATAAGCCATTTTAATTAGCTGCCGCTGCCGCTGTCGATGCTACTGCTGGCTTTCCCTTCATCAGAAACACATTTCCCGCCGCATGTTGAAATATGTTTGATAAATTCGCCTCATCTTGGCTGTTGGCTGTTCTGATTCTCCCATTCCCTTGCCGCTGAAAGGAATTTCCCTCCATTTGCCAAGAACATACAGGTCCAGACGGAACGAGAGCCGCGAGCAGACAAGGCTAATTCGGTGAGGCCAGGGGTCAAATAATGCATTTTCCTCATTAGACAGTCTCTGCCTTTGATGTTCTCCTTCGGCCACGCTAATATATATACGCCTATATAGTGTACGCTTCCCCCATGCCTATGCCCAGGCATTTTCATTTTCACTTCAAGTGATTTGCATTCCCTAGCAATGACCCAAACTCAAATTTCTGTTTCTGCACAGGAAAAAATGAAATGCTTTATTGAATTTATCAAAGAAATCTTTTGGGATTTCAAAATGGAATTTTGGATTTAACACTATGAAAAACACTTCCTTTAATTCAGCAACTAACTCAACCCACTATACTATACCGTAAAGTATTAATTAGTTTTAATAAAGTTAAAAACCACAGCGGCATTCTGAAAGATCATACCACAAAAATGACTAATTGTGTGGCATGTCTGAGTGTGTCTCTGTCATTTTGAGGAATCTTTGAGCTTGTTCTTAGAGGCCGCCTCATAAATTCTTGCTGCCCAAAGAATTGCCATTTATGTCGTGTACTGTGCGCATGGGCAGCAGGTTGAGAAGGGGCCAATGGGGGATCGGTGAGGAGGTGGGCTTTGGTAGGCACCTGGGGACAAGGCAATTGCTCTTTTTTTTTCTTGCGTCTCGACTGTCGCTGCCTTGTCGCTTTTTGAGCCGTGTGGCGTGCACCTGCGCGATAAGATAAGATGTGCCAGGTGAAGAAGGGAGAGGGGAGGCAATCAGGAGAAGGGGCTGGGAGTTCTGGCCATCTTGTGGTGACTGGCGGCTTGTAAGTAGCCTGCCTTTGTCTATGCCTCAATGTTGTTTAACGTTGTTATTGTCTGCCTCTGGAAAATCCGGGGAAAGTTAAGAGAAAAGGGGAGCACGGACGGCGGTGGTGGGTGGGTGGTTGGTTGGTGCATTGTTGCTTCTCGGAAATGTTCGCCAAGGGAATTGTGTGTATGTCTTTGTGTATAGAACAAAAATTGGGGAATTGAGTCAGTCAAGTCCAAGAAAAGTTGGCCGAAAAATGAAAAGGATGAATGTGCCGAGAGCAAACGAAGGGGAAAACATAAAGCAGGACAAAGCAGGGCTCAGAAATTGAAGGAAAGCAAAGAAAATGCTACAATAGAACAACAGTTTCCCAAGGAAATTTCCCTCGGATGTCTGGCCATTGAGAGGAAATCAGTTAGAAACATCGGTTCGTGAATGAACGGAAATTAATTTTTGAGTTTGCCGTGCCGTTATACAAATATTTCTCAAACCATATTCGATTAATAATAATGATGATGCCACCCCAAAAATTCACTTTTAATTGATTTTTTTCCCTCTTTCTACAATGAATGAGCCAAGAAAATGTATAACAATCTAAACTATAGTTAGTGCTCAGCCGGCTGTCAGAGCTGTGATCGGATAAAGGTAATTGAACTTTCACCACACAAAGTAAATGGGTTCTAACGCCATTCGTTATGAACTTGGGTCTCTACTTCAATTAACATATTTTACCATATTTCCATTTCCCTTACCATTCGCAGTCGTAACCCTTTGCACTCGGGGGGCAGCAAAGTGACCCAAAAAAAAAAACCCTTTCAAAAGACCAACCAAAACAAAGGTGAACCAAATAAAAAAAATAACTCAATGAGGAAAATCTAAGTAGGCCACAACGAAGAATTCAGACCCTTCGAAAAAAGATTGGAAAACAAATCAAAAAAAAGCAAAGGAAAATAATCTTACACAAGACCTTGCAGATCTGTCATCTCCTCAGTTCTTTTTATCAGACCGTGAGAAGAAAAAATGAAATGATTCCAGACTGAATTGCTTAATATTGTCAAAGACACTACCATAAAAAATACTGAAATGATTTTTGTAAAAAGAATATTGGGAAACCATCATAACCCTGATCTAGTTTTATTTTTGACTTAAGACCTATATAGACCATTGATATTTTTGGAATACCCTTTTAGATATAGCAACCTTTTAGAGCTCGAAGCACGTGTGTAATTATTTAGTCAACTAGCGGGTCCCCTTTTTCCCAAATATGAGTTCTATCTGCCCGTTCAAATCTTTCCCATGCAAGGTGCACTTTTCCCATTACTCAGCGCTTTCCCGGGAAAATGAGTAGGGCGGTGGGTGGATACGATGTGGTGGCTTAGATGAAGCCCCGAACACATTTCCAATCAAAGTCGTTGACTGTGATGACGATGATGATGACGAGTGCTCCGCCTTAATGTTTTAATTTTTGAGCCATTAACAGCTGCATATTTAGCAGTCTGGCATATGCCTCCGCACCGCAGGGGATGGCAAGGGGGAGGTAGGTGGTGCGGTGGTTGGGAGTGGTGCAGAGTGGTGGCAAGTACATCATTTCAACATTTGCCAACATGCATTAAACAGCAGCAGCAACAAGAAGTGCGCGGAGTTGGGGCGACAACTCTCGGAAACAAAGCCATTAGATATATCGCGTCGAGCAACGCCCATTTTTTGCACATTTTCGGTTGCCTTCACCCACTCACACACGCAATCAAAGGATGCACACCCTCACTAATACATATATATATAT